AGGAAGAGGAGAGGTCCTAGTACTGAGCCCTTGTGGACCACACTAGGACATTCCATAGCCTGTGAGAAATTGAAGTTTACCCTGACCTTAAAATGTCGATTTCTCAGATATGAACTGAGCCAGTCAATTAAAGGTGGTTTGATACTCAATTGTTTGAGCTTGTTAATAAGACAGATGTGGTTAACCCCATCAAAAGCTTTAGAGAAATCAAGGTAAATGATGTCCACCTTCCCCTTGCGATCAACGATGCTTGTCCATCTGTCCACCGCGGTCAGCAGGTTCGTCATACAAGAGCAACCCTTCCTGAAGCATGCTGTTGGGGTGAGAAGAAGCTTATCTTCTCTTATAGCCTTCGTACATATGTTTCCTAACTCCGCCTGGAGTCCCTTTCCGGGGGCTACTGCCGGTCCCAAGCCCGGATAAAGGAGGAGGGTTGGGCATGGGGTTAGCGACTCCATCCCGTAGAAAACTAACTCGCTAAAAAAACGCTAACCAGAAAAAATTATTCAAACCATTTAAACTCTGCCCTGGGAGTCAGGAGGTCTTCGTTTAGAAGAATTATGACGCCTCATGATGAAAGCCGAGTTTCTTCGGAAGTCACGAGGCCGATGCCCCTTCTGACAACCAGAGCAACCATTTATTTAGGTACATGGAATGCTCGCACAATGTGGGAGACTGGGAGAGTTTTCCAAATTGCTGCAGAAATGAGAAGATACAATTTGGAGGTGCTTGGGATCAGTGAAACACATTGGACGCAAGTTGGACAACGACGACTAGCTTCAGGGGAGCTGCTGTTATACTCCGGACATGAACAAGAAAATGCCCCACATACACAAGGAGTTGCATTGATGCTGTCCAAACAAGCACAAAATGCACTTATAGGATGGGAATCTCATGGACCAAGGATCATCAAAGCCTCCTTCAAAACAAAGAAAACGGGGATTACAATGAACGTCATCCAATGCTACGCGCCTACCAATGACTACAATGAAGACGCTAAAGATCAATTCTACGATAGGCTGCAGTCAATCGTCGAGAAGTGTCCAACAAAAGACCTGACTATTCTGATGGGAGACCTAAATGCCAAGGTTGGAATTGACAACACCGGATATGAAGAGATCATGGGACGACACGGACTGGGAGAAAGGAACGAAAATGGTGAGAGATTTGCAAATCTATGTGCCTTCAATAAACTGGTCATAGGCGGGACTATATTCCCACATAAACGCATACACAAAACCACATGGACTTCACCGGATCACAGCACACAGAACCAAATCGACCATATCTCCATCAACAAAAAGTTCAGGAGGACGATGGAGGACGTGAGAACAAAGAGAGGAGCTGATATAGCATCAGATCATCACTTGCTGGTCGCCAAGATGAAATTGAAACTCAAGAGGCACTGGACAACGGGGAGGACAATATCCCAAAAGTTTAATACGGCTCTTCTTCGGGATAATGACAAACTCAATAAATTCAAGATAACCCTCAGCAATAAGTTCCAAACCTTTCATGATCTACTCAATGGAGAAGGAACTACTATGGAGAGCAACTGGAAAGAGATAAAAGAGGCAATCACTTCAACATGTCATGGGGTTCTGGGCCAAAAGAAGCACCATCACAAGGATTGGATCACGGTCGATACACTGGATAAGATTCAAGAAAGGAGGAACAAGAAAGTAGCAATCAATACCAGTCGAACAAGAGCAGAAAAAGTCAAGGCACAAGCTGAATACACAGAAGTAAACAAGCAAGTGAAAAGGAGCATCAGAACCGACAAACGTAAATATGTGGAAGATTTGGCAATGACGGCGGAAAAGGCTGCCAGAGAAGGAAACATGAGACAACTGTATGAAACAACAAAGAAACTCTCCGGAAATCACCGTAAACCAGAACGACCAGTGAAAAGCAAGGAAGGCAAGATAATCACCAACATTGAAGAACAACGAAACAGGTGGGTAGAACACTTCAAAGAACTCTTGAATCGACCAGCCCCACTGAACCCACCCAATATCGAAGCTGCACTCACGGACCTCCCAATTGATGTTGGCCCACCAACAATTGGAGAAATCAGCATGGCTATCAGACAAATCAAGAGTGGCAAAGCAGCAGGACTAGACAGCATTCCAGCAGAGGCACTGAAAGCAGACGTAGCGGCAACTGCAAGGATACTCCAAACTCTCTTCAAAAAGATCTGGGATGAGGAACAGGTACCAAAAGACTGGCAAGAAGGACTTATAGTCAAAATACCAAAGAAAGGCGATCTCAGCAACTGTGACAACTACAGGGGAATCACTCTTCTTTCAATACCGGGAAAAGTCTTCAACAGGGTATTGTTAAACAGGATGAAGGACTCCGTAGACGCCCAACTTCGAGACCAACAGGCAGGATTCCGTAAGGATAGATCGTGCACAGACCAAATCGCAACTCTACGGATCATTGTGGAACAACCAATTGAATGGAATTCATCACTCTATATCAACTTCATCGACTACGAAAAAGCATTTGATAGCGTGGACAGAACAACCCTATGGAAGCTTCTTCGACACTACGGCGTGCCTCAGAAGATAGTCAATATCATACAGAATTCCTATGATGGATTAAACTGCAAGATCGTTCATGGAGGACAGTTGACAAAGTCGTTCGAAGTAAAGACCGGTGTCAGGCAAGGTTGCTTACTCTCACCCTTTCTCTTTCTCCTGGTGATCGACTGGATCATGAAGACATCAACATCTGAAGGGAAGCACGGGATACAGTGGATAGCTAGGATGCAGTTGGATGATCTAGACTTCGCAGATGATCTGGCTCCTCTATCGCACACACAACAACAAATGCAGGAGAAGACAACCAGTGTAGCTGCAGCCTCAGCAGCAATAGGTCTCAATATACACAAAGGGAAAAGCAAGATTCTTCGATACAACACAACATGTAGCAATCCAATCACATTTGACGGAGAAGCTTTGGAAGATGTTAAAACCTTTACATATTTGGGCAGTATCATCGATGAACACGGTGGATCTGATGCAGATGTGAAGGCACGGATCGTCAAAGCAAAAGCAGATTTACAACTGAAAAATATCTGGAACTCAAAACAATTAGCAACCAACACCAAAGTCAGAATTTTCAATACAAATGTGAAGACAGTTCTACTATATGGCGCGGAAACCTGGAGAACTACGAAATCCATCGTCCAAAAGATACAGGTGTTTATTAACAGTTGTCTACGCAAAATACTTCAGATCCGCTGGCCGGACACTATAAGCAACAACCTACTGTGGGAGAGAACAAATCAGATCCCAGTGGAGGAAGAAATCAGGAAGAAGCGCTAGAAGTGGATAGGACACACATTGAGGAAAACACCCAACTGCGTCACAAGACAAGCCCTCATATGGAATCCTCAAGGTCGAAGGAAGAGAGGAAGACCAAAGAATACATTACGCCGAGAAATGGAGATAGATATGAGAAAAATGAACAAGAATTGGATGGAACTTGAAAAGAAGGCCCAGGACAGTGTGGGTTGGAGAATGCTGGTCGGCGGCCTATGCTCCATTGGGAGTAACAGGCGTAAGTAAGTAAGTAAGTAACATATGTTTCCTATATGTTTGTATTGCTTGTACTCGCCATTGTTGTTGGTTCGTTTTTATTCTGCCCAAAAGTGCCATTTACGGCTTAGCAAACGAAGAGTGCGGTTTTTGATGATTGTAGGTTGCATGTGGCTTTTGGGGACCGTTTGAGGAACTGAATGCTTTGTAGCACATAAGAGCATGTGTAATAGGAAGTTCCAATGAGAATCCACATCAAGTTGAGGGTGAACATCCCAATCGACCTGTTGCAGATAGTCATGTAGAGCAGATGCATTCAACCGTTTGAAATCCCAGTGCTTGTCGTTGTTGTTGGGATATCTTGACTCAGTTTTGCTGACAAAACCGATGGCTATGACGGCGTGATCGCTTTTCCCCAGGGGAGCCGGAATTGAGAGGTTGTCAACTAGAGATTCTTCGTCTGTAAAAACACATTCTAAGCGCGATGGTGTCTGACTGTTCCTCCAACGAGTTGCTGATTTCACATTTTCGTATAATCCCAAATCCTCAATGAGGTTGAAGAACCGAGCTTCAATTGAATTTTCACCTCCAGTATACGTATGTTCCGCGAAGTTGACTCTGGGGAGATTGAAGTCCCCTAGAATCAGGACATGAGTGAAGCCGAGATGCGTAGAGCGGGATAGTCCTTCCAGCATGCGACTGTCATACTCGATGTCGTCAGTGGGCTTCCCATATATGACTCCGACTAGGCACCATATAGATTCCTGAAGATTGTCAAACTCATGGTTGTGAACTTGGTGTACCTCTAAGCCAGATCGTATGTCTGGGGCTACTTCACCCCCAATTCCTGTTTTTCTGTCATTGCGAAACAGAGACATCCCAGGTATTGCTAGCTCCTGGTCCGAATACTGAGGAGATACCCAAGTTTCAGATATTCCTATCAGATGAACCTTATTAGCGTTGCTAAGTTCAATTAGTTCATCCATTTTATTTGGAAGACTCGCGGCGTTCATGTATAAGCAGTTAATGCTTTCAATTTGAAACGCGTGAGCTCCTTCCTGTTTATCTGTGAGAGCCTTACGTGAGTGGACAGGTAACCCACCTTTATAAGTTTTGCCGAATTGGTAGACCCTATCCTTTACACGTTTCTTTTATCTTGAAGTCAGTCCACAAGTGGAATGATCAACATCACCTACACCAAACTATAGACCTAGCCACTGTCCTACGTCGTTTATTTTTATGCTGTAAGTAAATAAACTTCCAAGTATAGTTTATGTAAAAATTTGGCTAGAAATAACAGAATAAACAAATGTGTTCAAGGCTAGTTCGGGTCTTTATGGTGCTACAAAATGCAAGGATTAACATAGGTTGATTTACCTCCTATCCATACTACTGAAGACTGAATGCAAAATACTCATATTGTATTTTCCCGCGTTTAATGAATGTGAAGGTCATATGGATGATTTGGATTTACCAAAAGATGCAAAATACAAAAGCTTTGTTGCACAAGTTGATAAGTCCCTCAAAAGTTTTGAATACTCTACAGAATGGGCTGACCTTATATCTGCTGTAGGACGACTAATTAAAGTGAGTATTTCCTGCCAAATGTTTTCCGTGTGAATTAACATTTGGGTCATATTAGACCATGATTTCCGTCTGGTTTTTTTTTGAAAGTCCATGAAACTTATAAGCATCTTACTCTAGTGGGTTAGTGCCTGACAAGAGCTGTACACGGTTTCTGTTTATTTTTAAATAATATGCCCCGCTTGTGGCGTGGGCGAGATGCTCTCATGTTAGTCAGGTGAATTTAATGAGCAGCTTGCTCCACTCTATTTCGCGGTTAGGAGACATAGCCGCTACAAATACAACATCTTTAGGTCGTTGGTGTTTATTCATAGGTACTTTTGAAGCATTACGCTCAGATGTTGAGGCCAACAAGTAGGCAATGTTAAAATTAGGCATAAGGTATTCGGTACGGATGCCCGATCAATCCATTTAGTGTTTTTATTGACTTATTTGTTTGGCACATGTATTACGTATGTTTAAATTCATCTTACCACAACGTGCGATGCTTGCTAGCGTAGGAGTAGGCTGAGAAATGATCCAGGAAAGACAAAATCAAAATGTGACATCGGTCTATAGAGTCGTTGGCTGTTGAGCTGAGACATCTTAGTAAATATATGTTACCCGATCGGTGTCCGCGATTATTGTGACTAATGGTTAGAGACGGGTTTCATGGATAAGAATCAACCACGATTTCAAAAGTATATTCACTCTTTGTTTTCCCTTATTTGTCGAATTTTTGACCATTCCAAAAATTCACGTTTTCTTGAATCGCTTCGTCTATATTCCTAATCGTATCTGCTGCCACTAAGTTGTTAGCACGTCTGCCACTCTGGCATTCGTCTCGATAACTTCATCTCATACTGACGTGATGCGGCGGCTTAAATCGACATTGATATGCCAGATCGTACGATGCTTATCACTGACATACTACTTACTCAATTCACCCCTCGTGGAGGAGTATAGGCCGCTTACCAGCACTCTCCATTCGTCCCTGTCCTGGACATTCCTTCAAAGTTGTTCCTATTCGCTATTCATCATTTTGATGTCTGCTTCCAATTCTCAGTGCAGTGTGTTCGATGGTCTTCCTCTTTTCCTTTTCCCTTCACGATTCCAAATTAGGGTTTGCCTCGTGGCGCAGTTTGATGGTTTGTACAATGTATGTTCTATTAACTTCCACTTTTTTTTTCTCGAATATTTTCCAGGATTTCGATAGAGATCTATTCATTATCATGATGCTGCTTGCCATCCAGAACCTTGACACGCTGAAGGTAGTGCTTCTTTGATCCATTTCCAGTTATCCTCCATAGTAACTTCTCGTTCCCTGAGTAGATCTTGTGAGGCTTGGAACCTTTTGTTGAGAATTATCGTAAATTCGTTAACTTAGCATCTTGATGGAAGATTGTATTGAACCTTTGTAATTCTGCTTCCTTAGTTGTCCATTGCTTCTCTAGCTTCAATTTCATCTTGGCAACCACCACGTGGTGATATGAAGCTATGTAAGCTTTTATTCTGGTTCCCATATCTTCCGTTGACCTTTCAAATTTTTTGCTGATGCAAATATGATCGATCTGATTCTGATTCGGTGAGACTCATGAACTTTGTGTATGAGTTTGTGTAGGAATATTGTGCCGTCCATAACCATTTTGTTGAATGCGCACCAATTTGCGAATCTGTCACCATTCTCGTTCCTTTCTCTCGGTTCATGTCGTCCCATCATATCTTTATATCCGGTGTTGTTCATTCTGACTTTGGCGTTTAGGTCCTTTCCTGGGCACTTCGCTATGATCGGTTGCAGCCCTTCGTAGACCCAAACCTCCTTTACCCGGTTTTGGGGCCGGTAGTAAGCCTAGAGACGGAGTTATCATTGATAGTGAAGAAAATCGAACACTGGAAAGTTTGTTTCGAAAAGGAGAATGAATTTTCTGAATCAAAGTACGAAATAGTAAAATTTTGGAGAAGGTAAGGAGTTAATAGATCTGTTTCGCTGTGACCAATTCAGAATCATGACACCAAACGCCTCTATTGATTACGCTTATCATATGGACCCACAACTAGGTAATTTGCATGTACCAACATGGCTCAAATCAACGGTCATTAATTCTATGGACTGATGTTATATCTTGGTTTGGGTGGCTTGAGTTTTTTTTAACCTATTCATACTGCCGCCAACCTTTTGCATCAAGGTAAGGTACGGCCGAGAGTGGGGAGAGTCCGCTCTCCCTCTCGAAACGCTCTCACATGACCATGCGTATATAGCCTCTGCCAGGGAAGTCCTACTCACTACCTTCTCGCACCACGGGTGTTGCTTACGAAAATGAGAGGACGAAAAGTGAATGTCCGGCACCGGCTTTAACCGGGTTCCAAACCAATGGTGCACATGGGTTCCAGTATCCTGCGAGAACAAGTGGCGTATGAACCAATTGTTGGTCACCGGCTACCATGGGACTGCATCTCCTTACGATGCTCCACTGCCTTGTGGGTGAGACGTTCAGGTCGAAGACTCGGGGTGTGGCCCCCTAAGAAAACCACGTGCTTCGCTTTGGGCACTCGGGCAGTATCACAGCCCTCACACAAATCAATCGAGATCTGTGTGGCGCATATGTATTTGGTGCCTCCTTGTACCAATATCTATGTGCTTAAATAAATAAATAAAACAAACTAGTTGATGATACTTAATACATGTCCCAACCACAGCTAATTAAGATCAACAGTCTCACAAACCAATTGAAATCTTTACGTAGTGCTCTCTGTCGAAACTAAGCATTTCTCATTCGTTCGTCTGGTGATACTTACTTATCTCTTTCTGGCTTTTAACATTCTGCTTTGTTTTCCTTCTGATTGTTGTTAAAAGTAACGTTTGATGTAATGATAGGTTTTCAATACTACCATATGTTTCGGTAAACATACACTACCAACTTTCTTTTTCTTTCACAAATATTTACACCAAGAATTTCCCGTTGATTAGTTTTTTGCTTCGCAATGTTTTTCCTATATATATGATGTACTTCAATCTCTGGGCGTTAAAATTATCTTCATATTTTAAATGTCTGTATTATATGAATAAAAAAGTGTAACTAACTAGCATTGTGATTAATAACTATTGCCCATCCAGTTTAGTTTTAACACTCATGTACTTCTATTTCATTTTAAAAATCAACTATAGGTCATTCAGTCAAATACGAAGTGTGGTTACGTTCCTCGAAGCTTTGTTATTGGTAAACGTCTCGCCCAATGTCTTCATCCTGCTCTACCGGCTGGTGTTCATTGCAAAGCATTAGAATGTTACGATGTAATTTTCCGCACTATTGGACCTGAACGTGTCGCCTATGATTTGTATGTTTATGGTCCGGGCTTGTTTGCGCTACTCGAGCCATCTGCTATGACGGTCAAGTCACCGCTGTTTGATATTTATGAAGAACACTTACTTCCTCTTGGAAAATTGCTTCATCCATCATTTTTAGGATTGTTAAAGGTACAATGGGTTGTTCTTTTTTCCTCATTCCAATTAAAGTTAATAAGACTGATTCCATTGTTGTTTTGGCTTTGTTCAAAAGAACTGCTTGGTTTGATTTTAAGCCTTCTAAATAATGCAATATTCTGGATAGTCCTACAATAGTGCATTTTCCACCCGCTCTTATGTACTACATATAAGTAGATATGATTCATAAGTTTAAATCATTTATTCTTGATGAGATGACTATTCATTTTGATCCATCGGTATTAATATCATTTTGCATAAAGAAGGAACGAATTGAGCGAAGAAATTTCTTTTCAATTAGTTGCACAACTAAATAAAGTATTGCCGATGGTCATTATCATACGTATGGTGTGTCCTGGTGTTTTATATACGTTTCATATGTTTTGTAGTGTAAATACGTATACTGCTTTTTATTCAAGGACTCATCTAAATACATAATCTTGTATTCAGCTTTATATTCACCACTTATAACTTTCATTGCTTCACATCTTTTATTAGTGAACACAACCAAAAAGTTGTGAAGGAATTCGAAATAAAGTTGTCTGGTGTTTGTTTTAAACAGATTTTCCATTATATATCACCACGACCATCTGTTATAGGACATAGTTTGGCTATTAAATTCTTTTTGTGTAAACTCTTATAAAGTCAGTCATCAAGTAGTTTTCATAGATCTAACTGTTTCGCTGAACTTACTTTTACTACTTACTTACGCCTGTTGCTCCTCGCGAAGGAGCATAGGCCTCTGTTTCGCTGAAATGTATTGATATATTTTAACCTTCAGTTATGTGGACCAATACGCTGTTTAGTTGCCTACGGTGAGATGAAATAACCACTTGGTACTATTTTTAGCAGTATGTATTGTTATAATTTGAAACGTTAATCGATATCACGTGCTTGATTTACCAATCAGACTTATGATTATAATTTTTCTATTCCGTGTCGACTATTTGATCTACACAGTAACCTCGATCCAGTGCAATCTGAACTTTTATCGATCTGCTCTCCGTAAGCTCTTACACTCTGCTTTGAGTGCCAACTTCTGTTGTACTATATTTCAAGCACATAAACATACTGAGCCACACCACACCATTAATTAAAGAAAAATTACAATTGTACACAAACAATCCAAACGTGGTTGTGAATAGGTTAGGCTGTAAATAATTGATCGGTAGTAAATCAGGTATAGTAGGCTGTATAGTAATAATTAGTGCGTTAAACGAAAGCTTACAGTGAGCGAAGTATAGAAATTTAGTAACTATGCCATAAAAACATATATAATAATAATCTGTAAAATGGCTCCATGGGTTATTATTTCTTCAATCTTCGATTGATACATTATATTTGTGAAGTCAAATGAATACTGCTTGGTTATAACTAACTTTATGTAGCCCAAATTTTGTCGCAATATCTCTATCTCAGTTACTATCCTAATGCATCTGTGAGGTTTGGTCGACGTCATTAACCGATTGACTTAAATTATTTGAAATGACTGTTGTCTAGGTTCCTATCATGTCAGGTAGGTTGATTGAAAGCTAGGGTTTGAGAGGTTTTAAATATAGAATTGAGAGTGACAGGTTTAAGAGAAGAGTAGTCGCGCAGTCAAGTATACCAAATAATCGACAACACTATTGATGTTGCACAGTGTAGACTTATCGAGTAATCATGTTTTCGAAAATAAAAAATCACATAGTAAACTGAAATGTTAGTAGAACTACTAACGGAAAAGTAAGATCAAAATCAGTAAATTGATTGATATAAAACCCGGAAAATGGAGGTTAACGATTCAGTGGCATTTTAGGTGTATATGAAAGTGTTGGTGACTAACCTGTTTTGATAGCAGTTTAATGTATGACTGATCCTACTGACGTGATGACATCTCACAAAATCATAGTATGATAGCACTCCTAGATTTGATAGTTTCAACACATTTCACAGACAACGATAATTAATTATTTTATTTATTTATTTATTTAACACATAGGTATTGGTACAAGGAGGCACCAAATACATATGCGCCACACGAATCTCAATTGATTTGTGTGAGGGCTGTGATACTGCTCGGGTGCCCAAAGCGAAGCAGGTGGTTTTATTAGGGGGCCACACCCCGAGCCTTTGACCTGAACGTCTGATCCACAAGGCAGTGGAGCATCGTGAGGAGATGCAGTCGCATGGTAACCGATGACCAACGATTGGTTCATACGCCATTTGTTCCTTCAGGACACTGGAACCCATGTGCACCATTGGTTTGGAACCCGGTTAAAGCCGGTGCCGGACATTCACTTTTCGTCCTCTCATTTTCGTAAACAACACCCGTGGTGCGAAAAGGTAGTGAGTAGGACTTCCCTGGCAGGGGCTATGTACGCGTGGCCATGTGAGAGCATTTCGAGAGGGAGAGCGGACTCTCCCCACTCTCGGCCGTACCAGGGCATTTGGGGGCTATTAATTAATTACTAAACCTTTTTAACCAAAAAATTAGTATAAGTGACACTCATCCTGTTTTTTTAAGGATTGCTTGTTCAGCTAGTTGGTCTCGGAATAAAGTCGATCATGTTAATTGTATGTGTTTACCTTCTTAGTGTACTTTTGATTTGAATATTAGTGCCATAACGTATAGGTATGTCATTAATAGCTGTAATTCTGATATTGTTTTTCCAGGGCTTGCTACCGGGTTTGGAACCAGGCGCGGAATTCTCTGAACGTGGAAATCGAATGTTAGAGATGTTCAGTTCCTCTGTGGGATCTGCATTCTTTTATACATGTTTGTGGGAGGTAATATGACTTTTTGCTTGTATGAGATGACATACTGCACTACATATTTTAAATTTCATCCTAATTAAAATGAAGTCCTACTCATTGCTTTCTCGTGGCGAGTTTTTTGCTTGCGAAACTTAGAGGACGAAAGGTATTTTAATGGCCAACAAATTCATCTTCCTTAACGGGTCAGTGTCAGTAAATCAGTTACAGCTTCTGTTGTAATTAAGTGTTAAACCGAGCTAGATTCAAGGCTAGCTATCTACCCACTAAAAAGTATAGATGAAGATTAGTTTCAATAGCATGACTATGAAATTGGCGAGTAAAGTCGTTTACGGCTTCGCAAAACGTCGCGCTTATAACCAGTGGTTTTTTAGAGGTCCCTTATAACTCTCTGGGGCATGTCCGTCTACTTCGGGTAACCGCGAGTTTGATAATGGAGGTACATTGTTACATACTGTCTTAGTGTGTGCTACTTATGTCGACGTAAGTAGTATATAGAGCTAGTCAGGAATAGAATATCTGGCAGCAGAAGGTTGAGAAGATCGAGGAGGGAAGAATGGGAACAGAAAGCAATTAGTATGGAAATGTAGGAACAATTAGTGAACATTTTGCAAATGAAGTATCGGAATCTTTTTCTATTTTATCAAGTAACTGTAATTTTGTGTTAAATACAATCGGTTGTCCTCACTTGTGTTCTCCCTCACTACACTGTAACTGAAGTTTGCGTAAGGACCAAGAATCTTGGTAGTCGGAGCGTGCTAACTATTTGGAAGCAGCAGCTGCATCTAGTAACTTTCTGAAGCTCTTTCAACTCATTCGGGTGACTGTCAGCTAGAAGTCTGGTGTGAGTGAAACAATACGTGAAAATTATAGAATACCAATCAATAACATCTACCGACGTCTCGGGCTGTGGATAGAGTTCTTTGAGGAACAGTTCAATTAGTTTGCTGCTCCGGTGACATTAATCAGTCTATTTTATCTTCCCTGGTCAGTGTCGACTGATCTACCTAACGATGTGGAAGTTCACAAGGTACTCCATCTTTTGAAGCGCTACAAATCACCAAGCCTAGACGACTTACCTCCGACCTTTTTTAAAGACAGTGGCGACTTTCTGGTTATTGAATTGAGTTGTTTGCAAAGTTTTGTTCCAACTTCCTGGAATGATTTGACAGTCGTCTCTATCTTTAAAAATAGTTTGCCCCCAAATGCCCTGGTCCTTCACGACTGCCTAGTCGGAGTCGTGTAGATAGTTACGTACAGTGACTTGAGACGTTATCAGACATAGTCCAATATAGAAACCATTGGCAAACGTGCTATAAATGTCCTTTAATTTCCTCATTTAAGTGAAAGGAACTTCTAAACTAAAATAATGCTTTCTTGATGGTATATCTTTATACCAATGTTAATGCGTTTAAGTAAATTAATAAATATAATACAGGACCGTGTACTTATACCGTGGTATGTACTGCTATACTTCTTTTGAATAAGGCTATAGACGCGCTGTCTTACGGGAGCATTTCATGAATGTGAGGATTGACTACCTGTACCCCACGCCATATAAGAATAACGGGGTGGTCTTTTGCTGCAGAGATTGTGATAGATCAAGATTCATGTAATTTGCTGTGTACTAGATTATTGAAAGCAAACACCTTGGATAGAAAGCAATATCTTTTTCGTTCACCATTGGTTGTAATTGAGTTTTACCAACTACATATTTGACGGAATTCAGTCATCACATAAAAATAGTCATTGTGAAATGTAGGAAGTGTTAAAATTAGCCTTGATCTCAAGGTCAACATAGTTACAGGAAACAAGGATATTTATAGGTTTATCTACAAAATTGATTTTATAGAAGCTTCTTGAATAATTTTTTCTGGTTAGCGTTTTTTTAGCGAGTTAGTTTTCTACGGGATGGGGTCGCTAACCCCATGCCCAACCCTCCTCCCTTATCCGGGCTTGGGACCGGCAGTAGCTCCCCGAAAGGGACTCCAGGCGGAGTTAGAAGCTTCTTGAAATATACTGAAATTAGTAAGAAAATTGGTAATTATTCAGTTAGGTATACAACACTTGGCCCGTTGGTTTACTAGAGCTATTCATGAATTTTCTATTGAACAAGAATTAATCCATTCCTATAATTGAAGAGCATATGGAACTCAAAACAACCTTCAACCAATATCAAAGTCAGGATCTTCAATACGAACTTCAAGACAGTTCTACTGTACGGAGCTGAAACGTGGAGAACTACTACAACCATCATCATCATCAAGAAGTTACAAGTATGTGTATATAGCTGTCTACGCAAGATACTCAACATCCATTGGTCGGATACCATCAGCAACAGCCCTTTTTGGTCAAGAACAAACCAACTTCCAGCTGAGTAGGAAATTAGGAAAGGACGATGGAAATAAATAGGACATATATTACGCAAATCACCAAAGTGCATCACGAGAAAAGCCCTAACTTTGAATCCTGAGGGGAAGAGGAAAAGAGGAGGGCCAAAGAACACATTATGTCGGGAAATAGAATCAGATATGAAATGGATGAATAAGAACTGGAAATGATTGCTCAGTACATGGTTGAATGGAGAGTGCTGGTTGGCAGCCTATGCTCCTCGATGATGGGTAACAGGCGTAAGCAAGTAACCTGTGAAGTTTATTCAGAAGAGTTAATCAATGTTCTCAATTGATTAAATCAGTAATATTTTTTTATTCCAGTATACCTCTCTCTATAATCCAGTTTTATTTTCTCCCTTTTAAAGCTTCTAATTCGATGTCCATCTATACGACAATATGGAATTTCATTTATACTCAATCATTTAAACAAACGTAAATCATTAGATAGTCAAAGTTATATTTATGGTTTAGATAAAAATATTCTTGTAAGTTAAACAGAAATTTTTTTCTAATTGTTTATTTATTTGTTGTTTTGCTAGTTTTATGTTTGTATGTAGGTAGGTAAGTTTTGATAAAGTATTATTCTTTAAGCTAAATATGTTTGGCCGTGGAGCTTTCCTCATTCTTCTGAACGACATCATCAGTCCAAATTTTATGATAATTTTAATTCTTTATTATTAATAGAAAGTAAATAATTTTCATCTGGTACTTAAAAATATTTACCGGTTATTTCTGCCAGGGAAGTCCTACTCACTACCTTCTCGCACCACGGGTGTTGTTTACGAACATCAGAAGACGAAAAGCGAATGTCCGGCGCTGTAACCGGATCCCAAACCAATGGTGCACATGGGCTTCAGTATCCTAGAGGAACAAATGGCGTATGAACCAATCGTTGGTCACCGGCTACCATGGGACTGCATCTCCTTACGATGCTCCACTGCCTTGTGGATCAGAGTTTCAGGTCGAAGGCTCGGGGTGTGGCTTTCTAAGTAGACTACTTGCTTCGGTCTGGACACTTGGGCAGTATCACAGTCCACACACAAATCAAGTGACTTGTGTGGGGCATATCTATTTGGTGTCTCCTTCTACCAATATCTATGTATTTAAATAGAATCAAATAAATACTTATTAATAGATAAAATATCCCTGATAGAAAATATAAAATATCTTGAGACGTAAGATTTGTTCAATATATTGATATTATTAATGATAATGCCCTGATACGGCCGAGGGTGGGGAGAGTCCGCTCTCCCTCTCCAAATGCTCTCACATGGCTACGCGTATATAGCCTCTGCCAGGGAAGACCTACTCCCTGCCCTCTCGCACCATGGGTGTTGTTTACGAAAATGAGAGGACGAAAAGCGAATGTCCGGCACCGGCTTTAATCGGATTCCAAAACCAATGGTGCACATGGGTTCCAGTATTCTGAAGGGACAAATGGTGTATGAACCAATTGTTGGTCACCGGCTACCATGTGACTGCATCTCTTTACTATGCTCCACTGCCTTGTGGGTCAGACGTTTAGGTCGAAAGCTCGGGGTGTGCCCCTTAAGAAAATCATCTGCTTCAGTTTGGGCACCCGGGCAGTATCACAGCCCTCACACAAATCAATTGAGATTCGTGTGGCGCATATGTATTTGGTGCCTCTTTGTACCAATATCTATGTGTTAAAATAAATAATAAATATAATAATGATAATAACAATTCAATATATATATATATACTGTTTAATTTATCTTTTTATAGGTCGAGAGTTTATGTTGTCTATTCGGTGATAGTGTTCTACTAGTACAACGTGATGCTCTTGATTTTATTCTGTTAGCATTACCAATACATTTTTATTCGAAAATAACATGGACAACAGAGCGTAATCCATTTCAGTTTATCACTAATCAATCTTTAACTGTAAAAGATTTTGCTATGTTATGTACAGCTTCTTTGTCTATTTTACTACGTCGTGATGCATCATTGAATCGTCGTTTATTTATTTGGCTTAAAGGTAGTCAGTCAGTTGAGGGAATGGTTATGGATAGTTTAGATAACCAAATAGGTGTTAATCAATCAATGACATGGGCAGACATAGTCATGAATAAAGTAGATGATAAACATGTATTGGTAAGTTATTTATAAAAGATTTATATGTGTACAAATATCATACCATAGAGTAGAACGAAGTGAACTTCTGTCAAATTAAATTACGTGCAGTCCCAAGATTTTAACTAAGATCTCAGCTAATCTAACTGATAAGACTGGACTACTATTCTCAAAAGTTTTGTGAGTTAGTTCACCAGGCCCTTCTTCTCTCCCTCATTTTATATTGTTTACAACCTTTTCAACCACACTAAGAGTTGAAGGACTTACCATTCAGGTTACCTGTAACTGAAGTGTGACTGAAGGCCAACTGAACTGCTCCCTAAATTGTGCTGCTCATCAGTTCAATCTCCTTGATTGAGAGTGAATAATAGTTCCGTCTTTCTCCGAGATACTTTCACTAACAGTCGGATTTTTAAAACCGGTTTCCTTGATAAGTTCGGAAAGTTTTCTATTGTTACCTATCGCTGCTTAATTTTTCATCTCGTCTACTTTTGCTACCCACCACTGCTCACAATTATTACGTAAATTTTCTCCCATCCTACGTTTAAGCTGCCTCTACTCCTCATCGTGTTCAGAGATAGTTATGATAAGTTTCCTATCATCCATTAGTTCTGCAGACGCCGCTAAAGTCCACTGATTTTTCCTTACCTCTTGGTTTAAGCTACCAGTAGATATCACTGCTGTTCCCACAGTTTTTTGGATATCATACCAAGCTACCTCGAGGTGGATATCATTCCATGTTTGGCTAGCACATTCTCTAGTTGCTCCTGAAAGTTTTTCATCATCAAGTTGGACTCTGAGGGGTCTTCTTGCTGTAGCTTTTCTACGTCCAGTAAGTTGCAGATAAATACGTGCTTGAAGTAGGGTATAATTCGAGCATCCATATATGCTTCAGAATGGCCATCAGTCTTCTGTCGAGCCTCTCCAACGATAAATGGTGGCAATGTGGTCTAATTGAATCCATCGACCAGTCGATTGTGCGAGCCATCACGTCAGATGATGTTTCTCCGTACATTTAAAGTTGGTCCGTGAATAGAAATGGACTTTTATCTAAGCATAGTTGCAGCACATAGTCATCATTATCTGTCTGCTGAGCTGCAACAACGCAAAATTCGTCTAAGTGCCTTTCGGTTTGGTTTAGCCTACCTAATTAATCATTAAAATCACCTGCCACTATTACTACATACGGATGTTCAGTCTTTTGATGGAGGTTGGATAGCTTCCTGTAGAATTTATCCTTAATTTCATCCGAGCTGCAGTCAGTGGGAGAATATGCAGAGACAACGAAAAGACAACAGCGTGTGTCTCTGTCTTTTTGAGTTCTCACTATCCCGTCTAGTCGGACAGCACACAAGTAACTGTCTATTGGAATCTAGTCTGACAAAACCTGTCCTACTTTTGAATTTAATGCTATACCTACATCAGTTATGCCACAGGAAGTAGTCTTGGGGTCTCCAGATACTTGGAACATAAATCGTGTCGGTTCTTTACGTTGACATGGTGAGGTCAAATAAATGACTGTACTTTGGTCCTGTACACACGTTTCGGAAACGCAACATACATCGATGACACGAGATTCTAGAGTCGTAGCTAAAGAAATCTATTGCCCTCTCTGATGCAAAGTTCGAATATTACTGTTGTCACACCTCTGTACAATCAGTAATTAGCCTTCGTCTTAGGGCGTTAAGTTGCTGCTTTTAACTTGAATAATCTTCAACCGACCTTACTAGAATGGTAGAACTTAAAGGAATATATATTCTGACCAATAGTACTTAGTTGAGTCATCATAATAGGCAAATCGACTATCACGTCAAATTAGCGGCTGCAATCTTTTTATGTTACTATCATTACTGTTTATCAATTTCTATATTTATATTTTGTATATTAAACAACCATTAAATTCAGTTTAACTGTTAGTTTTTGTTTAAATTCTTTATGGTGTTATTTAGGATATGAATGATCAACATGAAAGTAATAGTCAACGTTATTTTAAATTATATTCACAAATCATTCTTACCGAAGCTGTACGTCGTTTAATCTATAATCCTAATTGTTTACCTATTTCATGTCAATCCAATGAAAATCATTTGAATTTTTCTGCTAAATTCACATTTGGATCAGATTTATCTGCATTAGGTAAATGTATATTCAGATCCTTTTTTTTAAAAAACTTTTTTTCATGAAAAAAATTATTCTTATGCTATGTTTGAAGTGATTATAAGTTCACCTAGTCTACGAACGGAACAAAGACTCTGTGACCAAAGATCAATAAGCTAGATATTTTGATACGTTCCAACTCCGCTAACCAGAGAGAGAGAGAGAGAGAGGGAAGTCGAAGTTCCAACGGGGAAATATATTCCTCACGCACGTATATATCAGTCAGTCAGTCAGCTGCACGTATATGCATCGGTCCAAGTTGCCATACCGCATTAGCACAACAAGATGAACACCGGATTCATAGAAGTAGTTAATTCAGTGGTGGTAATATATAGAAGAAAGAGTGTGTATAAAGAGATAGTACAGGAAGAAAGAATTAGTTGGTAGAAAGAAAGATTTGAAGTGATTTCAATCTCTTAGCTTAAAGGAAAACAGTGAGTGTACACACCTACGCCATTGTGATCGATTCTGAGCCATGTCACTCAGAGTTTCCAACCATTGGTTTACGATGGTCACGCGGACCCGAACAGAGTAGTTTGCATCTACCAACATGGCTCAGACCAGAAGTTAGTGACTTCAAGCACTGATGCCACGTTTTGGTTTGGCCACCCACCCGGTTAGCATTGCGCGTCGTAGTAATCGGTGTTCAGGCATACGCAGCACGTGGCCTAACCATCTCAGTCGATGAAGATTCATAACCTCATCAACTGACTTACCATCATTCCCTAATACCTTGCGTCTAACCTCACTATTACTTACCCGGTGATCCCAGCAGATACCCGCAATATTTCTAATGCACCTGTGGTCAAATACTAGTAACTTACGAATATCTTCTACTCTTCAAGGCCATGTTTCACAGCCGTATAGTAGAACGGAACGAACTGGCGCGCAGTATACTCGTCCCTTAATTGATAGACGGATATCTCACCTTCGCCATAGATGACGTAAGTTGGCAAAGGCCAAGCGAGCTTTTCGAATCCGTGCTGAGATTTCGTCAGACACCAACCCATTAGGGCTGATCAGACTTCCAAGATAAGTGAAGTTGTCGACGAGTTCGACTACTTCACCCCCTATCCTTATTTCAGCTGTTGACGCAGACCAGTCCTGAAGCAACAACTTGCATTTAGAGGGAGAGAAGCGCATCCCAAACATTCTGGCATTGTTGCTCAGTGCTACCAAAAGACTCTGCATTTCATCAACGTCTTCACCGAACAGACGTATATATAGAGCATAAAATTGTCCTTGAGAGGAGTTACAAAATAGCATACTAAATGAAACAATAAACCAATAGTGTTCAAGATTCTCTCGAGTGGGAAATACAACATGAAGGTGAGAAGAGTGTTTTTGGCGCAAAAACAAAGAAATTCAAATTTTAAAAATAAAACTAAAAAATTAAGGTATTCACCCGAGTAAGTTCTGAGGATCTATCATCCCCAACATCTTGATAAAACAACAATAGAGAAATTCATATAATACTACTTCCTATTAGAGATTAGAGTCATAAAGGGAATACAATCAGCATAAATTTTATTTAGTTTGATATGTCACTGTATACAAAGGTCATCGGAATACTTATTGGTTTCTAGGCTGAGACATGTGTTGTATCGTTACGTTTCTATTAATATAGAGTTGTGATAAACTAGTGAACGCTCATAAACAATGCACACATACATGTATGAAACATAATACCATTTCATTCTTCTCACGTAGTTTCGATATCAGCAACTACTGCTACATATGTTAACCGTTTGGATGGTATTCGTAATAAGTGATCAGATCAATACCAAACTCATAGGATGTCGCACAGTTATCTTTCAGTTCATACTTCACATTAACACAATAAAAGAAAATTAAGATTAAAAGTATTACAATCAGTTGTAATGGTAAATTAATCATACAGAGTGTTATTCGCAAAAAATGATTGAAATCATGTATTGTGAATTGATTCAATGGAAGATCAAGGTTGAAGGTTGGGAGATTAAAAGTTTCATTCCTGAAATGTCAACCTCTTCTTTTTTATTTTTTTTTTCTACATGCATCTCATGTTTAAATTTCTATTCGAGTTAGAATTTATGCATAAAGGTTTTTTTTCTCAGAATGAGTATCTACAACACCATTACCATAAATCTATTTATGTTTACTACTGTAGTTAAGTAACCACTTTTTTTAAATCAATCTATGTTTCGTAGGTAGTGTTCGTCAAAAATCGATCTCATTTGCTTTACTCTTGAAAACCAAGGAGTACTAAATAGTTGTTTCGTTCTGGTATAAAACTCCTCAACAGTACAAACCCACTACTCCAAAAAGTATCAAACTCAGGACCTTCATGTCTTGCAAAGAAAAAAAAACACTTAACCATCAGAACTACTGAGCCAACGCTTGTCACATGACATGAAGTTATTGTGTTTTCACTACTGAGGAATCCTGTTCCAGAATTATTTATTTCTTTACTTATTTTAACACAGACATTAGTACAAGGAGGAGCCACACAGATCTCATTTGATATGTGTGAGGGCTGTGATACTGCCCGGATGCCCAAACCGAAGCAGGTGGTTTTCTTAGGGAGCCACACTCCGAGCCTCCGACCTAAAGGTCTGACCCACAAGGCAGTGGAGCATCGTAAGGAGATGCAGTCTCATGGTAGCCGATGACCAACGATTGGTTCGTACGCTATTTGTTCCGTCAGGATACTGGAACCCATGTGCACCATTGGTTTGGAATCAGTGTTTTCCAACTCCGCTAAGTAGATCCTCAGTGTCCACTTAACCGGTTAAAGCGCCGGACATTCGCTTTTCGTCCTGTCAATTTCATCAACAACACCCCCTCCACGAGAAGGCAGTGAGTAGGACTTCCATGGCAGAGGCTGTATACGCGTGGCCATATGAGAGCATTTCGAGAGGGAGAGTGGACTCTCCCCACTCTCGGCTGTACCCAGGGCATTTGGGGGTACTCCTTGATTTTCATTGGTAACCCCCAGATAAGATTGATTTTAGGTGACTTATAATTACAAATCAAATTAATCTTTGTAAAATCTCGTTTATTTATTTATTTCACCAATGTACCAATGAATTTTTTTTCTTTTTTTTTATTTCTAGTTATAGAACGAAGCATTTCCGAACGTCCATTTCGTATTTTAATTAGTTTAATTGATCATCCAGATATAGGTTATGGACTTTTAGATCATTTATTATTAGATATAATGTGGTATACATATGAAACTTATTATAAATTACATTGGCAAACTACTTATTGTTTAATGAATTCAAATTCAATAAATAAATTATCATTATATCGGGATTTTACATTCACTATATCCGATTTAGTAAATCGACCAAGTTTATATGATAAACAATTACCAAATAATATGACAAATTTAATTAAAGATTATATTTTCATTCGTGATAGTGTAAAATCATCAAGTTTAAGTAAGTTCTTTTTTCATCTTACTATCTATTATTTATTTGAACACATAGATATTGGTACAAGAAGGCATCGAATACATATGCACCACACAGATCTCATTTGATATATGTGAGGGCTGGATGCCCAAATCGAAGCAGGTGGATTTCTTAAGGGGTCACACACGGAGCCTTCGATCTGAAAATCTGATCCACAAGGCAGTGGAGCATCGTAAGAAGATGCAATCACATGGTAGCCGGTGACCAACGATTGGTTCATACACCATTTGTTCCGTCAGGATACTGGAACCCATGTGCACCATTGGTTTGGGATCCGGTTAAAGCCGGTGCCGGACATTCGCTTTTCGTCCTCTCATTTTCGTAAACAACGCCTGTGGTGCGAGAAGGCAATGAGTAGGACTTCCCTGACAGAGGCTATCCACGCGTGGTCATGTGAAAGCATTTGGAGAGGGAGAGCGGACTCTCCCCACCCTCGGCCGTACCAGGGCGTTTGGGGGCATTCACAATTATATAATGTACCCTTGTGGGCCAGGGTAATTTTGCATCGCTTTTCAAGGGAACCAGACACCGTCCAGACTTCTATGTGACAACCCAGACAGTACAGCCCAAGCGCGTTTAACAGGAGAGCCAGACACTGTATAAGCTTTAACGCTACGATGTGAATAGTACAGCTCAGTCCTGTGGCGCAACCACACAGGTACCAAGCACCCACCAGGGCGCTTCCTACTATCTGTAATCTTCATATATATATCTGTTTGTGTAATATATGTATAGACTTGAAGTTTTTGTTTTAAATGCCCCCAAATGCCCTGGTACGGCGGAGAGTGGGGAGAGTCCGCTCTCCCTCTCGAAATGCTCTCACATGGCCACGCGTACATAGCCCCTGCCAGGGAAGTCCTACTCACTGCCTTCACGTGGCGGGGGTGTTTTTTACGAAAATGAGAGGACGAAAAGCGAATGTCCGGCACCGGCTTTAACCGGATCCCAAACCAATGGTGCACATGGGTTCCAGTATCCTGACGGAACAAATGGTGTATGAACCAATCGTTGGTCACCGGCTACCATGGGACTGCATCTCCTCACGATGCTCCACTGCCTTGTGGATCAGATCTTTAGGTCGGAGGCTCGGAGTGTGGTCCCCTAAGAAAACCACCTGCTTCGGTTTTGGCACCCGGGCAGTATCACAGCCCTCACACAAATCAATCGAGATTCGTGTGGCGCATATGTATTTGGTGCCTCCTTGTACCAATACCTATGTGTTAAAATAAATAAATTTTTTTTTAAATATTTTTCTCCATTTAGTTTAAGGTGGCAAGGTTGTTAGAGTTGTTTGTAGAGTGCTTAATAATCCTTGATGACATAATCTGCGAATGGAAGTCTTTTCTTAAGAGATGAGTAGTGAAGACATTTTGGCGTGGGTGCGTAATTGTTGACCCCAGGAGTTTGATCAGTCATTCACTCAGTAACAACGTAGAACTTCGTACGTACATACATCAGTTCAAATTGCTATACCACATTAGCACAGAGATACAATTGTCGATTTAATTGTCTGGATAATATACGGAATTTGTGCCAGTGAATTAAATGTTGTTAGGTGCTACTATATCCCCTTACATTTGACAGTGTAACTTCCTCCTTGGACCTTATGCTTGCTGATCTCACTTTTGCTAATATACATCCAGCCTGTTTAATAAGATAGAGCCTCAAAAAATGTGTTCCGCCCAATATAACCCGATTGGGCTTCATGATAGCCAAACCCAGTCACCACATCAGAATAGCAGCTATTATCGGGCAATTAGCAATAAGTATGTCATAATAAGTTGTGGTATCTGACATAAGGTTGTTTAGTATTTCTTTATAATCACTGATTTATCCAGTCAATATTTATCAAAAATATCACAATGTACTTTTAACAGTGTGATCATCATCTCATCAGCCCATGTGGTCTGGTGTGTTATGAAATCTCAGCACGGATACAGAAAGCTCGACTATCTTTTGCCAACTTGCGTCATTTGTGGTGTAGGCGAGATATCCGTCTATCAACCAAAGGACGGGTTTACTGAGCAGCACTTTTTTGTGTACTACTTTATGGTTGTGAAACATGGTTGGTAAGAGTTGGAGGATGTTCGTAAGCTACTAGTATTTGATCATAGGTATCTTCTAAAAATTGCTCGTATATCCTGGCACCAACGAGTAAGTTAGTCAGTTGTTAGGAAATGGGTACTACGTAAGGATGGCAAATGAATTGATGAAGTTGTGGGACTTCATCAGTTGAGATGGCTTGGACATGTGTTACGTATGCCTAACCACCAACTACCCCGACGAGCGATGTTCAATGGTGTAGGAGTAGGTTGGAAGAAAGCTATGGGCGGCCAGACCAAAACATGGTACAAATCCATGAAGTCGCTGACAAGTGGACTGAGCCATGTTGGTAGGTGTAGACTACCTGGCTGGGATCCACAAGATGATAACAACCGATGGTTAGAGACCTTGAATGACATGACTGAAAATCGTTCGAAATGGCTCAGGTACATTCACTCTTTGTGTTCTCTCAAATTACTAATCTGAATTCTTCATGTCTCTTTCTTTTTCTTTTTCTTTCAAAATTTATTTCACTGGATTATACTCTTTGAATAACATCTTCAAACTCGAATGTTTCCGATTACTTTTCATGCTTTTACTACCTCTACCACTACGGAATTTGTATCGACAATTGTATCTGTTTGTTTATGCGGTACGGCAAATCGAACGAATGTACGTATGTACGTTTGAAGTTCTACGTTGTTGCTGACTGAGTGTGATCAATAATCAGTTCGAAAACAGTTATTCCATTAACCATTAAGTTTCCAATCCGGATACCTTTCCTATGACATTAAAGAATATCTCAAAGCCGACATCCTCTACCTACATTTTACTGGGAATAAAACTTATAATCATCATCATCCTCCTCCTCCTCATCATCATCATCATCTATTAATATACATTTTAATATTGAGTCGTTTGTTGATCTATCATCTTTAAAAAAAACATATTCATGCTTTTTGTTTTTATTCCAGGAATAGATAATCAAGGTAGAAATTTCGAATATAATAGAACAACAAGTTTAATTGATAAAGAAGATTCATTATCTTTAAATGATTCAAATATCAAGAAGATTTCAATACAACATTCTAATAATCCTACCACTATGACTACCAATACTACTTATACTACTAATACTACTACTAATAATAATAATAATGTTGTTGATGAATTCTTACGTACATCACATTTATTTTTCAGTAATATAAATAGTGAATTTTTATGGAAATTTATTGAAAATCAATTTATTGAATTATTGAATTTATCAACAATCAATACAATTGAATCAATCAATATCCATCCGAATAAGATTATATCATCATCATCAACGTCACCATCTATTGAATATGATAATTGGCAACAATCATCATTGAAATTATCATTAATTCAATGGTGTTCTATTATACATTTCTTATTGAATTGTTTACCAATGGATATATATCCTAATGTACGTGGTTTATATCTTCCACATTTAATTATTCATTTAACAAATTGTTTAGTTGAAAAACTTCGAATTAATTGTCAATTATATGATCATGATCAAACTTTATTATTAAAAGAAGATAGTTTTGCCGAGTATAAATTAACATCTATAGAATGGGCTAGTATAATCAATTGTTTAGATACGATTGTACATCATATACGTGAGGTAAGTTTATTCATTTAATATTAGTTATTGTTGTCAGTAAAGATGCTACAGGCTATCATCGAAGATTCTTTGGCCAATAACTTCTCTCATTCCTTGCAACATGTCTGTGGCAGAACCGTGTTGCAGGTTGATGTTATTAAGGAGTTGGTTTAACCTTTGTTGATTGGTTAGATCTCCGCGTTTAAGGATGGATCGTTTAAGGGTTTTGTATGGTTCAGAAACATCACTAGTAAACATACTAGATGTTACGTACCTGTTTAGTTCTCGCGGTAGTGTCTTGACTACTGCGAGAAATTGTGCAAGTGTGTCGTTCACGCCGTGCTCGTAGAAGTCGGCTTCTGCGTAGCAAAACCAGGCTTCAATGTTGTCTGGCCAGAAAGGCATTGGTTGAAAGGACGGTGGGGACTCAGTCTTTAACTTAAATACCTTAGGTGTCTGTTCAGTCATAATGATATATTAAGTACAAGAATGGACGAGTGCGAAATATATATATCCAAAAACACGAAAAAAGATATCGCAATGTATAAAAAATTAAAATAAGACAATGATATATAAAATCCCAAAAAGGAACAGACTCACAGTTTGCAATTTAGTGTACCAGATCACGTCGGGCTCACCAACGAAGATGCCACAGGTATTCAGAGTTTGACAACGCTTTAACCAGTAACACCTAATATGAAGCGTACCCACCAACTGAAATCAAAAGACAGAAGCAAGAAGGTTCGAAGATATATTTGATAGGCTCTCAATATATCGAGGATCGTCTGAACTAATCTGGCTAGCGATTGCAGTAGATGTTGAGCACGGCGTTCCCACACGTGATCTGGTGTGGATGCGTGACCGAGCGCTTTCAGCTAGATGAGTCCATTAAAACTAATGTGGTCAGCATCCAATGTCGAAAACTTACAGAGCTATTTATTTTAGGGATTTATTTACCGCTACATCAGTATCTAGTCATAGGATACACTATTATTTACATAATAAACCGTATCTTCATTCTGTTTTCTGATAATCTATTTTCGACCCAAATTTTACAAACATTCATTACCATATTCTATTCTGATTAATGCTAAAAATGGTTGTTTGTTTATACAAAATTAAAGTGATGATTATAATTCAAAAAAGTTGGTGTGGAGTAGTTAAAGTTTCAGTAGCTAAAGAAGCACTGGGCAACTACGGAAGTAGAATTACAAAGGTTCACTACAACGTTCCATCAAGATACTGACAAAGTTTACGAATTCACAATAGTTCTCAACAAATGGTACAAGATCTACTCAGAGAAAAAGAAACTACTATAGAGAATAACTGGAAATGGATCAAAGAAGCACTAACTTCAACATATCAGGAGTTTCTGGATGGCAAGCAGCATCATGATAAGGAATGGATCTCTATTGAAATTCTGGAAAACATTCAAGAAAGGAAGAACAAAATAACAGCAGCTAACAACTCCAGAATGAGAACAGAGAAAGTCAAGGCACAGGTTGAATAGACAGAAGCAAACAAGCGAAGAAGAGGCGTATTACAGCCGACAAGCAGAACAGCTAGAAACGAGGAAATATGATACTGCTATATGACATCTGAGGGGAGGCATGGAGTACAGTGGACAGCTCGCAATCAGTTAGAAGATTTGTACTTCGCAGATGATCTGGCCCTTCTATCCCACACACAGCCCCCAAATGCCTTGGTACGGTCGAGAGTGGGGAGAGTCCTCTCTCCCTCTCGAAATGCTCTCACATGACCACGCGTATATAGCCTCTGTCAGGGAAGTCCTATTCACTGCCTTCTTGCAAATGAGAGGACGAAAAGTGAATGTCCGGCACCGACTTTAACCGGATCCCAAACCAATGGTGCACATGGGTTCCAGTATCCTGAGTGAACAAATGGTGTATGAACCAATCGTTGGTCACCGGCTACCATGTGACTGCATCTCCTTACGATGCTCCACTGCCTTGTGGATCAGAGTTTCAGGTCGAAGGCTAGGGGTGTGGCCCCCTAAGAAAACCACCTGCTTCGGTTTGGGCATCCGAGCAGTATCATAGCCCTCACACAAATCAATTGAGATTCGTGTGGCGCATATGTATTTGTTGCCTCCTTGTACAAATAAAAATAAATCCCACACACACGAACAAATGACTATAAAGACAAATAGCGTAGCAGCAGTCTCTGCATCAGCGGACCTCAACATGCACATGGAAAAAAGCAATATCTTCAAATACAACACAGAGAACACTAACACAGTCACACTTAATGAAGAAGCTCTGGGATATATGGAATCTTTCACGTACCTGGAAAGCATCATTGATAAACACGGAATATCTGATGTAAGGGTAATGATATCCAGCTTTGAGATTAATAAGTCGGATTCTGTAAGGATCGGTCGTACAAAGACTGAATCGCGACACTACGGATCATCGTTGAACAATCAATCAGCCTAAGAAGAACGTCAACATCATCTGGAATTCATACGACGGATTACATTGCAAAGTTGTGCAATATTTTACTATACCTATTACATAGTTGTTAAACAGTATATCATTGATTATTATTAATTATAAATAATCAATGAATAGTTTTTTTATTTCAATAATAATCTCATGCTGTGTGCTCAATTTTACTTTTATTATTGACAGTATGCAGTGACAATGTTTGATCAGTTATCGAGTCCAGTCAATTTTAAACGTCAAGAAGAATCATTATTATCAAATAACAGTAATAATAATAATAATAATACTAATAGTGGTAGTGGTCAATGTAATGAGATCAACAGTAATGATGGTATTGCTGATAGTCAGGATAATCAAATTTCTGAAGAATTAATAATGATTGCTAAAGCAGTTGGTCAATTTCGACGATTTCTTGGCATATTCTGTATTCATGTTTTAAATTTTTCACCAGTTAAAGTTAGTTTAATTTTTAAAAAAAAATATATTTTCATTATTCTTGTTTCATATGTTGAAATCCTTCTTGAATAGTAATGATTTCCACCCAGGCAGCTCCCAAATCCCCTGATACGGCCGAGAGTGAGGAGAGTCAGCTCTTCCTCTTGAAATGCTCTCACATAGCCACGTGCATGCAACCATTGCCAGGGAAGTCCTAATGACTGACTTCTCGCGGCAGGATTGTTTTTTATGAAGTTGAGAGGATGAAAAACGAATGTCTGGCGATTTAACCGGGTCGGTGGATATGGAGAATCCACCTAGGGAAGTTAGAAAATCCCTGATTTTAAAGCAATGATTCACATGGACTTCAGGATCCTAGGGCAACAAACGGTGTATGAACCAATCGCTGGTCACCGACTAACATGGAACTGTATCTCCTAAAGTCGCTCCACTGCCTTGTTGACCAGACATTTAGGTCGAAGGCCCCCTAATAAAACCACCTGCTTCGGTTTGGGCACCCGGGCAGTATCACAGCCCTCATACAAATCGAATGATTTATGTGTTGCATATGTATTTGGTGACTCCTTGTACCGATATTTATGCGTTTAAATAAATACCATTTCAAATACGGAAAATAAAAACTCAATTTTCTAATTGTTCTAGTCATAAAGTCAGTTTGATTCTTTAATCTCACATTATTTATGTTAACCATGTTACTGTATTTTGAATGACCTGTTGATAATAGCATTTCTTGACAATCATTCAGGTGTTATATAATAGATAAAATAGATATATTACGTTAACTGTAGTCTCTGGGTCAACGATTTCGGTGTCTGTTATACTAGTTAGTTCATCTTAGTCATTGTTTCCGTGGTGTCTGTAAGCCAAAATCAGTTAACCGGAAATTTTGAATTTTCTCTTTCGCCTTGTGTGATGTATGCTACTTATGTCGACAGACATAAGTGATATATAACACCAATCAGAAGTGGAAAACCTGGAAGCTGAAGGCTAAAATGATGAAGTTGAAGAGAATAAAATGGAATAGCGAATAGGAAGAATCACACAGGATGTGAAGGACAAATAATATAAATTATCAAATGAAGTATTCAATGTATGGTTCTTATATTTTACCTAAACGTTATGTAATTATATATCAAAATACACTGGTTGTCCCCACCTGTGTTCTCGTTCACAACACTTGTCCGAACTGATCATCAACAATCTGTCTGTCATCTGATTTCCAGTCATATATTGCTTTTAGTCTCGGTTACTTACTTACTTACGCCTGTTAGTCCTAATAGAGCGTCGGCCACCGACCAGCATTCTCCAACCCACTCTGTCCCGCATCTTGCTTTCTAGTTCTATCCAATTGTTGTTCATTCTTCTCATATCTATCTCCATTTCTCGGTGTAATGTGTTCTTTGGTCTCGGTGATAAATGGTTTTTTCTTAACAACTGATCTATTGATCAATTCCAATGGTTTTTTTTTAAAATTTAGGTATATGCCTCTCAATCTATTCACTGTTTCTAACTTTTAATCTAAATATTCTACTTTCCAAACTAAATCTTAAAAGGATGATTTCATTTGATTTGGTGGAATCCTTGTATTGAATTAAACCACGTATGGAATTATCAGTGAAATGGAATATAATTCATTTATATTGCATATCATTTTCGATATTCATTTGTATTGAAGGTTCAAGGAATATCATTCCCAAATGCCCTGGTACAGCCAAGAGTGGGGAGAGTCCACTCTCCTTCTCGAAATGCTCTCACATGGTCATGCGTATATAGCCTCTGCCAAGGAAGTCCTACTCACTACCTTCTCGCACCACAGGTGTTGTTTATGAAAATGAGAGGACGAAAAGTGAATGTCCAGCACCGGCTTTAACCGGATCCCAAAACCAATGGTACACATGGGTTCCAGTATCCTGACGGAACAAATGGTGTATGAACCAATTGTTGGTCACCGACTATCATGGGACTGCATCTCCTTACGATGCTCCACTGCCTTGTGGGTCAGAGTTTCAGGTCGAAGGCTCGGGGTGTGGCCCCCTAAGAATACCACCTGCTTCGATTTGGGCACCCGGGCAGTATCATAGCCCTCACTTATATCAAATGAGATCTGTGTGGCGCATATGTATTTGGTGCCTCCTTGTACCAATATCGATGTGTTAAAATAATAATAATGATAAAAAATAATTGATTATATTAAAATTAATATACTTCATACAGTTCCTAGGTTTTATTCCATATGATTTATTAGGTATCTTCTTGTTCCAAGATGTCTTTCATTGAGTCAAATCAATTATACTAGTGTTCCCTAGTTTTCAGTTGTTGTTATTGTTGTTTGTTTCTTTCTGTCTGTTATTATTCTGGAATATGAACAATCTTTGTATTTGATAGATACTACTTTTTATTGATTATTATTGCGTTTTGTTTTCTCATCCATGTATAAATCAATGCCAATGAAGATGAATGAATTTATTCAAAGAATTTGTACAGAACAATGTCCACATGAATGTATTATTATTTCGAATGAAAGAGAAATCAACAAAATGTGCAATAATAATCAAAATAACAATGAAGATATATTCAACAAAGATGGTGTTAAAGAAAAATCTGTATTAAAACATAACCAACAAGTATCATTACCATCATCATCAGTTAGTTGTATAGATCTTTTTGCACAAATTTGTCGTCTTATTGTAGAGATGTCCAGTTTTCCTTTATCTATTATACATCAATTTCAAAATTCATCTATATCACCTAGAATTATTTCTACCAATAATTCTGATCTTAGTATTTTAGATCTATTCGGTGGTGAACTTATACGTGATGCTGATACAGGTTAGTTATATTGTAAACTTCTATGGATGATTTATAAGTTTTTCTAGCTATCAAATTGTATATATATGTCTGTGACCAAGAAGAGGTTTAGTCATTTAACTCTACTCCAGAACATATATCTGAATGTTAGTATTATAATACTAATTATCTAATCCTATCGTAGGATATATGAAACTAATTATTTGAGTCCATACTCAAAAACCTCAATTATTAACAATATAAAAGTTTCAGAGGAACTAATATCCAAGTTGGATTGGTTAGTCAACCAAATAAACTTAGGTAGATACCTGTTTCTACCCGACACGGATTAGCTCCATTGGTCATAACTTCTGATCAGAACTCCGAGAATTTTCTCACGAAGCTAGTTACTAGTGAGCACATTGTAATTATCAATTTAGGTGTTGTGGAGATTGTCAAGTTTTTGATTGAGATCATGAACCAATTGATGTTAGACCACCATTGAAAACCTGGAAGCATGGGATGGCCGTTTCATCCTATTGTGAGACTCCTCAGCAGTGCGCATCCACGATCCTGCTCGCGGGACTCGAACTCAGGGCCTTCAGTCTCGCGTGCGAACGCTTAACCTACTGGACCACTGAGCCGGCATCCAACGGTGTTAATGTCTAACCTCAACCAATCCACGAAGTTGCGCGACCATCTTCCGATCGGACGAAACGCTGATTACTTTATCTTTTCATTAGTCTTGTATAATCTTTCTGACAAAAATGACTTGAAAAAGTTTATTGTAGTAAAGAAAAGATGAATTCAAGTTTGTTTCAGTAGTGTTGTAGTAGTTTGTCTGTATGATTCTTAAATATTGTATAGATAATTAACACCATTTATGATGAACACACCATTAGTCAGAAATGAAATATTTTTCAATGATTTACCAGTCAAAAACATGATTTTAAATTCCAAAAAGAAGGAAATGATATGCTCTCTTTGTAATTGTCATTCGAATTAGTATTGTAAATATCTCCTATTTTATTTATTTATTTATTTATTAACTTCAATGATAATCATAATGTTGCTCCATAGTAAACTTGTGTCGTTCAATTTCGTGGATGAGTTGAAGTTAAACCTGAACACCGTTGGATGTCGGCCGACTCAGTGGTCTAAAGGTTAAGCGCTCTCGTGAGAGACTGTTAGGTTCTGGGTTCGAATCTCGTGAGGCATAATCGTGGGTGTACACTGCCGTTCAATGCTTCTAGGTTTTCCATGATGTTCTAGCTTCAATTGACTCATTATGTGAACTATTAAAATTACTTATAATATCTACCAAAAAACCCCTTTTGATATAATTCTAAATAGAAATATTGTATTATTGTTTGTTTATTTAGAGGGCGTTCATTATTTTCTTTCTATCTTGTGTCCTTTATCACTTTCATTAAAAGCGTATTGATTTTTATAGTCTCTTATTTATTATTGTTATTACCATTATTATTATTATTATTATTATTATTATTATCATTACTATTATTATTAGTAGTACTAGTGTTATTATTATTAGTAGTATTAGTATTATCAGTTGCTTTAGTGGTAGTCCTAGTAGTGTTAGTAATATTAGTAGTAACACAGTTATTAGTAGTATTAGTAGTGTTGTTAGTATTAGTAGTATTAGTGGCATAAGTATTAGGTGTAGTATTAGTATTAATAGTACTATTGTTAGTAGTATTAATAATATTATTATTATTATTATTTATTCTTATTACAATATATTCTAATCATGCTAAATAAACAATCATTCTGATCTATTATTTATTTCTCTCTCCAAAGTATTATCTTTATAAACGTCAATAATTAATGTATTAGTATACAACCTTTATTTAAAGATCTATGTACCAGTGAACAGATGTAAATGTTGACTTGATTCACATGGTGTATACTAATCTACTTATATTTGTATAAGATGTTTTTATCATTTTCCAATTTTCAATGTTAATAGAAAGTGAAGTTTTAACAACATGTATTTACTCTGGATTAGTCAATGATATCTTTGTATGTGTTGGTTAAATGATCTATGCTCGCCCCCCCCCCTTGTTGGGATGGTACTGGAGATTTTTGCTTCGAGTTACTTTTTCTCTCTCTCTCTCTCTCTGTGTGTGTGTATGTGTCCCTATATCTCTTGTTAATATGATCTATGACGTTGTACAACTGTTCGAGTTGGCTCAAAATTCGATGTATTCTGAACAGGATCGTAATGGGTTTATATACATGAATTCAATTGATGTTTAATTGTTAGTATTCTATGATATGCTATACATATTTTAGTAATATATTAACTACAATTATTTCACATTCAGTTAGATTGTAATAAACAATTTTCTTTGTTATGATAGAATAAATTGTACTGTTTTTTTTTCCACCGATATGTAATCTTTAATGATTGTTTAGTGTTAAAAGACTCTAAGACCTCCCCAAGGTATAGACACTTGGGAAGTATCACAGATCTCACACAAATCGAATGATTTATGTAGTGCATATCTATTTGGTACCTCCTTTTTACCAATATTTATGTGTTTCAGATTAAAAGACTAATTATTATTGATTGGTAATTAACTTGAAAAAATGACTGTTTTCTGCTAGTATAACAAAGATATTAAATGAATTTTATACTAGGAGAATCGGTTCCAGATATTAGAATGTAATTCTTTTACCATTTATAGATTTATGTATTCAGTTTTAAGCTGCATTTCTTTTCTTTTTTTTAATTTTAATCTGAGTGCTCGTTGTGATGTATGTCTGGTTTGATTCTGAGTCAGTTACAACGTAGGACTAGGCACATATATGCATCAGTCCAAGTTGCCATTACCTCATTAGCGCAGCATGACGAACACCGGATTTATAAAAGCTTGATTCTAGTTAAGTGTATGTTATGATATGTTAAATATCTGAATAATTTCTTTGATAATGGCCAAAATAGATGAATGTGGAAGAGCTTTCATTGCTTGTTTATTCATTTAAGTTTTCTGTACTGTGTTCTTCATGTATCATAATCAAGTTTTGGCTTAATGCTAAAATAAATCGAAACTCTTCATGAATTCTTTTCACTGACAGAATAGCCCACAAATGTTCTGGTACAGCCGAGAGTGGGGAGAGTCAGCTCTCCCTTTCCAAGTGCTCTCATATAGCCACGTGCATACAACCACTGCCAGGGAAGTCCTACTGACTGACATCTCGCAGCGGAGTCGTTGTTTACGAAGTTAAGAGGACAAAAAGCTAATATCCAGCACCGGCTTTAACCGGATCGGTGGACACGGAGAGTTCACCTAGGGGAGTTGAGAAACCCTGTTTTCTAACCAATGGTGTACATGGGTTCCAGGATCTTGAAGGAACAAATGGTGTATGAACTAATCGTTGGTCACCAGCTACCGTGGGCGGTATCCCAGCTCTCACACAAATCGTATGATTTATGTTGCGCATATCTGTTTGATGCCTCCTTATACCGATGTTTATGTCTTTAAATAAATCAATAAATAAACTGACAGGATGATGTTAATGTGAATGTCTTAATGGATAGACAATAGTACAGTTAAATTCAGTTTTTATTTTACATCTAATACTAAATATCATACTAATTCATCCATATTTATCTTGTATCTGTATACTAAAGTGGTATGGCAACTCGAACTGATGTACGTAAGTATGTACGAAGTTCTATGTTGTTGAATGACCGATCGATTGTATCTGTACGCTTTTGTTGTCTTTTACTCTATTCGTTGATTTTCTATCTGAGTACTTTAAAATAGTCAGTGATATTTAGTTCGTATTTTTATTCTTTTCCTATTCCTAGCACTGAAATAATTTGGGTAACTTTAAAAAAAAAAAACTCAACAGAAGGGGGTTTTTAATTTCAACGTAGTTTTGAGCTGCAGTTCTCCATAAATGGAAGTCATGCTGCTTATGTATATAATGTCATGTAAACTATCTGACTTTTCCGTAATGATTATTGTCTTCGACACTCTTTGTGTTCCATTATCTTACTTCATTAGCGTTGTTGGTATTCAGCAGCAATATTATATAAGTTATGTTAATTTCGGGAACAGTTCAGTATTTCTTAAACTCTCATCATCTTGAAACAGACTTAGGTTAGCTAATCATGTTTTAGGCTTTTTGTTGCATAGACTTCTATACTGTGGAGTACTTACTCATTGTAGAATGTTAAAACACATAAATATTGGTACAAGGTGGCATGAAATACATATGCACCACATAAATCGTTCAATTTGTGTGAGGACTGGGATACTTCCCGGATGCCTAAACTAAATCAGGTAGTTTTTTTAGGGGGTCACATCCGGAGCCTTCAATCTAAAGGTCTGGTCAACAAGGTAGTGGAGCGTCTTTGGGAGATGCAGTCCTATGGTAGCCAGTGACCACAGAATATTTCATACACCATTTGTTCACTCAGGATACTGGAACCCATGTGCACCATTGGTTTACAATCAGCGTTTTTCAACTCCCCTAAAGGGACTCAATGACTTGAAACAGTATCTTAAAGAGAAGGAATGCTACTTTTCTTCAGTGCATTGATTTTTTATTCCACAAAGTTAATGAATATCGTTTGATTCACCGATCTTTTTTCTTTACACATAGTATTTAAGATTTTGTAATGTATTGTTTTGTATTTCACTTTGATTGTTTTATATATACCTCATTTATATAGGCTCTTTAAAAAAGGAATTTACCACTGGTTCGCCTCAGCCTGTACTAAACAATTATCATTGTTATTTTCATTACAGTTTGGGTAATTGATTTGATCTTACTCATTTTTACTGTGTGTGTGTGTGTGTGTGCTAGATTGGATCCTCATGTGTGTATTCTTGTACTTGATTAACCCATTATACCAATCGTTTTTCAAGACATTTTTTGAAAAATAGCATTGCTTTGATGATACTTTTTCGCTCCCTTTTGTCAGCTAACATAGTGTATTGTTTTTTAGTGAAATAACTGACGAGACTATAATTTATGGACGAACCAATCAGATTTGAGATAATAGGTCTCGAATTTTAGCGCGCAATTCATCCACATATTTGGCTAAATACTATTTGAGCATTATAGCTGATGTTAGTTCGAAATGAGAACCCTAAATCTAATTCCTAACCCTAACCATCAACTGGAAATCTTAATTCTAATTTCCCACACTTCTTTACAACCTTCATTTAGTTCTAGTTGGTAGGTGGTCATGCTCAAAGGTCGTCCATAAATTATGGTCTCACCAAATATCTTTTGTTTTCCACTCATTCATGCTTTCGCTGATTTTCCGTTTGTATCTAACTGATTCTGCATATCACGTTCAGTGATGTATGTATTTGCGATGTTTCTTGCACCAACACCATCATCATCATTATCATCTCCTGTGTTTGTTTGATGATCATATTTTCAATCATATCACTTCATCGGAAGTTTATTTCCGTATCCTCAGTATTTATTAGATATCATTTGGAATATATAATTTCGTAGTTTGGTTTTAACAAATCTTAATTTTACATCGATTGATCATTAAACATTAGTGACTAATACCATGTTTGTTTAGTGTTTCAATTTTACAGAGGTAGGATATTCCTGACTAAAATATATTTGTGTTAATTTGTATGACTGAGAGTAGATGACGTGGATTCAAATTCCGCATCATATATCAGTTATTCCTTCAGAATGTTTAAACATCTTTGATAAGTAAATGCTAATTAGGATGAAACTTATGTCCTACATGGTTTACTGTCGGTTGTTTCGGCTAACATAATATCCAAATACAGTTGACTGATAAAAGTTCTATGTAACATATTGATTAGTATTTGTTATTTTATTATTTTTATTTAAACACATAGATATTAGTACAAGGAGGCACCAAATACATATGCGCCGTACAGATCTCATTAGATACGTGTGAGGGCTGTGATACTGCCCGGGTGCCCAAACTGAAGCAGGTAGTTTTCTTAAGGGGCCACACCCAGAGCCTTCGACCTGAAGATCTGATCCACAAGGTAGTGGAGCATCGTAAAGAGATGCAGTCCCATGGTAGCCGGTGACCAACAATTGGTTCATACACCATTTGTTCACTCAGGATACTGGAATCCATGTGCACCATTGGTTTGGGATCCGGTTAAAGTCGGTGCCGGACATTCGCTTTTCGTCCTCTCATTTTCGTAAACAACACCCGTGGTGCGAGAAGGTAGTGAGTAGGACTTCCCTGGAAGAGGCTATATACGCATGGCCATGTGAGAGCGAACTCTCTTCCATACCAGGGCATTTTAGGGCTGATTAGGATTTAGGTCTAATTAACTTTATATTTACAGGTTAGTGAATGATTATTGATTCAAATATGTAAACATTTATCCATCTTATCTTTGCACTTCATATTTTCTCCCTTTACATATTTCTTAAAAATGTAATCATGTACACGCTGTGCATATGTATAGCTATGAATGCATCATTCATATATTATAATCATTGCCTATGTCACTTTTATTATTACCAATTACTGATTATTGAACCTGAATTCAATGCTTATTCTCTTTCATCTTTCATCACAATTAATGAAATCATTTCTTTTGTTGCTACGTTTATTATTTAATATATCCATTGTATATTATTGTTGTTATTTCTTTCTTTCTTTTACCAGGTCGTTTCATTCTACCACAATGGCTTGTTTGTTTATTGTATGCATCATGTGATATAGATAATTTCAATATTAAGTCAATTGCTTTATATACACTGATTGAATTATTTCATGCAGCTGTTTCTATTCATGGTTGGAGTACAGAATTAACGTATGATTCTAATGACATCGATACTACTACTACTACTACTACTACTACTACTACTACTACTACTACTACTACTACTACTACTACTACTACTACTACTACTACTACTAATAGTAGTGATAGTAATAATAATAATAACGCTGGACAGATCCATCCAGGAAACAATAATGAAAATGGTAATAAAGTAGTTGCCATAGGTGATAAACATCAAGCAAATGGTGGAATGCGTTTAGTATTTCCTGTACTAAGTGGAGAGTTGATGTCATATCTTTCTCAAAAGACAAATTTATTCACGGTATGTAAGCAAATTATATATTAATCATTTAATGTCTTGAGTTCAAATTCTATCTTGTTCACTCTTTTTCATCACATAGAAAGAATGTTATTCCTTGGAAATCATAATCTTATAGCTTAACATTTATTATAATGATATGTATATGGTTGATTAACTCAATTGTCTTTATGAGATAAACTGTGAAGATCAATAAACAGTGAATATCTGTTTTGTATTAGTGTAAAAAAAAAAAAAACTTTCATCAGTATTTATCGATGATCATCATTTCATCGATAGGTTGAAATTGGAACGTTAAATCCTCAATGTGAGGCTTTCATCTTTAAATCATTGAATTGATATCCAATGTCTTATATTTTTAATTTCAGTCGATTTAGATTATTGTAGGACGGGCATTCAATACTACTAGTGATATTTATGACATACTCGATGTTTGAACTCCATTATTTATATCTTCTTATTAAAATTTCAATAATTACCTCCATTATCAGGTGAATATAAAATATTTCAATAGTTCAACCTGGTCTGTTGTGAGATAGTAACTCAATGATGACAATGGTGGATCTGTCCCTCTATTTCTTGGATTAGTTGTAGTTAGATATTAACACCGTTGGATGCCGGCCGGATCAGTGGTCTAGTGATTAAACGCTCACGCGCGAAACGGATAGGTCCTCGGTTGGAATCCAGCGAGGCGGAATCGTTGAGGAGTCCTAAATTAGGACAAAACAGCCATCCAGTGCTTCCAGGTTTTCCATGATGCTCTATCTTCAATTGATTCTCAAGTATTGAAATTACTACAATCTCCAGAAAACCCCTTCTGATACTAAAATAAAATATGTTTATAATATATATCAGCATATATATACCAGCATATTCAGTTACCGATTTCCATACTCGTGACATAGTTAATGTATTCATATTTATATCAGAAATACTTGTGAAAAACTACTCGCAAAAAAAACCGTCTGGAGTCCCTCTGGGGGCTACTGCCGGTCCTAAGCCCGGATAAAGGAGGAAGGTTGGGCATAGGGGTTAGCGACCCCATCCCGTAGAAAACTAACTCGCTAAAAAAACGCTAACCAGGATACATAGACACTAAGTAGACGGGTATATAATTCAAAGTTTGATCATTTCCTTCATGTTACATGGAATTTTAAATAAATAATGTAATAGAATTATAGGAATATACACTAACTAAAATGAATATATGATGTAGTAAATGTTGAAGAAAAAAAATGATCCCCTTTCAAAGCATTTAACGTTTTATAAAGTTTCTGGAATTCTGAACGTTGGAAAATTAAGACAATACGAAATTGAATGCAATTAAAAGACATATTTATTATTTATTTGATTTATTTGAACACATAAATATTGGTACAGGGGGGCACCAAATATATATGCGCCACACAAAACAGTGATAATTAGAAGAGAAGGAGAAAAGAGAAGAAAAAAAAAAGTAATGAACGTGGGGAATTATAAAAAAAAGAAGAGAGAGAGAGAGAGAACAATGGTGGGGGAAACGGAAAGGTACAATCAGAACAGATCTTTCAGTTAAGGAAGAATACGACCACCTTTTTATGAAGAAAGTAAAAGAAGGTTACAGCAGGATCGCCACTGGCTTCTATTCTGAGCCATATCTGATAACGTCTCTAGCCACTGCGTTACACCATCTCTCGGACCCCAACCAGGGAGTCGTGAAGGACCAACATAAGCTAGCCCTTTACAGCTTTCTTTCATACCACGACACCATGTCATATACTGACCACCTCTCCGCTTTTTCCAACCAGTCCCAGAGTCGGCAAATAATGCACGACGAGGAATTCTCTGGGACGACATTCGTAGAACATGTCCAAGCCACCGAAGTCGGTGTTTCAAGATGGTGACACCAATTTCATTATCGTCTCTGTGACCGAACACTCGATGCCGAACCTCTGCATTACTGACATGGTGTTGCCACTGGATGCCAGCAATCCTTCGGAGGCAACGATGATCGAACACAGAGAGTCGTCTAACATCCTCAACTCGGAGAGGCCAGGTTTCACAAGCATAGAGCAAAACTGCTCTCACCGTCGCGTTGTAGATCCGACCTTTTACAGCCAGACTAACATCACGAAGGCGCCAAAGATGGCCCAGATTGGCATAAGTCGCTCTGGCTTTCACTATACGTGCATTGATCTCATCACTCACGCCACCACCAGCACTTATGCAGCTACCTAGATACACGAACTTCTCGACTACTTCTATCTGCTCACCATCCAGAGTGAGTACAGGATTAGAATCCTGCCAGTCTTGTAGAAGTACTTTGCACTTCGAAGGTGCAAAGCACATACCATACCTACGGACACTGATTGCCAACTGATTAAGTGCGGATTGCATGGCTTGGGCATTCTCGCACAGTAAGACAATATCATCCGCATACTCAAGGTCGAGAAGTCTTTCTCCAGGCAACAGATCCACACCACCATTACTTACATCCGTCAGAGCTGTTTCCAGAATGTCATCGATGGCAAAGTTGAAGAGGAATGGTGAGATTGGGCAACCCTGCCTAACCCCACTGCTTGAATGGAATAGTGGAGAAAGGTGGTTGTATGCCCTCACTCTACCTGAGGTGTTTGTATATAAGGCTTTTAGGATGTTAATAAACTTCTCAGGCACACCCCTCTTCAATAGACAATCCCAGAGAACAGTTCTGTCCAACGAATCGAAAGCAGCCTTGATATCAAGAAACACTACGATTGTTGGCCTTTGATAAGTATGGCGGTGTTCTAACACTTGGCGGAGGGTGAAGATATGATCAATACATCCTCGACCAGAACGAAACCCAGCCTGCTCCTCGCGAGTCAATCCTTCTCGGGTTCTGAACAACCTACGAAGTATGACGGAAGCCAATAGCTTGGACGCAATCGGAAGTAGACTTATCCCCCGATAGTTGTTACAGGAACAACGTGAACCCTTTTTAAAGATAGGGACAACTATCGACTCATTCCATGACGTTGGTACACTCTCTAGTTCCCAGATCTTTGTAAACAACGTCGTCAGTCCTTTAGTCAGAAAGTCACCACCATCTTTAAAAAGAGCCGAAGGTAAGTCGTCTGGGCCTGGTGATTTGTAACGTTTCAAGAGTTGGAGTTCCTTGCGGACTTCCGCCTCATTTGGTGGATCAGTCGTCACCGGCCAAGGAGGGCAGGACAGTCTGACCGATGTTGCCGGAGCAGCAGGCCAGTTGAACTGCCCTTCAAAGAATTCTGCCCATCGTCCAAGACGTCGATGGATGTTAGTGATTGACGTTCCGTCATCCTCGCAGATTGTTTCGCTCACACCAGACTTCTTGCTGCCGGTGGCTCGGATGAGTTGGAAGAGCTTCCGGTAATTACCAGATGCAGCTGCTGCTTCCAACTCACTGGCACGCTCCGACCACCAGGTTTCTCGGTCCTTACGCAAGCTTTGCCCGATTTCATTACGTAACAACCTTCGTCTGTGGTCAAACTCACGGTCACCCGGAGTAGACCGACGGGCTTCAATCAGTTGTAAGGAACCAGAAGAAACCCAGTGCTTGTAAGCGGGACGTTTCGCAATCCCACAGCTGACTTGACCCGCCATTTTCATGGCGTCATGCAATTGCAACCAATGCTCATCTATACTTTTCGGTGGAATAGTGGCTAGCCTAGAAGCTAGCTCGGCTCGGTACTTACTAGCAACAGAAGTTGCAGCCAGCTTGCTAACATCAATCCTGTGGTGGCGGTCACTTCGTTGTCCACTGAAAAGTAAGGTAAGATTGGCGCAGACCAGAGCATGATCAGATTCCAGATAGGTACTCCAAAAGGAGCGGCAGCCTTGTACACAACCGCGCCAGCGGTAGCTGATCGCGATGTGATCAATCTGAGTCCAGGCTTGAGATGCAGAAGGGGGACGCCAGGTGGCACATCGGCGATGACTGTGCCGAAAGTTAGTGCTAGCCAGAAACAGGTTGTGGTCTGTGCATAGCTGCAGTAGACGTTCCCCGTTATCTGTCCTGCGACCAACGAGTCCCCATCGGCCACCTAAACGACTCTCTTCTGTGCCTAGACGCCCGACCTGAGCATTCAAGTCTCCAGCTAGTACTACAATATCTGTCGAACGCACTTTCTGGAGAAGAACAGATAACTGGTGGTAGAACTCATCCTTGATTGCATCCGGGCTGCAATCTGTCGGGGCATAGGCGGAGATGACGAAAAGACATCGTTTCTCACGCCGATTTCTTTTCACTCTGATGGTACTTTCTAATCTAACAGCACATAACCGACTGTTAATGGGGATCCAGTCGACTAGTGCTGCCTCAGCTCTTGCGCTTAGTGCGACACCAACGCCTGCAAGACCAGACGAAGATGCCACAGGGTCCCCGGATAAACGCACGTAAAACAAGCTTTTTGGAGCGACAGATGGAGAGCGAACTTGTAGTACTTCACCAGAGTCTTGAATACGGGTCTCGGATAGACAACACACATCAATATTAAGACTTTCCAAAGACATTGCCAGCCCTATCTGTTGTCCGACCTGCATAAGTGTGCGAACGTTAAAGGCAGCCAGTTTGAATGGTGCGCGTGGTTTCAGAAAGACTGCTTCAGTACTCGTATTCGATGGTAACATACAATTTTCAAACCAGGCAGTGACTCGAGAACGTTTAGATAAAGCTGAATTTTTACCATAGGCGAGCTGCTGTCTGAGTCGAAACGGATACAAAAAGTAGAAATAGGAGATAGTGAGTAAATGACGTAGTAAATAATAATAATAATAATAATAATAATAATAACAATAATAATAATATCAGTCATTTCAATGTTAGTCAGAGAAGAACGAATATTTTCCGTAAGCGAATATTTCATCATGTTTTGGTGTGTGGGCTGAGATACTGCCCGGGTGCCCAAACCGAAGCAGGTGGTTTTCTTAGGGGGCCACACCCCGAGCCTTTGACCTAAAGGTCTAGTCCACAAGGCAGTGGAGCATCGTGAGGAGATGCAGTCCCATGGAAGCCGGTGACCAAAAGTTGGTTCATACGCCATTTGTTCCTTCAGGATACTGGAGCCCATGTGCACCATAGAATTGGGATCCGGTTATAGCGCCGGACGTTCGCTTTTCGTCCTCTCATTTTCGTAAACAACACCCCCGCCACGAGAAGGCAGTGAGTAGGACTTCCCTGGCAGAGGCTGTATACGCGTGGCCGTGTGAGAGTATTTCGAGAGGGAGGGCGAACCCTCCCCGCTCTCGGCCATACCAGGGCATTTGGGGGCCAATTAAAAGACATAGATTGGATAACAAAGTATTATAGCCCCCCAAATACCCTGGTACGGCTAAGAATGGAAAGAGTCAGCTCTCCCTTTTGAAATCCTCTCACATAGCCACGTGCATACAGGGAAGTCCTTCCCGTTAACTTCTCGCGACGTAAACCGAATGTCCGGCGATTTAACTGTGTTGGTGGATGTAGACGATCCACTTAGGGAAGTTGGAAAACCCTGATTCCAAACTAATGGTGTACATAGACTGCAGTATCCCGAAAAAACAAATGACATATGAACCAATTGTTGTACATGGGCTACCATGGGAGTGCATCTCCTAATGTTGCTCCACTGACTAGTGCATCAGACCTTTAGGTCGAAGGCTGCAGGTGTGGTTCCCTAAGAAAACCACCTGATTCGGTTAGGGCGTGTGAGCTCTTACATAAATCGAATGATTTATGTGGTGCATATGTATTTGGTGCCTCCTTGTACCAATGTTTATGTTTATTCACAAATGAACCCAAACATTGACTTAGCCTGTGCTTTAGATGAGCTGATATAAAAAGGTAGATCAGCAAACAATGGTTACTATGTATACATACGTAAATAAGTCTGTGTATGTTGAAATTATCTGTGATTTTCACACCTATTTCTCAAAACTTATTTGAACTCTTCATATCTTCTATAACTATTCTTCAGTTCATCTTATCAGTTTTTCTAATTCAATACAATTACTATCTCATTCCATTTATGTTTATTTCATCTAACTTACCCAGTCTTATTCACTAATGTGTATATATTATTGATAATCGTCACCATTTCCATTCTTTTAGTCACATATGTCTATTATTTAATCTTATGTTATGTTCCAATTTGAGTGTGTGTGTGTATACACTTGATGAGATGTTCTACTTTACGGCTGCGAAACGTGGCGAATAAGAGTAGAATATATTTGTTAATTACTAGCATTTGATCACAAATGTCATAGAAATGTTGCCAGCATCTGCTAGGGTCACCGGGTAAGTCATGGCGAGGTTAGACGCAGGGTATTAAGGAATGATAATAAATCAGTTGATGAGGTTGTGAATCTTCATCGACTGAGATGGTTGGGCCATGTGTTACGTGTGTCTCAACACCGATTACCACGGTGCGCATTGCTGACTAGTGTTGGGAATGGTTGGAAGCAAGTTAGGGGCGGCCAAACCAGAACGTGGCATCAGTCCTTGAAGTCACTAACTTCTTATCTGATCCATGTTGGTAGATGCAAACTACTCGGTTGGGGTCCGCGTGACTATTGTAACCAATGGTCGGAGACTCTTGGTGACATGACTCAGAATCGATCACAATTGCGTAGGTGTATGCACTCTTTGTCTTCCCTTAAACCATAAGATTAAAACTGCTTTATACATTTATCTCTACTAACTAATTTATCCTTCCTGTATTATGTGGTTATAGACAATCTATCTTTTACATGTTACTACCATTGAAGCAACTTCTATGATTTCGGCGTTCATCTTGCTATGCTAATAAGGTGTGGCAACTTGGACCGATATATATATATATATATATATATATATATATATATATATATATATATATATATATGTCTGGTCCTACGTTATAGCTGACTGACTGACTAATACCTGATGAGAAACTACGAACTGAAGTAAATTGATATTATTCTAGATTAGTTTTTGTAATTACTTTATTTAATACGAGTTACCTTTTTTTGATAAAAAAGACTTACTCAATGAACAGCAGTTACTCTATTGTAGAATGTTCAGCAACTGATTTGATATGGCCAACTTTTAAGTTCTAGTGATTGTCTAAAAGATCATTTTGTGATTAGTTCTATTTCAATTTGTTACTTCTGGTTAGCGTTTTTTTTAACGACTTAGTTTTCTACGGGATGGGGTCACTAACCCCCATGCCCAACCCTCCTCCTTTATCCGAGCTTGGAACCGGCAGTAGCTCCAGAGGTCTGCAGGCAGAGTAATAGTAATAGGATCCAGAACATACAATACATTGACTTAATTTACTTGCAACCCAATAGTATTGTTTCTCAGTCACTTACTTTAGTTTAACGAATTTAGTCAATCATATGTGTATGTATATTTGTACGACTTTGTAACCGGTTAATTATGGAAATTATATAGGTTTGATTAAACGACTATAATTTACGTATATATGAAATAATTCATTCATTTGTTTATCTTTATTTAGTACTTGGGTATTTCATTATGGCGTTATCTATCACCGGAATATTCTACATATCACGATGATGCAACAAGTTTACTTGTTCGTCTACACCAATTAGCTCCTCCATTGCCAAAATCTCTTTCTCGTCAATTAACTCCCGGAATATCAGGAATCACATCTACTATCAGTTCTTGTATTGAAGGTTTCATTCTCTCTCAAATGCTTTCATCTGATTTAGATATTAAAATAGATGCACATTCACGTTTTATTTTACTGTGGCATTTATTGAGATACTATGGATCACGTGTTCAATCAAATATTCATCCATTGACAAATACTTCAACAAGTACTTCAAATCATCAATTTCCCGTTACTAAACGATCATTACATTCTTCAGTTCATGATTCTTTTAGACTAAGTGGCGTATCCAATTTCATAGCGGCTGTATCATGGAGGCGTGGATTTCTTGGTTTGACTGGAGATAATAAAGTTAGCAACAATGATCTATCATCTCCTGGTTTAGGTTTATATGATATTCCTTTCTATAGGTAAGCTTAGTTTGTATAGGTTTTCTATCTCGATCGCCATAGCTTTATCTAATTAATCAGTAGTATTAAAGTTTGAATATACAAGTTTCCCCTCAGTTGATAGAACTGATTTGATCATCTGATATGATCTGTGTAATTTTAGTCATTGTGCCCATTTGTACTATCCTAATATTTTATATTACATTTTCACGTACCTGACATCTAATTGTCGATAAATTACATCTCCAGATTCTTTGTTGTGTCTATCGGGATATATCAGTGATGGAAATTGAACTTAAATACTCAAGAGATTCTTATCTTTTCAAGCTATTCCATTTGGCTAGTTATTACTATTTTTCATATAAGTCAATAGTTTATGTGTTTTGAATTGTTAACCCTGTTCGACTTCGATTTCAACAAGCATATTTCATCTTACTTATTTGCTTACTTACAGCTGTTACTCCAAATGAAACATAGGCAGCTAAGCATTTCATGCATCCAAATTAATAGTTGCTATGGTTATCAGCAGGGGCACCAGCCTCGTGACTTCTGAATGAACTCGGCTTTCACCATGAGATGTCACAACTCTTCTAAATGAAGACATTCTAACTCCCAGGCGAGAGTTTAAATGATTTGAATTATTTTCGTGGTCAGCGTTTTTTTAGTGAGTTTTCTACAGGATGGAGTCTCTAAACTCATGCTCAACCGTCCTTTGTCCGGGCTTGGGACCGGTAGGAGCCCAAGAGGGGCTCATCAAAACTATGCTAATTACTATTTATCCAATAGTATGAACTGAATATCTCACATTAAAAATATTGTCTAAATTATATTTAGCCATACATTCCGAAAATGTTTTGACGCGATCTCTTAAATGTTCCATTTAGTATAACTTATCATGAACCTTCCATGATCTTCAGTTAGAAGTTTAAGGCTATATGAAACATTTGCTAAATTTCAAGATGTTTCCGACAAATTTAATCAAAGTTATCACTTTTTGATGCTACTATCAATTAACCAATCATCTCCCGACCGTTGTTGCTACCTTGACGTGGTGGTTGGACTTGCTTATCGTGATGAACCGATCGAGCTATACTAGCTGGGACAATCGTTCCTCAAGGTCTTACCATGCCAGACAAGTCGTTTGAAGAACAGTAAGACTAAAAGCAACAAACCCAAGATCTGAGGGTGAAGTCGTACCGCTGACTGTACAGAGGTGTGACGGCAATAATGTGTTTCCCTCCAACAAACAGCATAACAGGTATGCTGACTTCCCAGAAGGAAGGGTGGTGTTAGAAAAGGTCGATCCTAATAATGCACACCTCACCTTATCTCACGGATATCCGTCTCCGGCGATAGGATCTCAACAAGTGCAGAGCTAACACAAAAATTACTCATAATAATGTCATGTGTGACCGACCTCCCTTGGGCACTGCGATCACGCTCTCAGGTCACTAAGACCACGTTTAATCCAATTCTTTTTCAAGTATCTCCAGAAAAACCCTTCTACGGTGTAGGTGACCGGGAATTGATAACTGCCCTCATAAATTTAATAGCACTGAAGAGTGAATCAATCATCCACACCTCATCAGCTACTGTATTTATGATGCTGTTACCGATCAGTGGTTAGTATGCTTAAACTTGAGTCAGTTACTTTCAGGTTTTAATTCTTTTTCAATCACTTCAATTCTTCTTAATTTCACTATCAGTATTTGATCAATATTAATAGTTATTATATACAAAAACATGTGATTCAAAGCCTATTATCAGATAACCTGTACTTGACAATTAAGTAATAGTAAACATTTGACGAAACATATCATATATATATATATATATATATATATATATATATATATATATATATATATATATATATATATATATAGGTTGTCGAAGATCATAAAACAAACAAAATGTATGTATGTTAGCTACTATAAGAACATGTTTTCATAGATGAACCACTTATTTGTTTAATTGTGTATAATCTTCTACTGATTATTATTAAAATTTAATATCATATGGGTTTTGTAGATATTATAGTAATTTCAATGGTTAAGATCATGAGTCAGTTGAAGCTAGACCACCATGGAAAACCTGGAAGCACTGAACGGCTGTTTTGTCCTATTGTGGGACTCCTCAGTAGTGCGCATCCACGATTTCGCCTCGCTGGATTCCAACCCAGGACCTATCAGCTTCGCGCGTGAGCGCTTAACCACTAGACCACTGATCCGGCCGGCATCCAACGGTGTTAATATCTAACTACAACTAATCCACGAAATCGAGTGACAGATCCACCATTGTCATCAGTGAGTTACTATCTCACAACAGACCAGGTTGAACTCTACAATAGGACGAAACGGCCGTCCAGTGCTTCCAGGTTTTCCATGGTGGTCTCGCTTCAACTGACTCATCATCTTAACCATTAAAATTTAATAGTTGATTGTTATTTAGAGTAGTGTAACTTGTTTTTTTTATAATGTTTGTTTGTCTTGTCTTGTTTTTCTTTTTTTTTTCTGCTTTCTTACTTTCGTATTCTCTTCATTTATTTGTCGTCTTTACCATTATCATCATCATCCTCATTCTGCTCATGATCATGTTCATCTTCATCAAATCATCAATAGATGTACTTTACTCTTATTGGATAATTTAGATTATGATAATCCATTGGGTCCAATTGGATCAATTGGTTTAACAAATCTATCACAATTTAATCTAAATGTAAATAAAAGACAAAGAAATAATAATAATAATAATGATCACAATGTTAATCACAATGAAGAATTTCATCAAATGGATCATTCAATTAGTTATGGAAATTTTATTCTAAGAGAACAATCTACAATATGGTTAGAGAAAGCTTTAAGAACTGGTCAAATAGATCGTTTAATCATACCAATTTTAGCGATATTATTACATCCTGGAACAGCTAGAATTAGTTTAAAATCACATATATTAAAACATTATTGTCAACAGATTAAATTGTCAAAATCAAAGAAATTATTGAATGGTTCTATCAAATCAGTTAAGAAAACAGGTAAGAATATACAACATTTATCCATCTATTTGTTGATATGCATATGTCAGTCAGTGTTATAACTTGTGATCTGAGTGCCCTATTAATGGGTAAGTAATGATACCTTCAATGAGAGAGCAGTGACTTATCGATTGGATCAATGACACATGCGAGCAGTCTATAGTCCTTATTGGTCTCGCTTTCCACCTAGCCCAGCCATTTGAGTCCAGAACACCAATCACAACCTCTGCAATATGAATCATTTATTTTAAACATACTTGGTTTATATACCAATCAAACAGACCACAATCTACCATAAATTAGAAATTAACATTTGTACAAGAGTTAGCCAAATGTGGTTGTGAATGTGGGAGGCAGTCACGAATAGACAGGCCATAAATCAAGAATGGTAAAATGTATAATAATAGTTTATGAGTCAAAATAAAGCTTATAATAAGAGGAACATAAATAGTTTAGTTATTTAACAATTATACGGTAAAAATATACGTTAGTATTGGTCCATAAATGGACACCAAAAGTTACCATTCATTATGCTTATCGGGACCTAACAGTCAGTAACAACGTGGAATTTCGTACGTACGTACATCAGTTCGAGTTTCCACACCACATTAGTACAGAGATGCAGTTATCGATTCAAATCCAATAGTGGTAGAGCTAGTAAAAGTATAAGCAGTAATCGGAAAGATTAGGGTTTTATGATGTTATCTAAGGAGTATAATGCAGTGGAATAAATTTGGAAAGAGAAAAAAAAGGGACATGAAGAATTCAGATGACTAGAATTCGGGAGAACAAAAAGAGTGGATGTACTTGCGCCATTGCATATAATAATCTTTACACTTATTCTATAATCATATTGACAAAAATATGAATGGGGCCAACCGAATGTATGTGAACATAAAATTACAGAACATCTCAATAAATAGTTCATTTGTAAACAATCTATCAATTGTGTCAAACTTGACTGTTCCTTTTGCAAATATCAGTCCATCGTCTCAGATTTCATTGTTTGTGCATTTTCATACCAATTATTTTCTGTTCCCATCCTTTCCTTCTCCATCTCCTATTGAAATACATTCTATTCCTGACTATCGCTATATACTACTTATGTGGATATAAGTAGCTCAAACCACAAAAACACTAATTTTAATATTACAAATGGGTAGAGATTTGTTGATTAAGCTAATAGGTACACTTGTTATATTAGGGTTGAAGATACTATTCTCAATGTTCAAAATATAAGTGAATGTATTGAATCTGAAAACTGCTATTTTATAGATGTAATATAAACTAATCAACTTCCAATGTACTATCAACGATTGTAGAAAAGATTATACTGAGAGGATATGAATTGGGTGGAAGGGATAATTCATAAAAGAGAAGGTATGAAATAGTTTGTAACTGAAGTTCTAAACGAAAACAAAAACTGATTACTTCTGCTCAATTATTAACGATTTTGAGGTGTGTCACGTGATGTCTTGAATCAGGGATTTCAATTATTGTGTGGATCCCAACTATATAGTTGACCTTACTTACACGGTTCATACTTACAATCAATCACTTCATGGCTGGTGACACGTTTTACTTTGGTCGCAACTAGCTTTATTCTAACCTGTCTTTATGCTACACAACACCACTCATCGAGGTAGGGTGGTTACTGGGCATATATAAGTGGAAAGGTTTCTATGAAGGAATACTGGAATTCAGGATTACGGGGGGAGACAAAAAGTAAATACGTCTGACCCATTGTGAATAACTTTGTACCGTATTACCCAAATCTCCAACTACTGATCGCGGCTAGCATGCAGACTCTACAGAGATAATCTCGTTCTGCTGACATAGATATTAAAAATGACATATAGTTCTTTTTGCATTTGTTCTATTATCAGTTATGCTTTTTAAATATTTTCTTTCCATTTAGACATTGATTGTAAACCGCCTTCATATGAAGAAGTTGTTAATCAAGTGAATACAACTAGTATTAATTCTGAAGTAAGTACTAAATGTTTTTACCGAAGTTTTTCTCCATATTTTGTTAATGAGATTAATCTCCGCTCTATGAAATATGTGACTTTTGACGTGAAATTGTTTTGTCTTGTAACGTGTTTAGATGTCGATTATTAATTAATCTAACAGTTTTCTGGATCATTGTTTGGTTGATAAGTAGTGGGATGAATGACGGATATCACTTAACTATGGTGAAGTATTTTATTTATTTATTTTAACACATACATATTGGTACAAGGATGCACCAAATACATACATGCCACACAAATCTCATTTGATATGTGTGAGGGCTGTGATACTGCCCGGGTGCCCGGACCGAAGCACATGGTTTTCTTAGGGCGCCACACCTCGAGCCTTTGACCTGAAGATCTGATCCACAAGACAGTGCAGCATCGTAAAGAGATGCAGTCCCATTGTAGCCGGTGATCAACATTTGGTTCATACGCCATTTGTTCAATTAAGATTTTGGAGCCCATGTGCATCATTGGTTTAGAATGAGGGTTTTCCAACTCCCCTAGGTGGACTCTCCATGTGCATCAACCCGGTTAAAGCGCCAGACATTCGCTTTTCGTCCTATCAATTTCGTAAACAACACCCCCGCCGCAAGAAGGCAATGAGTAGGACTTCCCTGGCAGAGCCTACATATGCGTGGCCATGTGAGAGCATTTCGAAAGGGCGGGCGAACTCTCCCCACTCTCGGTCGTACCAGGGCATTTGGTAGCATGATGAAGTAATGATTTGTCGGTCGGAAACAGACAGGATCAATATTCGAAACCGTTTAAATTTTAAGAATCAGTGAGGTAGGCATCAGTCCTTGAATTCACTAACTTGTAGTGTGAGCCATATCGGTAAATGCAGACTACTTTGTTCTGGTCCGTGTGACCATCGTAAACCAATGGTTGGATTCTCTGTGTGACATGGCTCAGAATCGACCACAATGGCGCAGGTGTATACACTCTTTGTCTTCCTTTAAACTATGAGATTAAAATTGCCTTATACCTTTATCTCTACGAACTAATTCTTCCTTTATGGCTGCGAAACGTGGCAATTAAGAGTAGAATATATTTGTAAGTTACTAGTATTTGATCACAAATGTCTTAGAAATGTTGTCAGCATCTGCTAGGATCACTCGGTAAGTCATAGTGACGTTAGACGCAGGGTATTAAGAGATGACGGTAAATCAGTTGATGAGGTTGTGAATCTTCATCGACCGAGTTGGTTGGGCCATGCGTTACGTGTGTCTCAACACCGATTACCACGGCGCTCAATGCTGACTAGTGTTGAGGATTGTTATGAGAAAGTGGCGTCAGCCCTTGAAGTCACTAACTTCAAGTGTGAGCCATGTTGATAGATGCAGACTACTTGGTTGGAGTCCGCGTGATATGACTCAGAATCAGTCACAATGGCGTAGGTGTATACACTCTTTGTCTTCCCTTAAACCATGAGTTTAAGATTGCCTTATACTTTTATCTCTACGAACTAATTCTTCCTTCCTGTATTATTTGGTTATAGACAATCTTTCTTTTATATATTACTACTATTGAATTAACTACTTCTATGAGTTCGGTGTTCATCTTGTTGTGCTAGTGAGGTGTGACAACTTGGATCGATGCATGTATGTGCCTGGTGTTACGTTGTAACTGACTGACTGATTGCATGGTGTAACCTCAAATATTAAGCCTTCTATGTCAACACTGCTTGAACTGCGTTTTCGTGATAAATGTGCTTAATCACTAGCAAGTGGTATTTAGAAATCTTATGCTTGTTTCGATGTAAATTGTTTATGATAATAAACTGAAGTTAATTAGTTCATGACAAATTCTGATCACAGTTATCTAGGTTTGAGTCCCGAAAGGGGACAAACCAGTTCTGTGTATTTCATAGTGTACAAATGTCGATTTCACAATTCACAACTAGTAATATATGAAATAATGTTGTTGTGTATAATATATCATATGTATGTTTATATCTGTAAAGTTTACTTTGTTATCGCTTCTTGATTATAACTAGTCAAATTATGACATTTGACTTCCAGTGAAATATTTACTTTATAATAGTTTCGGTCAGTATCAAACTACATTGTCACTGTGCTTGAATTCACTAACTTCTGGTTTGAGCCATGTTGGTAGATGCAAACTACTTGGTTGGTGTCCGCGTGAATATCGTTCGTAACCAATGGTTGGAAACTCTGAGTGACATGGCTCAGAATCGATCACAATGGCGTAGGTGTATACACTCTCTGTTTTCCTTTAAACTAAGAGATTAAAATTATTTCATATCTTTCATTCTACGAACTAATTCTTTCTTCCTGTACTACCTCCTTAAACACAATCTCCTTATATGCAATCTTTCTTTTATATATTACTATCACTGAAGTGACTACTTCTATGAATCCGGTGTTCATCTTGTTGTGCTAATGCGGTAATGACAATTTGGACCGATCCATATATGTGCGTTATCTTAATCATTGTTTTATGAAAATTCTCTTCATTTTAGTTTCCACATATGAACACTATTCATACAGAAAAACCATTTGATCTAATGAATTCAATTCGTGAAAAGTTTCAACGATTTCATTCTACAACAGAATTACTAAATAAAACAGAATTAACAAATGAAATAAATACCTCTAAACAACAAGCTGCTGAAGGTTAGCCATTACTTATAATTAGATTCTTGTTTATCTTTAAGAATAATGTGAAGTTTTAATCGGTTACTTTTCTTTTAGTCTGGTTGTTTTTCAACAAGATTGAAATGTGATCATGCAGTGATCTGCGTTGATGTGCAATTTTCACGAGGGTTTAATCGACCGATAAATAAACAACAAGAAGCGTAGTCATTTGCCGCTGATCTGGTTACATGCCATTGAATGTAAAATCCGTGATTAAGATCGGCGTCATAGTCGTGTTCTATGGTTGAAAACGTTGGATGACATGGATCAAGATCATTTAGATTCTAGTTTGTAGTATAATTTCATATTTTGTATTCTGGAAAATTACTCCCTGTTTGCGAACTATATTCTCTATGTGATAATTCTTGCAATTTGAACGCTGTGCTCAGTTCCTAAGCTATTCTTGTAACCCCCAAGCTAGAACTATATAGCGACCTGAACACGAGAGAAAAGACGCAAAGTATACGAAAGTACTTTACTCCAAAGGCTCATTTTAATACAGAAAATATAAGGTTTTTATAATATTTCAAATGTCCTTGGGTTGCTCGAAGATTCTCGAATGCTACTAAACATAGTAGCAATATAACAATCAGTCAATCAGAACCTCTACGTGTGACGTTTCACTTCCTTAATATTTCTGGCTAAAACTTCAAGTGAACGCTGATTGAATGAAATGCTTCTTAATGTTTTTTGATCCTTGCCTGTCTTTTGCGAGAAATTTTCTGGATCATCCCAACAGTATGCCTATTCTTTTCCGTAGTCATAGGTATTACTATTGTTACGATTTGTTTGTTGTACATCTTGATGATTTCATTTCATTGGACTGATGCGATGGACGATGACTTCGGTCGATGAATGTTCGTGCTGGATACTTTGTTGTTGATTACCGATAGATGGGTAATACTCAACAAAGAAGAAATATGACATTTTCAAAATTTGGTTGTTTAGTAATTGACAAATGAATAAACATGATATTGTTTTTTTTTCTCTAGCCAATTCGTTTGACTAAACTTTCTTTCAGTCAGATAATCATCTTGGTGAAGATAGTCAAAGTAAACGATACCATTTACTTTAAAGTAGATTTGCATTGATTAGTAAAATCTATTTTGAGGATCTGTCCCCTTGTTTGACTACTAACTAATGGATAGATATCTGTTGAAAATTGTTTTTTATTCCTCTTCTCCTAAAACCATTTTTTGGAGCTTCTAATATAAGTATCTGGAGACCCCACTCCTACTTCCTGTGGCATAACTGATGTAGATATAGCATTAAGTTCAAAAGTAGAACAGGTTTTGTCAGACTAGATTCCAGTAGACAGTTATTGTGTGCTGTCCGACTAGATGGGATAGTAAGAACTCGAAAAGACAGAGACACACGCTGTTGTCTTTTCGTTGTCTCTGCATATTCTCCCACTGACTTCAGCTCGAATGAAATTGAAGATGAATTCTACAGGAAGCTGTCCAACCTCCATAAAAAAACTGAACGTTCGGATGTAGTAATAGTGGCAGGTGATTTTAATGATTAATTAGGTAGGCTAAACCTAACCGAAAGGCACTTAGACGAATGTTGCGTTGTTGCAGCTCAGCAGACAGATAATGATGATTATGTGCTGCAACTATGCTTAGATAAAAGTCCATTTCTATAAAAGGATGACTGTTGGTCATTATACAGTACATGTTGATGCTCGGATTATTCCCTAGTTCGATCACGTATCTATCTGCGACTTACTGGATGTAGAAATGCCACGGCAAGGAAAGTTCTTCGTCTAGTTTTAGCAGTTAGATTAACTAACATTTTAGCTTAATTCTGGGAACTGGATGTAATCCCATCTGACTTGTTTCGACCATCGATCATTCCAGGCTATAAAGAAGAGCAAAAGCATTTTGTAACAATCTCAGCAACGATGCGAGCTTGTTTGTTGTGCTGCTTTCTCCTTCCAAACGCAAATTATTGCTTCAAGATTGGCTTTCGTCAGCGTCTGAGTTAACAATAGCGTGATAAATAGTAAGGTGTGTTGACCGGTTCTCTTATCTTGTGAATCTCACCAGTCTTGATGGTTTAGTTCTAATATAATATTGTGAAACATGGCCATTAATAATAGAGAACATTCGTAGGTTAGTAGTATTGGACCAATGGTGTCTTCGAAGCATCGCTCGTGTATTTTAGGATCACAAATTAAGCAGTGGATTAGGTTAGCATTTGAGTACTAGGTTACGATGGAAAATCGATTGAAGACGTAATAAATCTTCATTAACTGTAGTGATTCAGAAATCGATTACATTTACTCCCCTACTTTTCACCTCAACGGGTAACGTGGTCTCATGTAGGTGTAGGCTGGAATAAGTCAGTGACAATCAAACGAAAATACAAAACTAGTACATGAGTTCATTGACAATTAGACTAAGTCATGTTAATCGGTAAAGATTACCTGTTTGGAGTCCATGTAATTTTCCCAACCAATTTTTAGAGACTTTAAATGGCATGGCTCAAAATCGTTTGCAATAACACAGGTAAATGCATTCTTTCTATTATCCTTTAATCCTGAGATTCTAGATTACTGATAACCTACTTTTGTTTTTTATTTCACGAATTTATATTTTCTTCTCAAATCGCATCATCGATGTCTAAATGTTTCTGTTACCATTGGTACCATTGCTACGTCTAGTGTTGTGGGATTTGATCTGACAATTTTAATCTCTCTGTACTAATAGTAGGTTCTGACAACTTGAGCCAGGTTCTACGCTGTGATCGACTGATTGATACATTGTTTCTTAGTTTCTTGTAATATGGAATGATATATGTCAATGGTTTGTTTTGAATAAATGGTTGTCGACTTTTTTTCTTTGCTCAATCATCAATTCTTAATATTTCATAAGATAATTGGAGATATCGTATTGTATCCAAACTCCAGGAATTGAATACGACTGACTGATATTTCTCGGATGACAATAATTATTAAATAGTGGTAAGGTTCAGTAAGTTTATTAGGGTGATTATTTTCATCTAAGGTAATCTACCTCTTTAGACGCAAATATGTTTTGAATCCTAAGTCAGTCGTTGATGTATAAATCATCTAATAACAATTATTTTTTACTATTAGTTGAACTAATTGAATGTCTTTCTATCAAACTAATCATAAATTATTTGAATTTACCTCATTGTTCTTTAATCTCATTACCCTACTATTCGAACATACATCAGTCAATCCAATAATGTACATGATTATACTTCAGTTTTGGTGGGTTGGTCAATCATTCGCTGTAAATTCGCTGTGAAATTGATTTTGTTTCATGCATCGTTTATTCTGCACTTTTTTTTTTCGTTTGTTTGTTTACTTAAATTATGTGTTGTTTTTACTTCAGCTATTCTCAATTCTGTCCTATCTATGCGTTTAATGAAAAATGAAAAGAATCATTCATTGTTAGATTATGTAACAGATTGGCATCATGGTATGTGTATTACATGTTACTTTCCATTATTTTTTTATAATTAGTATTTCTATTTAAAGTTATGCTGGATAATCTTTTACTGATTTTTTAATAGTTGAGATCATGACTATCAATTGAAGCTAGACCATCATTGAAAACCTGAAAGCATTGAACGGTCGTTTCGTCCTATTGTAGAACTCCTCAACAATGCGCATTCACGATCCCACTTTGAGAGATTCAGACACAAGACTTATCAGTTTCGTGAGTGAGCGCTTCATCTCTAAACCACTGAACCGACCAGCATCCAACGATGTTAATGTCTAACTTCAACTCATCTTTTACTTAGACTACTACTACTACTACTACTACTACTACTACTACTACTACACAACATGATTTATCTTTAGGTTTTCTTCTGATCAAAGTCTTTTTCTTTCATACTCCACCATGTAAATTACAGTAATCATTGAATAGAATATTTTAAGTGATTTTATTTAAATTGAATTGTTGTTTTCTGTTTTGTTTTGTAAATGACGACAACCATTTGAGAAAACCTTCTTTATAAACTTTTTTCTTTCTTTAACAGATTCTAGAACACTTTCAATGTTACCTGTCAATGAACATTTATTAGTTTATCTACAAAATTATGATTCTAACCAAGTAAGTTTTCCAAATTTATAACAATACATTGAATTCATTTGGTTCATAAAGTATACTTGTCTTTCTAGCAACTTAGTTTTTTTTAATTGTTCTAGTTATACTATTTAATTATACTCAGTAGTATAAATTATATCCCATCATTTATCTGACTTGTAAATTGTGGCTCGATGATAATATTTTCTCTCAGAAAATCACCTAATTCGTTCTCATCCTCTTAGTTCTGTGTTTTGATTCATCATTATAATTTAATCAGTATTTTATTTCTTTCTTTTGATTCTCCTTGTGGTCACTGCCTTCTGGAAAATTTGCTCTATTTATTTATTTATTTGGACACATAAATATTGGTACAAATGGGTACCAGATAGATATGCACCACACAATAATATTGAGAATGTGAAGAGATAAAGAATGTAAGGTACGTATAAGAAAAAAGAAGTACAACAATGAACAGAAATTAGTGTATGATAGTTAAATAATAATAATAATGAGAGAGACAGGTCAATTAGCAAAAGCATAGCCTTTAGGGAATTCTTTCACTTAAAGAAGTTACGTCTATTTTTACGAAGAAAGTTAAATAAAGTTACAGAAGGATCGCCACTGGCTTCTGTTCTGAGACATACCTGATAACGTCTCCATTCACTGTATTACACCATCTTCAGGGCTTCAAGCAGGTGGTCGTGAAGGATCGACAGAAGACAGTCCTGTACAGCTTTCTTCCGTACTGCGACACCATTTCATACACTGACGACGTCTCCGGTTTTTCCAACCAGTCTCAGCGTTGGCAAATAATACACAACGTGGGATTCTCTAGGACGACATTTGTAGGACATTTCTAAGCCACCGACGTCGATGTTCCAAGATTTATTTATTTAAACACATAAACACATTACAAGGGGACACCAAATAGATATGCGTAACTTGGTTCATACGTCATTGGTACGTTCAGGATACTAGAGCGCATGTGCACCATGGGTTTGGAATCATGGGTCCCGTAAACCCTCTAAGTGGATTCTCTGTGTCCACCAACTCGGTTAAAGCCAGTGCCATACATTCGGTTTTCGTCCGTTCAATTTTGTAAACAACACCCGTGGCTCAAGAAATCAGTGAGTAGGACTTCCCTGTCAGTGGTTGTGTGCACGTGACTATGTTAAAGCATTTTGAGAAGGAAAGCTGATTCTCTCCACTCTCTGCCGTATCAGGGCGTTTGGGGGCACCGACGGAATTGTCGTCGCTGTACCCGGACATACGATGCCGAACCACTGGATTACTAACATTGTGTTACCACTGTATGTCAGCAATCCTTCGGAGACATCAATGATCAAACACAGAGAGTTGTCCTCGACTTCGATAGGTCAGGTTTCACAAGTATAGAGCAAAACTGCTCTCACAGACGCATTGTAGATTAGATCTTTTATAACCAGACTAACATCACGAAGGTGCCATAGATATCCCAGATTGGCATAAGCCCCTGTGGCTTTCATTGTACGTGAAATGGTCTGATCACTCACCCCACCAACAGTATTTACGCAGCTACTCAGAAACATGAACTTCTTGACTACTTCTATGTGCTCACTACCCAATGTGTTTGCAGGATCAGAGTCCTATCAGTCTTGTAGAAGTACTTTGTACTTCAAAGGTGCGAAGCATATATCACACCTACGGACACTGATTGCCAACTAATTAATTGCTGATTGCATAACTTAGCTATTATCGTATAGTAAGACAATATTATCCTCATACTCAAAGTTAACGTTTTCACCTTATTTGTCCACATTAATGAAATGTACTTGTTAATATATCTATCATTAATTTGTATTATGTTATCTATCTATTTCAGATCATTTATGCATTTTCTCGTCTTCGAACAATTCTATCTATCGCTCCTATTTTAGTTATTCGTTCACTTGCATCATGTACAATTAATTCAATAATAAATTATAATATATATGGTATAAAATTTCTAGAACTTATATCAAAACATCGTCGTTCTATAGGTGGTTGTAATTTTTTCTCTACTATTAGTACAGAAGAATTAAATCAATCACAACAAAATTATACAAATATATTAGAATTAATAATTGATATATGTTTACAATATATGTGTAGTTATTTACCGTTTATTACAATGAAATCTACATCAACTGTGAATAGGATTATTGATAATGATCATGATAATGATCATGATGATGATGATGATGATGATAATCATTGTACTACATCATCTATGAATAATAATTTCATTGAATTTGGTCATCGTTTTGGTTATTCTAAACGTGAATATCGTGCGAATCAATTTGTACAGAATATAGCTGCAGAAATTTTAATATTGATTATTGAAGTAAGCTAATTGAAATGTTTTATTATTTAGTTTCACACATAAATATTGGTGCAGGAAGGCACCAAATAGAGATATGCGTCACACAGATCTCATTGGATATATGTGAGGATTGTGATACTGCCCGGGTGCCCAAATCGAAGCAGGTAGTTTTCTTAAGGGGCCACACCCGGGACTTTCGACCTGAAGATGTGATCCACAAGGTAGTGGAGCATCGTAAGGAGATGCAGTTCCATGGTAGCCGGTGACCAACAGTTCGTGCATACGCCATTTGTTCCTTCAGGATACTGGAGCCAGCCCATGTGCATCATTGGTTTGGAATCCGGTTAAAGTCGGTGCCGGACATTCGCTTTTCGTCCTCTCATTTTCGTAAACAACACCTGTGGTGAGAGAAGGCAGTGAGTAGGACTTCCCTGGTAGAGGCCATGTGAGAACATATTGAGAGGGAGAGTGGACTCTCCCCACTCTTGGCCGTACCAAGCCATTTTGGGGTATTATAGTTTATGTTGCTAACAGAACATGATCGATCTACCTGTCTTCTAGGTTTTATGTTTTTGTACTTGCAATAAAGTGGTTAAATGTTTTAATCTCTAAGATACTACTACCTACCTACCATTCATTCATTCATTATATGTTCCTCAAAGTTTCATTATTGTTATCACTAGTTCAAACGTGTCTTAGAGTTTTGTCTGACTTTTGTAATTGGAACCGTTATGTTCAATATTGATTTGATATTATTGTTAGAATTCATTGGAATCTTAATACAATGTTTGTTTGTTTGTTTTTTTTGTTTTATATGTTTTAGCAATTAGTATCGATACAAGATGAATGTTTAAATCCATCACTGATCAACTCAACTTTAAAATCTAATTCTAATTTATCTAATGTTAAAAATTCCTCTTCTGGTACACGTATACCAGAATTATCATCACTGTCATCATCAGTATATTCAACTGGATCTATAAATTCAAACATTGTTCCACCTAATACAATTACATTTTCATCTATGATACAACAAGCTAATGGACGTCGTCTTGTACAAAATACTTTACATCATACTTGTTTAACATCTGTTGTTTTACATTGTTTAGCCTCATGTATTATAAAAGTACATTGGCCTAAAACGAATAAAAACTGCTCGGATTATTCAACACCAAATGGAATTAGGTATGATTAATGTTCATAGTTTCAAATAGTTGCATATTAGAATAATGTTATATTTACTAAGTTCTAGAGTGTTAGGATTCCAGTAGTCTTTTATTACCATTTTGACTATAGTCTAGAAATGTTTAGATGTTTTCATAGATACCATTCGTAGTATTGCTGATTAGATGAAGTATAGTGTATGTTATTTATGTTGACATATATAAGTTGTATCTAAAACCATTCAAAAATGGAATGCTCGTCTAAAGAAATGCTAGCGATGTTAGATCCCCAGAACTCATTTGGTAAGTACCTTATTTTATTTTGAAAATTTGAATTTCTTTGTTTTCGCGCCAAAAGAACAATAATGAATCGGAATAAAAACAGAATTGGAAGAATCATGAAGAATGTAAAGTACAACTGATGGAAGATATACAAATGAAGTATTTAATGTATGGTTTTCATAATTTATGAAGACACTGTCATTTTGCAATAAACAATAAATTGGTGTTCCACACTACAGAAGTACTAGTATTTCGTTTATTCACCATCACTTTATTTTAGTTCTATCATATATCCTTAATTGTTTTGGTATGTTAGATTAAGTGCACATACCTGATAGTCATCTATTTAAATGATTTGCTTAGAATGGATTTCAATCAATTAGTCAAGATTTGAAAGTTATTTTATTTAAACACATAAATATTGGTAGAAGGAGGCACCAAATAGATATGCCCCATACAAGTCACTTGATTTGTGTATGGACTGTGATACTGTCCATCTGTCCAGAACGAACCAAGTGGTCTACTTAGAAAGTCACACCCGGAACCTTTGACCTGAAGGTCTGATCCACAAGGCAGTGGAACATCGTAAGGCGATATAATCCAGTTGTGGCCGGTGACCAACAATTGGTTCATAGGTCATTTGTTCACTCGGGATATCTGTTATAATTTTATGTCCGGCTTTCGATCAGGTGACTTGTCCACCAATCAGAATACGATTTATACAAATATTCGCACTATGACAAAACCAATGACGTTCAACTGGTATGAGCACTCTAGCGTCCTTAATTGGTCCTATGTTCTTTTATCCCGTCCGCTTGAGTCTAGAACACAATACCAGCTTCTGTAATATGAATCGAATTGGATCGAATCGAACCAAATCATTTATTTCAGACATACTCGGTTTATATATCAATCAGACAGACCACAACGTACCATAAAATAGAAAATAACATGTGTACACAAATATGCCAAAAAGTGGCTGTGAATGTGGGAGACAGTAATTAATAAACTGACTATAACATGGGAACAGTGAATCGTACAATAATAATCAATAGGTCAAAATGAATCTTATAATAAGGGGAATGTAGATATATATAATCTAGTTACTGAATAATTATACCATAAGAATATATCGATAATATTAATCTGTTAATAGGTTTCAGAAGTTACTCGTAACGTAATCTTTGCCAGGCCATAACAATACCGTAGTCCATGTGCATCATTGTTTTGCAATTAGGAGTCTCCTAAACCCTCTAGGTGGATTCTCTATGTCCACCAGCCCGGTTAAAACCGGTGCCAGACATTCAGTTTTCGTCTTTTCAATTTCTTAAGCAACATCCGTGGCGCTAAAAGTCAGTGAGTAGAACTTCCCTGTTAGTGGCTCTATATCTGTGACTGTGTATAAACATTTCTAGAAGGAAAGCTGACTCACCTCACTCTCTACTTTACCCAGGGCATTTACGAGCAAAATAAAATGGTTTTCCTTTTATTTATTTTATTTAAACACATAAGTATAGGTACAGGGAGGCACCAAATACATATGCGCCACACAAATCTCAATTGATTTGTGTGAGGGCTGTGATACTGCCCGGGTGCCCAAACCGAAGCAGGTGGTTTTCTTAGGGGGCCACACCCCGAGCCTTTGACCTGAACGTCTGACCCACAAGGCAGTGGAGCATCGTGAGGAGATGCAGTCCCATGGAAGCCGGTGACCAAAAGTTGGTTCATACGCCATTTGTTCCCGCAGGATACTGGAGCCCATGTGCACCATTGGTTTGGGATCCGGTTAAAGCGCCAGACATTCGCTTTTCGTCCTCTCATTTTTGTAAACAACACCCCCGCCACGAGAAGGCAGTGAGTAGGACTTCCCTGGCAGAGGCTATATACGCATGGCCATTTGAGAGCATTTGGAGAGGGAGAGCGGACTCTCCCCACTCTCGGGCGTACCAGGGCATTTGGGGGCAACAGTTATATAATATACCCTTGTGGGCCAGGGTAATTTTACATCGGTTTTCAGGAGAACCAGAACCGTCCAGACTTTCACGCGACAACCCAAACAGTACAGCCCAAGCCCATTTAACAGGGGAGCCGGACACCGTATAGGCTATAACGCTACAATCTGAATAGTACAGCTCAATCCTGTGGCGCAACCACACAGGTACCAAACACCCTGGTGGACCTTTTATACCTGAAATATTATTATCTTACCTTATATTGTTTATTATTATGACTTTCAATTCTATTGATATTTTACAATTTTATCCAGGAAACTTCCAACCTGTTTACAATTAATTCTTGTCAATGATCTATTATCAAATTTATCGAATACATTTCAAGCTACACAATTACAAACCTTATTAAAACTATTCAATGTTATTCTTCATTTAAAACCATGGTATGGTTATTCAGATCGTATGTCATTAATAAAATATCATTATGTATTACAACAGAATTGTCAAACATCAACTGAATTATATAATAATAATTCTAGTAATAATAGTTTACTATGGCCAGTATGTCCAAGTATATTACTATTAGATAATGAATTAACTAGTTATGATTTATTAACACATTATATTACTGATATCTGGTCAATAGCCTATAATCAATTACCGAATGAATTAAATCATCATTCATTATTTCGTATGAATTGTATTACAATATTATGGTGGTCTAATTCAACTAGAAACTATTCAATTATTGAAAAAGATCAATTGAATTTATTCATTGAATTATTATCTATTGGATTATCATCACCATTCACTTCATCTGCATCATCCGCGTCATCCTCATCAGTATCATCATCATCTAATGATAATACTACTAATTATACAACATTTTTCTTAGCTCGTTTAGATTTACATCCATTATGGTATTGTTTTATATTTAAAAGTTTATCATATTGGGGTTGGTTTATTGGATCATTAATACGTGTTACTATTAAACAAATATGTTCAAGTTTAAATAAATTATGTGATCGTGTTTATCAGAATATACAACAAACACGTTATAATAATAATAGTATAAGGTGAGTTCTATCAAGATAATTTGTAGAGATATATGCATATATGGAGATACCTGATAATGAAATTGGATTAGAAGTGGTCATAATAACCTGAGAACGTAACTGCAGTGTCCAAGGGACAGCTACTTCAGGTCGGTCACACACGACCTATTTATGAGTAATTTTTGTGTTAGCTCCGTACTTGTTGAGACCTTATCGCCAGAGATGGATATCCGTGGGATAAGGCGAGGTGTGCATTTCTAGGGTTGACCTTTTCTAACCCCACCCCTCCTTGTGGGAAGGCAGCATCGCTGCGGATGCTGGTTGTCTGAAGGAAACACCTTACTGCCGTCACACCTCTGTACATTCAGTGGTACGACTTCACCCTTGGGTTTGTTGTTTTCAGTCTTACTGTTCTTCAACCGACCTGTGTGGCATGGTAGGACTTTAAGGGACGGTTGTTCCAGCTAGTATAGCTCAGTTGCTTCATCACAATAGGCAAGCCCGAACACTACGTCAAGGTAGCAACAAGGTCGGAAGTTTATACAGATACCTATGTATGTATATTTTGATTAGTTACTAAGTAATGAACTACTATTATGTTTGTTTGAATTCTATTGTCATCAAGTTATAATGTGGTCATTGATTTAAGTGAATCCATATTACGTACATTATATTATGTTTATTTATTTTAACACATAGATATTGGTACAAGGAGGCACCAAATAGAGATATGAGCCACACAGATCTCATTTGATATGTGTGAGGACTGTGATACTACCCGGATGCCCAAAGCGAAGTAGGTGGTTTCCTTAAGGGACCACACCCCGAGCCTTCGACCTGAAGATCTGATCCACAAGGCAGTGGAGCATCGTAAGGAGATGCAGTTCCATGGTAGCCGGTGACCAACAGTTGGTGCATACGCCATTTGTTCCTTCACGATACTGGAGCCAGCCCATGTGCACCATTGGTTTGGAATCTGGTTAAAGCCGGTGCCGGACATTCGCTTTTTGTCCTCTTATTTTCGTAAATGACACCTGTGGTGCGAGAAGGCAGTGAGTAGGACTTCCCTGGTAGAGGCTATATACGCGTGGCCATGTGAGAGCATATTGGACTCTCCCCACTCTCGGTCGTACCAGGGCATTTGGTTGCTTATATTATGTTAGATGTTTGGAGATAAATTATAGGATACACTATACAACATCGAGTTCTAACTAACACGAAACTTCACTTTAGAATTTTTTTTATCGACTTTCTTCAATCATCTGACATGTTTATTATTCAAATAGTAAGTTAATGGTTCAAGCATTGTGGTATACAGGATACAGCATGTAAACTGAATGATCATTATCTTAGTGAATTGATTCACAATTATATTCAGGAAATGAACTTATTTTCTGAATTCATTTATAATGAAGGTATAATAATAATAATCTATACATATGTCAGATCACAAATAAATGAATGCCAAACAAGAAGACTATATGAATGTTCTATACATGACAATTTACCCTTTCTTTCATTAGACTGTAAGATGACGAATGTCAGTAAAGTACATTAGATTGTAGTTAAGTGAACTAATTGTGCAATTAAAAAGTGGTAGCTGTTCACTGTAAAATGAATTTATTACCTCAGTCAATCAGCTACAACGTAGAACCAGGCATATATATGCATCGGTCCAAGTTGCCGTACCGCATTAGCACAGCAAGAAGAACACCGAATTCATAGGAGTGGTTAAGTTAATGGTGTTAATATACAAAAGAAAGATTGTATATAAGGAGATAGTACAGGAAGAAAGAATTACTTGGTAGAAAGAAAAATATGAAGCGATTTTAATCTCTTAGTTTAAGGGAAGACAGAGTGTGTATACACCTACGCCATTGTGATCGATTCTGAGCCATGTCACCAAGAGTCTCTAACTATTGGGTACGATAGTCACGCGGACCTCAGCCGAGTAGTCTGCATCTACCTGAATGTAATCATATATGTTGGATACTTTGGTGTAACCATTATGGATTTTATTTTTTCCCTCCATTCTTATAGTAGATCAAGATTATCAAATACAAGTGAATGGGAGCTTTTACCACCAGACTATACATTAACTGTATTAGCTTTAATTCAAGGCATTTGTCATGCATTTCTTCTATCAGTTGGAAATGCCTGTTTACCGCTTATGTCATCTCGAAAAGTGAATTCATTGCAACAAACAACTGCATCATTGCGTGGTGGTAATCCACCAACTGTTAGTCAATTAACTGGTCTCCCAGATTCAATAGAAGGTGCTTTGGAAATTGCTGAAATTCTATATCATCACAAATTGAATCCACCAAATCCAAATGGACCTATACCAGAAGTTAATAATACTGTACCAGCATTTGATCCTTTATTTCCATCACCTCTTACAGAGAATGTTGATCATTGTTCAAATACGATTAATTTCGTTTCTATGAATAATTCATCTGTGGACAATATTTCAAATTTGGAACCATCTGTCATTTTAACTTCTGGAATAGGAGATGATAAAGTGGAAACAACAGAAATGTCAGTTCATTCACCAAGTTCTACTGTAATATTTTTGAATCGTGCAAAAGTTAGTGAAATACTTACTTATTTATATCTCATTATTTAAATTACTGTTTGTCGTATTGGTTGTCATTTTCTCAAATGATCTAATAATTTATTGATTGAGTTTGTATAATAGGGATGCTTTTGTTTCTCAGTTATATGAATGCTTTATAACTATCGGTACAAACGGGCACCAAATACGTATGTGCCACACAAATTAATTCATTTTTATGTTGTGGGCTGTGATACTGCCCGGATGCCTGGGCTGAAGCAAGTGGTCTACTAAAGAAGCCACATATGGAGCCTTTTACCTAAAGATCTAATCCACAAGGTAGTGAAGCAACATCAGGAGATACAGTTCCATTGTAGCCGGTGATTACGATTTTGAAACTTCTTTACTTTCATTTTCACTTTATAAATGGTCATTCAGTTTAAATTGGGTTTTGGAATGTTAAAACTGACATTCATTATAGAGAGATCATTTGTCTGGTTCTTTTCGCCATTTTTGATTGATTGATTGATTGATTTGAACACATAAATTATATTGGTACAATGAGGTACCAAATAGATATGCGCCACACAAATTTTCATTTTATTTGTGTATGGGTTGTGATACTGCCCGGGTGCCCAAACCGAAGCAGGTGGTTTTCTTAAGGGGACACACCCCGAGCCTTTGACCTAAAGGTCTAATTCACAAGGCAGTGGATCATCGTAAGGAGATGCAGACCCATGGTAGCCGGTGACCAACGATTGGTTCATACGCCATTTGTTCCGTAGGATACTGGAGCCCATGTGCACCATTGGTTTGGTATCCGGTTAAAGCCGGTGCCGAACATTCGCTTTTCGTCCTGTCAATTTTGTAAACAACACCTGTGGTGCGAGAAGGCAGTAAGTAGGAGTTCCCTGTCAGGGGCTGTTTACGCATGGCCATGTGAGAGCATTTCGAGAGGGCGGGCGGTCCCACCTCACTCTCGGCCATACCAGGGCATTAGGGAGCCATTATATATATAAACAGATCGTATGAAATGTGTTGGATTCTATACACTATAACTTACTACAGCTTAAATCTGAAATCTAAGTTTTATTCGTAGTGGTTTATGTTCGTTTACATTCAAAGCTGATCAGTTTCGTTTGGTATATATAAATTTTGAACTAATTCTCCAATATTCCTCATAGCTTTATTATTATTATTATTTAATTGTGACTATGATCATGATCCAGGAGTCATGTTTTATGATTTAATAATTTAGCGAATTATGATGTAACATTTTGGCTAAAATACAGTCTGTTAATATCATAGTATGAACCGAGTAAACACTATACTTAAAAATGAAATGTACGTTGCATATTTTACTACTATTCAACAACAAGTTATTCTTTCAAGATCAATCAATCAGTTGGTTACAGCGTAGAACCTGGTACGTATGTACATTGATTCAAGTTGCCAGATCCTATTAGCACAGATAGATGAAATTGTCAGACCAAATCCCACAACACTAGACGTAGCAATGGTATCATTGGTAATAGAAACGATTAGACATCGAAGATGCGATTCGAGAAGAAAATATAAATTCTTGAAATAAAATACAAAAGTAGGTTATGAGGAATTTAGAATCTCAGAATTCGAGAATAAGAGAAAGATCGCATTTACCTGTGTCATTGCAAACGATGTTAAGCTATATAATTTCAAGTCTAACCATCGGTAGTGATCTATACTAAGTAACATGACTCAGTTTAATTGTGAATGAATTCATGTACTGGTGTTGTGTTTTGGCTTGAGTGTCACTGACTTATTCCAGCCTACACCTACATGAGACCACGTTACCCGTTGAGGTGAAAGGTAGAGGACTAAATGTAATCGATTTCTGAATCACTACAATTAATGAAGATTTACTACATCTTCAATCTATTTTCCATCGTAACCTAGTATTCAAACGCTAACCTAATCCATTGCTTAATTTGTGATCTTAAAATACACGAGCGATGCTTTGAAGATACCATTGATCGAATAATACTAACTTACTATTATTCAGTCTAGGACTGGATATACAAACAGTGACTTGTCAATTCAGTAGTAAATATATTATTTATAATAGACTTTATAGATTGATTTTATCTAGTTAGTCATTGAGAACTAGACAATATTGATTAGTTGTTTAGTGGTAGTATGGAACTTATCATTAGTGCATACCTATTAATTTTGTCGCTAAATGAACTTATGTTACTTTTTTATGCCAAGTTCATGATTCTACTAACAATTGAAAGTTAATCAGTTTTTCAACAACAGGTACAGGGAGGCACCAAATACATATGCGCCACACGAATCTCATTTGATTTGTGTGAGGGCTGTGATACTGCCCGGGTGCCCAAACCGAAGCAGGTGGTTTTCTTAGGGGGCCACACCCCGAGCCTTCGACCTGGACGTCTGACCCACATGGCAGTGGAGCATCGTGAGGTGATGCAGTCCCATGGTAGCCGGTGACCAACGATTGGTGCATACGCCATTTGTTCCTTCAGGATACTGGAGCCCATGTGCACCATTGATTTGATTTGGGGTCCGGTTAAAGCGCCGGACATTCGCTTTTCGTCCTCTCATTTTTGTAAACAACACCCGTGGTGCGAGAAGGCAGTGAGTAGGACTTCCCTGGCAGAGGCTATATACGCATGGCCATTTGAGAGCATTTGGAGAGGGAGAGCGAACTCTCCCCACTCTCGGCCGTACCAGGGCATTTGGGGGCGTTTTTCAACAACAAACCATATCAATAAAATAATCATAATGTTTATTGTTATTTTACTTGTTTCAATTATTCATTCTATTCATGTTATTTTAGAACTTGAAAAATGTAAATATTAAAGATGATGTATTAAATCCTGAATTACATCCTTTTATTCAAGCTCAATTAGAAGTATTACGTTTAATGCCTGATATGATTACATGTATATCATTCCTTTGGAATACTCTTAATCAATCACCATTTTGTCAATTATGTAAAGGAAATTACTACAAATCTAATTGTACAATCACTAGTCGTTATCCAGGTAGAACATATATAATCAATATTCATATTATTTGTTATTATTTTTTCTGATTATATATATATATATATATATATATATATATATATATATATATATATATATATGTACAATTTGCTTGGTTACAATGCTAAGGCATGAGCACAATTCAATTTTCTTGTTTTAATAAGTGTATTCCGAAGAAAAAACGATAAGTACTTGTGTGGATTAATAGCATACCATCTACTGGACACAGGTCAGTCAGTCAGTAACAACGTGGAACTTCGTACGTACATACATCAGTTCGAGTTGCCATGCCACATTAGCACAGAGATTCAGTTGTCGATTCAAATCCCGTAGAGGTATAGGTAGTAAGAGTATAAGCAGTAATCGGAAATATTAGGCTTTAAATATGTTATCCGGTGAAATAAATTTGGAAAGAGTGAAAAAAGGACATGAAGAATTGAGATTAGAATTTAGGAGAACACAAAGAGTGAATGCACCTGCTCCATTGCAAACGATTTTTAGTCATGTCATTCAAGATCTCTAACCATCGGTTGCTATTATCTCGAGGATCCCAACCAGGGTAATCTACACCTACCAACATGGCTCATTCAGTCCACTTGTCAGTGACTTCATGGATTTGTACTATGTTTTGGTCTGGCCGCCCCTAGCCTTCTTCCAACCCACTCTTATACCATAAAGCATCGCACGTCGGGATAGTCGGTGGTTGGACATACGTAACACATGTCCCAGCCATCTCAACTGCTGAAGTTTCATTACTTCCTAAATTCATTTGCCATCCTTACCTAGTACACGTTACCTTACAACTGTATTACTTACTCGATGGTCCCAGGATATACGAGCAATGTTTCGAAGACACCTATGATCAAATACTAGTAACCTACGAATATCCTCTACTCTTACTGGCCATATTTCACTGCCTACTTTATGACACAGGGGCAAATTTGGATTCAACGAATTCGTTTTAGGTTTTCAATAAACAGTTGCATTCCATGTTGTTAAGATTTACAAAAGCATAACAGTTAGTAAGAGTGAGTCTGACCTTCATATTGAAAAAGAATCAATAAATCATCTTCAACTGCCTTGTTAATATTTTATTATGAACAAAATCTGTTAGACTTAACTCACATGTCTTCTTTTCCCATTTTAACTTCCAAGAATATTCTTTCAGACTAATTAGTAAAGTTAACTTTATATTCTAGAGCTGATTACCTCAAATGATTTTTATAAAAAGAACTTTTAAAGCTTCAACTCTTAGCTTCCTTTGCATTACTCAAAACTTACTTTTTATTGTCTGACAATTCAGTCTTCAATGTTGTCTCAATGATTTGGACGAATTAAGCATATTTAGCTTGTGCACAACTAAATGGAAATCAACCAAACACAATTGCCGAAATTATCATCTTGGAGTCATTAGCGTTGTTAGTTTGTTTCGGTATAAATCGAACTACTGAATAATAGTAAGTAATATCATGCTATAAGCATAAAGGATTGGACTAATAATTGAAGCCAACTAGGAAAGTATGATATAGTATATTGGAGATAATCTATTCCCCTGTTAGCTATATGTATGAATAAATCTTAGCTTATCACTGATTATTCCAGCCATTATATAGTGCTATTCTCAAACTTTTCATTCTCTATACTCTTCAGATAAAGAACATTGGTCGTTGTTAAACTCACCCATTCCTTCTGAAAGTTTATCTCCATTAATTAGCCTTGGTTCAGCTACTCTTGTTCGTGGTGCTATTCGTCGGCTATTAAAGCCTATTGCAACACAACATCCAGATCTCTTATTAGTAACAACCGCTGTAGCTTGGCCAAATACAACTTTTGATATTGAAACTGGTGGTCTTCTTGCTGGATTTGATTCATTAATAAACTATGGCCCATTGGATATGCTTATACCTATAAGAACAAAAAGAGATAATTGTAATTCAGGTAAGTGTTCTTTATGTATGTATACGTAGAATGTAATGTATAATTAGTCTCAAATCCGTTAGAGGATTTTTCTACTCAACGACAGAGTTACACGGGATGATATCCTAAAACCGAAATACTGGATTCGGTGTAAAATACTATGCTGCTATGGAAAATCGAAAAGAACCTTGATTTGTGTTTTGTACAGGTAACTGTACTCAACTGATAAAGACATGACTTATTGCTCCTAATCATTTTAGAAGGTATTAACTTTCTGTAAGAACCAGTTAGATAATTCTCATCTATAATTGAAATCATTATTCGACAATATATGAAATCAATTAAGCATCTATCCAATTATATTTATTCTATTGATATTATTTCGATTACGTAATCTCTCTTTATATTGATATCAAAGATGATAGCTGATAAGTCTTGCAATTCGAACGCTATATTCGGTTACTAAGCTATTCTTGTAACCCCCAAGCTAGAACTATACAGCGACCTGAACATGAGAGAGAAGGCGCAAAGTACGCGAAAAGTACTTTACTCCAAGGTTCATTTTAATACAGAAAATATAGGGTTTTTATAATAGTTCAAATGTCCTTGGGTTGCTCGAAGATTCTGGAATGCTACTAAACATAGTAGCAATATAACAATCGGCCAATCAGAACTTCTACATGTGACATTTTCACTTCCTTGATGTTTCTGGCTAAAACTTCAAGTAAACGCTGATTGAATGAAATACTTTTTAGTGTTTCCTGATTCTTGCTTGTTTTTTGCGAGAAAATTTCTGGATCACCACAACAATAGCTTAGATTGATATATATTTATACCTGGATCGTTTGTTGAATCCATGTCTTTCAGTAGAAAGAGAAGAACAACAATCGATTATTACGGACTTCAAGCATAGTTACATAATTCTATTTGTCATCTTTAAAATTTGCTTATTTATTGTTTCTAATCTCTCTGTATTCTATTTCATTTTGAAAAGAGCAACAACAAAAGGATTCTAGCAGAATAACATGAATTCATCTTTATTTCGTTGGTTAGTTCTTGTCAGCTGTTTACAACCTGTGATATTTAAACAACATAATTGCATAATAGGTTTAAATGACTTACATGAGAGGGTTTAGTTGAAAGTTCTATTAAAGTCATATAAGTATAGTTTAGTAAGGGTGTAAATAATTTGAATAGACTGGATATTGTAAATATATACACCTTATGTAAAAGAACATTCTACGGCGAGACTCTAATTTATGGACGAGCCAATCAGAAACGTTTGAGAGATTTCAAGGTGACAGCGTCAACTTCAGTGCTTAATACTGATGTACGATGGGTTCATAAGGGATTTTGTAAAAAACGTGATAATTTAGCGGTTATAACAAATAAAACGGTGAGACTATAATTTGTGGACGTACCAATCAGGTATAAGATAACAAATCTCGGATTTTGGTGTGAAAGTCTTTTATCCATTTGGTTAAATAAATTTCTGGCATTATAGCTGATGTCAGTTCGTAATGAAAACCCCATATATAATTCATAACTATGGCAGATTATGGCAATTATCGAGAACTGGATAATAAAAGCACTAGTAACACTGGCTGCAGCCATTTACTACAATATATACGGATGTTTGGAGAGCGTACAGACTCCTACATACACTTGGTCATGTGCATTGTGTCATTATCCACAAGTAGCATTTTGTGTACTCAACAACCGAAGTGCACATAAACAATATTAAAACTATTTGGTCGAGGTTGAAAGAGTTTTTGAGACTTTATCATGGCTCCAAAGGCCGGTTATTCTGTAGCTATATAGATGCTTTCCTCTACTGCATGTTTTACGATTTTAGAACCTCTGAACCTTTTTCTAACCTTAACAAGTTTTTGAACTACGTATAAGAAGTGTATCCATTTTATTTCTATGGTTTTGTATAATATTTATTACTCTATACTTACTGTTTGCTGATGGGCTAATATTCTCAAGATCAATTATGATTCATCTAATGGTCGTCCATAAATTAGAGTCTTGTCACATTCTACAATATTGATTGTGACAACAGTTCAAACGGTTAGTAACAAGTAAACATTGATAAGAATGAAATGAATAGAGTTCAATTGATAAAATAAGATAATTAAAATAAAACTCAATGATATAATAAATGGAAGAAAGAGTTTAAAGAAAAACAAAAAAATTAAAATACAGCGAAGGAATATTAGTCACCAAGGCAAGAGAAAGATTAATAACCATCTCCACTTGAACACATAAATCAAGTTTTTCACATCTGATAGCAATGGCTTCAATAAACTTCAGAACACTGGAGTTTAACTCCTTACTAATCATTACCTTAAATGATTGCAGGATATCAATTTGATGTCCTGTATCAAGGAGATGTTTTATGGATTGCATTGTTTACAGTTTTTCTTTCTTTTGTTCTAAAACGTTTTTGGAACATATTTTCAAAAAATCTAAAATATATGCTCTTTCTCTCTCTCTCTATGTTCAACCAATTTAGTTGCTTTGGCAAGTACATGTAAATTTATCATTACAATTGGTGGTAACATTTCATTGATAGAAACAAACTTTTGAATCATTTACATTTTTCTCTCTCTCTCTCTTTTCTCTTTTTGTTTATTTCTCATCTTACAAAAAATTGAACAAAAACAAAAGAAAATCGATAATAATTTTTTTTTCAATAGTTAAGATCATGAGTCAGTTGAAGCTAAACTACCATGGAAAACCTGGAAGCACTGGACGGCCGTTTCGTCCTATTGTGGGACTCCTTAACAGTGTTCATCCACGAACAGTGGAGGTCAACCGAGTATGTTGTGAGATAGTAACTCAGTGAAGACAATCGTGGATGTGTCGTTGAATTTCGTGGATTAGTTGAAGTTAGACATTAACACCGTTGGATGCCGGCCAGCTCAGTGGTCTAGTGGTTAAGTGCTCGCGCTCAAGACTGATAGGTAGGTCGTGGGTTTGAATCTTGCAGAGGGGCGAGGTCGTGGGTGCGCATTGTTGAGTAGTCCCACAATAGGAGAAACGGCTGTTCAGTGCTTCCAGGTTTTCCATGGTTGTGGTCCAGCTTCAACTGACTCATGATCTTAACCATTGAAATTACTACCAACTCCACAAAACCCCTTCTGATAATAATTTTTTTTTCTTTTTAGAAATATATTCAATTCCATTACATCATAAACAATATAGTTTATTAGATTTAATTAGTGGTCGAACTTATGATGATAAACATTATGGTTCTATATTATCATCTACAATATTAATAAATAATTTACGTGATATAATACGTCGTCCAATGAATAATTCATTATTAATACCAATTATTAATACAATACAATTACAATATCATTGCACTACATTATCAGCAGCAGCAGCAACAATGAATTCATATTCACCATTACAAGAAATCAATACAACATTAATAACAAATGGATATAAAGTAATCATTAATATTATATATATTATAATATGTTATTTACATGCATACATACATAGGGACAACAAAGCATAAATGATTCGATTTGTTTTTGAAGGTTGAGATACTGCCTGGATGCCTAAATCGAAGCAATTGGTTTTCTTAAGGGGGGAGGGAGGGCACAATCGGAGTCTTTGACCTAAAGGTTTAATTCATAAGACAGTGGAGCAACGTCAGCAGACATAGACACATGGTAGCCGATGATCAATGATTGGTTCATACGCTATTTGTTCCTTCAGGATTCTGAAGCTCATGTATACCATTGATTTAGAATCAAGGTTTTCCAACCCTCCTGGATCGACTCTCTGTGTCCACTAACCCGGTTAAAACCGGTGCCAGACATTCGGTTTTCGTCCTCTCAATTTTGTGAAGAACACCCGTGGTGCGAGAAGGCAATGATTAGAATTTCCCTGTCAATGGTTGTATGCACGTGATTATGTGAGAGTGTTTCGAGAGAGAGTTGATTATCCGCACTTTCGACTGTACCAAGGCATTTACAGAAATCATTTGTTTTTTACTTTAATCTTGTTTCTTTATGATTTGTCTTGTCCACGATTACATTCAAATTATATAAATGATTTTGACAGCTAAAGACTGATGATGAATCTGATTAAATTAAATGATCAGTGTTGACTAAGTTTTCTAGCATTGTACCTCTTATGAACTCATGTCTACTTTTTTTCCAGCCATTTATTAGAGAGATAGTATTGTTGGATCCTCACAAATCAAAGGATAAATATACCCTAACTTCATTTATCACCTAGGAGAGATATCCGTCTACCAACCAAAGGATGGGTTTACTGCGCAGCAGTTCGTTCCACCCTACTTTATGGTTGTGAAACATGGCCGGTAAGAGTGGAGGATATTCCTTAGTTACTAGTATTCGATCATAGGTACCTTCGAAGCATTACTCGTATATCCTGGGACCATCGAGTAAGTAATACAGTTGTTAGGTAACGTGTACTAGGTAAGGATGGCAAATGAATTTAGGAAGTAATGAAACTTCATCAGTTGAGATGGCTGGGACACGTGTTACGTATGTCCAACCACCGACTATTCCGACGTGCGATCTTCTATGGTCTAGGAGTGGGTTGGAAGGAGGATAGGTACGGTCAGACCAAAACATGGTACAAATCCATGAAGTCACTGACAAGTGGACTGAATGAGCCATGTTGGTAGGTGTAGATTACCCTGGTTGGGATCCTCGAGATGATAGCAACCGATGGTTAGAGACATTGAATGACATATCTCAAAATCGTTTGCAATGGAGCAGGTGCATTCACTCTTTGTGTTCTCCTAAATTCTAATCTCAATTCTTCATGTCCATTTTTCACTCTTTCCAAATTTATTTCACTGGATTATACTCTTTGAATAACATCTTAAAGCCTGATGTTTCCGATTACTGCTTATACTCTTACCACCTATACCATTATGGGATTTGGATCGGTGACTGAATCTCTGTGCTAATGTGGCATGGCAACTTGAACTGGTGTACGTATGTACATACAAAGGTCTACGTTGTTGACTGACTAACTTCACTGGAATAAGTGAATTGATACATCAATATCAGACTAAATGGCTAAATGGAGTTTTGGCATTATAGCTGATATCAGTTCGTAATAAAAACCCTTAATCTAATTCGTAACTTTAACCATCAACTGTAAATCATAATTCTTATTCCTCAAACTGGTTTATTACCCTCATTTGGTCCTAGTTATTAGGTGAACACTCTCAATGTCATTCTAGCGTCACCTAAGGATCGTCGATAAATTATAGTCTTACCAAAGTTACTATTGCTTTAATCTTCGTTCGGACATAACAGATATGTTATTTATCTGCAGTAATTAACATTATTTTTTTAAAAAAGGAACAAGTTGTACAGAGTGTTGTAAAGATAGTGTAATGTGAGCTACTTATATCCACATAAGTAGTATATAACGATCGTCAGGAATAGAATGTATTTCAGTAGAAGATCAAGAAAGAAAGAACAGGAACGGAAAGCAATTAATATGAAAATTCACAAACAATGGAATCTAAGACAATGGACTGATATTTTCAAAAGGAATAGTCACATTTGACACAATTGATTGACTGTTTGAATAAATTTAACAAGTTATTTTTCTACAGAATGGGGTCGCTAACCTCATGCCCAAACCTCTTTTCTTATCCAGGCTTGGGACCGGCAATAGCCTCAGAGGTCTGCAGGTGGAGTTAATTGAATGTTTACAAATGAACTATTTACTATATGGATCTCGTATAATATACGATATTCTTATGTTCCATTGACACAAACGATGCTCTATATATATATGTGATTTGTTATAACTCTAAGTATTTTTCATATATATGATTTCATTCTAATTATTAATTAAAATGGGTGTACAATCAAATCGACTAAGGTCGTCGTCGTCGTCGTCATCATCATCATCATTGTCGTCGTGTTTTGAGGTTAATAAATCTTCATTTATACCAGCCTTTATGTTCACATTTTCTTTCATCTTGTAACAATTGTAGTGGTCTATTGTTTCAAATATAAATGATAAGAATTTTTGACAATAATAATCATTATACAATTAGATATAATAAACAGTATTCAATTGACAAATTATAACAAGAAAGGAATATTGATTTTTCTTTCTTCTCATTATTTTTTTTTGTTTTTTTTGTTTTGTTTTTCTTTTTTGTTTATTTACCTTTTTTTTCTCTCTTTTTTTTTAAAAAAAATTTTTTATTTAGTCAACTACAAATTCTGGAGTAAATTTAATTCGTTTACAAACAAATTTATTACATTTATTTTATGCATGGCTTATTATGAAACCAGATTTTATATCCTCTGAATTATTATTAATTTTAATACGGGATTTAATTAATTTACCAACAATAATTAATTATAATAATATAATGAATATAACAACAACAACAACTACTACTACTACTACTAATAGTACGACTATGAGTAGTAGTATGACTAGTACTAGTCCTGCTAGTAGTAGTACTACATTGGGTCTTTCACCTGCTGGAATATTTATACTAATCAAGTATGTGAAATGTATTATATTAAAGTTGTGTTTATTTGTTTTGTATTGTTTCTTTTTTGTTTGTTGCTATGTGTTTTATATTGATGGTGAAATGGTTTGAAACAAAGATGAATAATGGCTAGTAGTAGTAGTAGTAGTAGTAGTAGTAGTAGTAGTAGTGAAGTTGTGTTTCATCCTATTTGAGTTTTGTCAATTGGATGTATTTGCATTTCAAAGTTGATGTTCACTCTGGAACTCTAATCCAGTACCGATCAATTCAAATGTCATCATGTTATCAATTTAGTTAATAAGTCTTAATATCCACTTGCTTGTGCAATGGAGTGATTATTTTATTTATTTTAACACATAGATATTGGTACAAGGAAACACCAAATACATATGCGCCACACTAATTTCAATTGATTTGTGTGAGGGTTGTGATACTGCCTGGATGCCCAAACCGAAGCAGGTGATTTTCGTAGAGGGCCATATCCCGAGCCTTCGACCTGAACGTCTGACCCACAAGGCAGTGGAGAATCCTAAGGAGATTGTCCCCAAACGCCCTGGTACGGCCGACAGTGGGGAAAGTCCGCTCTCCCTCTCGAAATACTCTCACATGGCCACGCGTATATAGCCTCTACCAGGGAAGTCCTACTCACTGCCTTCTCGCACTATGGGTGTTGTTTACGAAAATGAGAAGATGAAAAGCGAATGTCCGGCACCGGCTTTAACCGGATCCCAAACCAATGGTGCACATGGGCTCCAGTATCCTGTGGGAACAAATGGCGTATGAACCAATCGTTGGTCACCGGCTACCATGAGACTGCATCTCCTTACGATGCTCCACTGCCTTGTGGATCAGATCTTTAGGTCGGAGGCTCGAAGTGTGGACCTCTAAGAAAACCACCTGCTTCGGTTTAGGCACCCGGGCAGTATCATAGCCCTCACACATATCAAATGAGATCTGTGTGATGCATATGTAATTGGTGTCTCCTTGTACCAATCTTTATGCGTTAAAATAATAATAATAATCGTAAGGAGATGCAGTCGCATGGCAGCCGATGTCCAACGATTGGTTCATACGCCATTTGTTCTTTCAGGATACTGGAACCAACCCATGTGCACCATTGGTTTGGGATCCGGTTAAAGCCGATGCCGGACATTCGCTTTTCGTCCTCTCATTTTCGTAAACAACACACGTAGTGCGAGAAGGCAGTGATTGGGTCTTCGTGTCAGAGGCTATATACGCGTGGTCATGTGAGAGCATTTTTCGAGGGAGAGTGGACTCTCCCCACTCTCGGTCGTACCAGGGCATTTGGGGGGCAATGGAGGGAGGTTTAAATTCACTTAGTATTGTTGTTTAGGACTGAATGGATTAGTCTCTTATTTACATATGTGCATTCTGTATGGTTAGTGGCTTACAGTGGAATCCAGTTTGACGCGTGTTTCGTTCTATTTGGGACTCATCAGCTGGATGTACCTGTAAACAAGAGACAGTCTTAAACAACAATTGGAAGATACATGCAAAGAACACCAAGTGATTTCCACTCTTTTAACATTATTATTCAAAAATTGCATTCACTTTCATTAAATAGTGTATTTTTGATCTGTATCAGTGACACGTGAAATTTCTTATTATACAATCAAAAAAAAACATAGGAACTGATATATAGTCAAAGTTTTATTCTCAGTCAGTCAAAAACAACATGGAACTTCGTACGTACGTTCATCAGTTCGAGTCGCCATACCACATTAGCACAGAGTTTTAGTTACCGATTCAAACCACGTAGTGGTAGAGGTAGTAAAATTATAAGCAGTAATCGGAAACATCAGCCTTTGAAGATGTTATCCAGTGAAATAAATTTGAAAAGAGATACTAAAGGGACATGAAGAATTGGGAAGATTAAAATTTGGCAGAGCACAAAGAGTTGATGCGCCTGCTCCATTTCAAACGATTTTGAGTTATGTTATCAAAGATCTCCAACCATCGGTTGCTATCATCTCGAGGATCCCAACCAGGATAGTCTACACCTACCAACGTTTTAATCTACTACAGTACATTGATATTATGAGTTGCAATTAACAACCTGGATAGGAAATGTAATCGAATTAGTAATGATTTTTAAGACTTACTATTAGAGTGAATGTAGAAGATTGGGTTCAACAAAATGTAATGATAAGTGATTTATGCAAAATTACACACTACATTTGTAAAATCTGAAAACAATACATCAAATACATAATTTGCATATCTTCCTCTATTTGTGTCTAATAAAATCCATTATTCTTCCATTCGTGTTATTATTACCAACTAATTCTATTATTATTTCTCTTCTGTCTGTAATAATCCTACTTTAATTGTTGATTCACACTACTTGCATCTATCCGTGTATATGTAGCACACACTAAAACATCACTTCTACCAACTATCAGCGATGTTACCTGAGCTCTCCAACAATCGATCAGTTTGTGTTCTTGTCAGTTGCCTATAGAATGTAATCTTTAAAAATCGAAACTACAAAACATTATAGTTTGTAAATAGTCAATGAAAACTTAACTATATAAAAGTGAATTCATGTAATTCTGCTTAAATCTATGTTCTTGTTTCTTTTAAAGTTATAAAGGTATATGTGCTTGGAATAAATCATTTTTTCGTAAATTCTAGAATATCCATAAGAATACTTTCTATATTTTCAGTACACTTAAATGTATTTTAAAAGATGGCGTTTCAAGCGAACTGTACTGTGTTCGACTTCCAGAGTGAATATCAACTCTGAGATACAGGTACATCCAGCTGACGAGTCCCAATAAGGACGTAATGCCCGTCCTAGATTCCACTGCTAGCCACTATCGATCTTTGTTCATAATGTTTGTAAATTAAGGCAATATCGAGGCAAAACGCACAGTATGCACATATGCCGATAACCTACTGATCAATTTCAGTCCTAAACATCAATGGGAACATTCAAGTAAAACAATACCAAGTGACAAGTTCAATGCCTCTTTGGGTTTTTTTTTGTATGTCATGTTATACTACTTCTTAATAAATAGTAGTTTAAGGAGTACTTAAGCATTTCCTCAGTCTGATAATCATATCGTGTGATAGACGGTCACCATGGCTATAATTCTTCTTTGTTTTAACAATAGTATTTTCATGTTTCATTTTCATTGAAGTTTTTGTTTAAAACTCTAAATCTTATGACTAAATTTTTTGTTAAAAAAAACAGTGTCATTTCTTGTTTAAATCAATCTCATTGATAAAATCATCTTGAATTTATCATTTATAAGCACCTGAATGAAATGAGTACTGTTATCGATAACTTGATCATTCTAAATGATATTTGTATTGATCTCGTTTTTCTTGTCGTAGAATCTTCAGCAAATTTTTAGAAACAGCTAATTTTAGCGATGATAAACGAGAACAAAAAGAGTTACAGGTATGTTGTCTATACTTCGTTCTTCATTATTACTTAACTTATTAATCTATGAGTTATTTTCAGTATGGTATGTGCTAGATCTATCGAAGCGTCTGGTTCACCTTATTGAGATACGCATGGGACCGAAGTTTTCAGAACAATGTTTTGTCTACAATAGCGGTTCTTTATTGAATAATACACAAAATTTAGTTACATACCTCAACTTGTGAGGTGTCCGTGGCGTTTAAACGCGTCCTTCAAGTATAAAGATAAAAAGCTTCCTGTAACAGTAACATAAAGAATAATTATAACATACGATAGTACAAAGGACAGCTGATTGCTGTGTCTAAATTTGATAACAGTTCATGAACATCCGAAACCTGATTATTATTATTATTATTATTTTAACACATAAGTATAGGTACAGGGAGGCACCAAATACATATGCGCCACACGAATCTCAATTGATTTGTGTGAGGGCTGTGATACTGCTCGGGTGCCCAAACCGAAGCAGGTGGTTTTCTTAGGGGGCCACACCCCGAGCCTTCGACCTAAAGGTCTAACCCACAAGGCAGTGGAGCATCGTGAGGAGATGCAGTCCCATGGAAGCCGGTGACCAAGAGTTGGTTCATACGCCATTTGTTCCCGCAGGATACTGGAGCCCATGTGCACCATTGAATTGGGATCCGGTTAAAACGCCGGACATTCGCTTTTCGTCCTCTCATTTTCGTAAACAACACCCCCGCCACGAGAAGGCAGTGAGTAGGACTTCCCTGGCAGAGGTTATATACGCATGGCCGTGTGAGAGTATTTCGAGAGGGAGAGCGGACTCTCCCCACTGTCGGCCGTACCAGGGCATTTGGGGGCTCCGAAACCTGAACCAAGAGCAAAACAATATGGAGACTATTGCATTTAAACAAATGCACGAAACTGTGGATAAACGCTACAGTGATTAAGGTATAGTAATTATAATGATAAACACAATTATAAGTACAATAAACGTCATAAATATATGTGGACAATTCACAATAATACACTACAACTTGCGTTAGAACATAGGTGTGAAAATTGTTGGGAATACAACTGCTTACTGAATATAAATAAGTAGTACAAAACAATATACAAAAGAGTGGAAAGGAAACAAGTTGGGAACAATGTAAGCAAACTTAACAGTATGTAATATGCGACATTGAATTAGGAAACTTTGTATGCAGATAGTTCGTTATTTGTTTTACTCACTAACTATCTATCAATTGTTTGAGCGTAATCAACATACATTGTTGATATTTCCCAACTGGTGGTACTTACCACTTCAGACGCTTAGATTATTTATGAAGAACGATCATTTAGTAGGCATTGAAACAATAGATTTTGTTAACATATGATTGGTATCAAAATTCTAGTCACGTTTATGAATGTTTTCTTCAATTTTCTTAGTATTCGAGTTTTAATCTTCGGGCTGATGATTTTTTTTTAAGCATCAAATACAACTGATGAAGGTGCTACTTTACTCCTAAATTTTCCGCCTAATTTGTTTATTTTCTTATTCAGGAATTATGTCATCGATTACTTGAAACGACAGCTTCTATTGCTGCATCTGCTTTGCATCAACCATCATGGTTTCGTAAAACTTTACAAGTTCGTCAACTTGATGGTGATTTAACCAACTCATTAACATATTCCCAACCTTCAAATTCTATCGATTTCACTGATCGTATATCACTTTCAGGATCAGATGTTTTTGAATCTATTCATAAATCTGATCGATTAGCAAATGGTTTATCAGATTTAACAAATTCACATTCTACTGGACAACTTAATAATACAAATGATGTATTGAATGATGTAGAACAATCTTCTATAAAAGATGTATATGATAAATCAATATCAATACAGTTACCTTCATCATGTTATTCAAAATCACGGCATTGTAAGATAGTAACATTCTTTGTTTGTTTGCTTGTTTGTTTGTATTCAAGTATTGTTTTAATTCTTCTAGATTAAATGAAACTATGATAATAGACAGAACGATATTCTGCATGTGTGAAATGTATGAAGGAAGAAACTGTGCTCACATTTATCATCATTAATGTGTTCTTGAATTAGTTAGTCAATGGGATGGATATCATTTAGAGTAACATTATAATTAATCTACAGAAGTTATTTGGTATTCAAATTGAAACTGATTATATCCACTTACTGAGTATTCACTAGTGGATATTTTATTAGTTTAAGTTTTTACTAGGTTTAAAGCGATTACAAGTTCACTTAGTAGGCGAACGGAACAAACATTCATTGATCAAATAATAAAAATGTAACTTATGTATAGTGCCAATGAACTGTTATCAATTTAACCGTTTAATACGAAGTATAAGCATGTTTTGTTGTTTACAACTGAATGACATGTTTCAGTTTAATAGTCAATAAAATCAATAGATTCATTTCGTCTTGGCTTTTTTTTTTCTTAAACTCACCCTTAAATCAACGGTGGCTACATCATGTATAAGTTTTATAGTGTTATCAATCAATTAATCTTTCTTATCTTAAACCCAGTGGTCAAACGATTGTAAATACATCTCAGTCCTATAGGAGGTCAGTCGCAGCCCAGATAGCCCAATGACAACGTTTCTGACTGTGTGACTGGGTGATATACGTTCGAATCCGTCAGGAAGTTTCAGTTCCCTCAAGACTACAGGTACAATTTGCTGATGAGTGCCAAGTAGCATGAAACCTAGGTCCAAGGTTTCCTGTTCACTACTTCCAACTACTATCTTATCTCAACATAGTGCACGCAATATCAAGTTCGATCTGCACTTAGAAGGATCTGACATACATGATTGTTTATGTAAATCGTTGAACTTTTCATAGTTTTACTTATCGTTACACCAAAATTATTGTGAATTTTTTCCATGTCTTGTCTATTTAATTTATCATTTGTATAAATATTTGTTTTTGTATTGTTTTCTCCCACAATATTAGCATCTGTGAATTTGTTGTCAAATGAAATAACACGTATCCGAATGCGTAGCGATGTGACAATACAAGCTATTGAGTTACTAACAGAGGTATTATTTATTTGTTTATTTATTTAAATATATAAACATTGGTACAATAAGGCATCAAATAAATATGCATTACATAAATCATTCGATTTATGTAAGGACTGGGATACTACCTAGGTGCCTAAACTGAAGCAGGTGGTTTTGTTGAGGGAGGCGCACACCCGGAGCTTATGATTTAAAGGTCTGATCAACAAGGCAGTGGAGCAACGTCAGGAGATGCAGTCCCATGGTAGTCTATGACTAATAATTGGTTCATACGCCATTTGTTCCTTCAGGATGCTGGAGCCCATGGACACCATTGGTTTGGTGTTGAGGTTTTCTAACTCCGCTAGGTGAACTCTCCGTGTCCACCAATCTGGTTAAAACCGATGCTGGACATTCGGTTTTCGTCCTCTCAATTTCTTAAATAACACCTGTGCTGAGAAAAGGCAGTGAGTAGAAGTTCTCTGTTAACAGATGTAGTTTTGTTTGTGAAATAAAAAACCCATCTTAAGCTGTTTTTGTTTTTCCATATCAGTCCTACTTATTTTGTGTGTGTGTGTGTGTAAGAGTAAGGAATTTTCAGAACCAAATATTATTAGTGTTAATTCATCATTAAAGGATAACTATCATACTAATGAAAAAAAAATGGAGGTTTGTGAACAATCATTTTAGAAATGTTGTTTAATTCAAGTCTATTGGTTTAATCATGTAACTTTGTAGTAAAGATCATTTTCATGAATATTGAAAATAGTCTTCTTTGATTGTAAAGTATGACAATGTGTACACTACGAATAAGAATAATCCACTGTAGAGAATTCAATACAACTTCGGTTCTATTCTCAAGTCGCGTATCTTCACAATCACTTAACTGATTCTCTAGTTTGTTTGAGTTATGTGTAATAATTTGAGTTTTTCGAATGTCTTTATACATCCTCTGCCAGGAAAGTTCTACTCACTGCCTTCTCGTGGCGGGGGTGTTGTTTACGAAAATGAGAGGATAAAAAGCGAATGTCCGGCGCTTTAACCGGGTCCCAAACCAATGGTACACATGGGCTGGCTCCAGTATCCTGAAGGAACAAATGGTGTATGAACCTATGGTTGGTCACCGGCTACCATGGGACTACATCTCCTTACGATGCTCCACTGCCTTGTGGATCAGACGTTCAGTTTTAAGGCTCCGGGTATGGCCCCCTAAGAAAACCACCTGCTTCGGTTTAGGCACCTAGGCAGTATCACAGCCCTCACACATATCAAATGAGATCTGTGTGGCGCATATGTATTTGGTGCTCCCTTGTACCAATATCTATGTGTTAAAATAAAATAATAATTCCTGTTAATCAGTTAGGCAAAAGTTACTTAGAACCTAACAGATATTCACCGGTTCAGTACATTTCATCAATTTAAGACAGTGGGTTGTTGCTTCAGGACTGGTCTGCGTCAATACCTGAACAAAGGATAGGGAGTGAAGTAGTCGAACGCGTTGACAACTTCACTTATCTTGGTAGCCTTATCAACCCTAATGGGTTGCTCGTATCTTCTGGGATCACCGGATAAGTAATAGTGAGGTTAGACGCAGGGTATTAGGGAATGATATTAAATCAGTTGATGAGGTTATGAATCTTCATCGAGTGAAATGGTTGGGTCACGTGCTGCGTATGCCTGAACACCGATTACCACGACGCGCTATGCTAACCGGTATTAGGGATAATTGGAAGAAAGTTAGGGGCGGCCAAATCAAAACGTGGCATCAGTGCTTGAAGTCACTAACTTCTGGTCTGAGTCATGCTGGTAGATGCAGACTACCTGGTTGGGGTCCGCGTGACTACCGTAACAAATGGTTGGAGACTCTTGGTGACATGGCTCAGAATCGATCACAATGGCGTCGGTGCATACACTCTCTCTCTTCCTTTAAACTATGAGACTAAAATTATTTTATATCTTCCTTTCTACGAACTAATTCTTTCTTCCTGTACTATCCCCTTTGTATGCAATCTTTCTTTTATATATTAGCACCACTGAACTAACTACTTCTATAAATCTGGTGTTCATCTTTTTGTGCTAATTCGGTATGGCAACTTGAAACGATGCATATAGGTGCCTAGTCCTACGTTGCAGCTGACTGACTCACTGGTTCAATATATAAATACAAGTTGTATAATATTGGACGCCCTCCACTGGCAGAAATTTACGATGAAGATCTCAGCTAGGTCATTACTATAGTAAAGGAGAATAGCTAATGTTATTGTCTGTTATTCATCATTCATATGATTTATCCTTTGAAGATGATCAGTTTTACTATTTTATGATATAATTTGTAATTTGTATCATTTCAAGATTGCATCTTTGTTTTTTTTTTTAATTCTTTTCAACTGTTCGTCGGCGGCGGCGGCTGGGGGGGGGTTGGCACACATCGTTCTTTTCATACTTACACAGAATATGGCTATATTTTTAGATTTAGTATATAAAAGTGATGAAAAAGATCGTGTATCAACATTTTTAAACAATATTTTATGCAATATTTTTCCTTATCTTCGTGTTCGAACGTAAGTTTATTTTTATTCTATATATATAATGTAATTATGTCATGTTAGGTTTGAAGTGGTTACGAATTGACTTAGACTGCGAATGGAATAAAGATTCAGTGATCAATGACCAATAAGCTAGATATTCTGATGCATCCCAGCCCCGCTAATTAGAGGAAGAAGTCCAAGCTTGAAATAGGGAAGTATATTTTGCAAACAGCCAGAAGCACTAGTGATAACAACAAACACAAATCAAAACGTATATATGTATACAGTACAAAACCGTCCCTAGGGGAGAGTTACCAACTAGCGTACTAAAAGACGCATCGGACCAATAGCATTTAAGATATTTCCCAAGTGGGAAATATGACATGAAGGTGACAAGAGCGCTTTTGGAGCAAAATCAAATTTTCTAAATAAAATTACAAAATTAGGTTCTTTTCCAAGTGAGTTTTGAGGATCTAACGTCCCCAACAGTTCATAAGCAGATATCTTAACTTGACTTGTGTTATACCAGACATTGTTTTTATTCATCTATTCAGTAGTGACAATGATATCATCTAGTCCTCATTTTAAGGGTATCTGAAATCATCCACGACTAAGAAGAACTATAAATATATCACAATGTTCAAAGTTGTCTATTGTGTTTGTAATTGTCATTATTATTATTTTATTATTTGAACACATAGATATTGGTACAAGAGAGCACCAAATGCATATGCGCCACACAGATCTCATTTGATATGTGTGAGGGATGTGATACCGCCCGGGTGCCAAAACCGAAGCAGGTGGTTTTCTTAATGGGCCACACCCCGAGCCTTCGACCTAAAGGTCTGATCCACAAGGCAGTGGAGTATCGTGAGGAGATGCAGTCACATGGTAGCCGGTGACCAACAATTGGATCATACGCCATTTGTTTCTTCAGGTTTCTGTAGCGCATGTGCACCGTTGGTTTGAAATCAGGGTTTTCCAACTGCCCTAGGTGAACTCTCCATATCCACCAACCCGTTTAAATCGCTGGACATTCGCTTTTCGTCCTGTCAATTTCGTAAACATTACCCCCGGCACGAGAAGGCAGGGAGTAGGACTTCCCTGGTAGAGGCTATATACGCGTGGTCATGTGAGAGCATTTCGAGAGGGTGAGCGAACTCTCCTCTCTCTCGGCCGTATCAGATTGTGAAGTTGTTAATAAGGAGACTTGATTACTTTTATTGAACAAATTAATCGATTGGAAGTAAATAAATTTAGGTTAAGATATTTATTATTCTGGTACTGTTTGAATTTAATGTTTATGAAATTTGATTTTTATCATAATTTACACTATTATTAATAGATAATACAAGTTATTGAATTTTACGGAGGATCCATCTAGGGGCGAATTAGAAAACCCTGATTCCAAACCAATGGTGTACATGGGCTCCAGGATCCTGAAGGAAATAAATGGCATATGAACCTATTGTTGGTCACCAGCTATCATGAGACTGCATGTCCTATTGTTACTCCACAGCCTTGTTGACCAAACCTTTAGGTCAAAGGCTCCGATTGTCGCCCCCTAAGAAAATCACATGATTCGGTTTGAGCACCCAGCCCTCACACAAATCAAGAGACTTGTGTGGCGCATATGTATTCGGTGCCCCTGTGTACCAATATTTTTATGTGTTCAAATAAATCAATGAGTAAAGATGACAACAAACTACTAAACTAACTGTTACATACTTCATAAAGCATGGTTAAACTCACTCATAGAATTAGTTTAGGGGTCGTGGAGATTGTTAAGTTTTTGTTTGAGATCATGAACTGATTGGTGTTAGATCATCATTCAAAACCTGGAAGCACTGGATGGCTGTTTCGTCTTATTGTGGGACTTCTCAGCAGTGTGCACCCACAGTCCCGTTCGCGGGAACGCTCAACCTACTCGACCACTCAGCCGGCCTCCAACATTGTTAATATCTGGGATCGCGTATGCGCACTGCTGAGTAGCCCCACAATAGGACGAAATGGTCGTCCAGTGTTTCCAGGTTTTCAATAATGATTTAACATCCTTATCTTTTATTTATTACCCTTTCAACCATTTCATTCTTTTTTAGATTAAGTAATTCAGATCATTTTACTGTAGCCAGTAAATTAATTGCATCTATTAGTAGTTATCAATATACAAGAAAATCATGGCGTCGTGATGTTTTAGATTTATTTTATGAATCAGTATTTTTTCAAATGAGTCCAATTGCATTACAAAGTTGGAATTTAATTATTGATAATTTAATGACACAAGATAAAAGTACATTTAAAGAAGCATTAGGTATGTGAAGTTTGTTTTTTTTGTTTTTTTGTTGTGTTTTACTTCTTTGAGCATATCATATTGAAATAGTTTCGATATATCCATGTTTGTTGGAATACCTCAGCATATTCAAGCATCTTGAAATATAAAGTGCAGTCATTCAGTAACAACTTAGAACTTCGTACGTACGTACATACATCAATTCGAGTTGCCATACCACATTAGCACAGAGATGCAGTTGTCCATTCAAATCCCATAGTGGTAGAGGTAGTAAAAGTATTAGCAATAATCTGAAAGATTAGGGTTTGAAGATGTTATTCAAGGAGTATAATACAGTGAAATAAATTTGGAAAGAGAAACTAAAGGGACATGAAGAATTGGGAAGATTAGAAGTTGTGAGAACACAAAGAGTGAATGCACCTTCCCAATTGCCAACGATTTTGAGCCATGTCACATTCAAGGTCTCTAACCATCGGTCGCTATCATCTCGTGGTCCCCAACCAGGCTAGTCTATACCTACCAACATGGCTCACAAAGTCCACTTGTCACTGACTTCATGGATTTGTGCCATGTTTTGGTCTGGCCGCCCCTAACTATCTTCCAACCTACTGCTACACCATAAAACATCGCTCGTCGGGACAGTCGGTGGTTGGGGCATACCTAACACATTTCCCAGCCATCTCAAATGATGAAGTTTCATTACTTCATCAATTGATTTGATATCCTTACCTAGTACACGTTACCTAACAACTGTATTACTTACTCGATGGTCCCAGGATATACGATTAATGTTTTGACGACACCTCTGACATAAAGTGCGGATACGTTTTTGTAGAAAAAATCATGCTACTTACAAATATTAAGTAGTGTACTCGTACCTACATGATTTTCCCGAAGAGTACTTTGAATATTGTCACAAATTTTATTTATCGCGATCAAAGTAGCATTGTTATACGTTTGGATTTGGAATTCATCTCCTTTGTTGCTCTTCTATGTATATTCCCGTTGGTTGTAATTAACATGTTATGAATACCTGTCTACTATTATAAATATCCTGGTAGTTAGAAATATATCAGTTTTTTAGAGTAATCAATTAACTAATGATATGCATAAATCTATCACATTTATTAAACTGAACTGTTTTTTTTTTCTTATATCACTAAACTTACGTGTAGAGGGATTTGATTTACAACTGATCGTTTACTGAGGAGTAATTAGACATGTTTGTCTCATCGTTTAATACAGATATAACGCTGTCAGTTCAATTTCAATGTGCCTATTCGATGTCAAGTTCAATGTATTGATATATTAGGTGATTAGTGGTAGTTGACAAAAAATACTAGGCCTAGTTTTTGTGCACTCTGGTAATTGTCAGTAAGTTATACCTGTCATCTCCAGTTGGTTCTCCTTGTTAGATTCCATCCCAAGTCAATCAACTTTACAGTCAATACTAATGGACCAGACAAACACCACATCGGTCACTGTTTAGTAATCAGTTCATTGCACATATCTCAATCCTAAAGGAGATCATTCATGAGACACATAGCTCAGTAGTGACGTCTCAATCTTTGAAACTACATAATATGGTATTAAATCTCCCGAGAGACATCAGTTACTTCAAGATTGAAAGTATACCTGGCTGATGCATTTTAAATAGCAGAAAACTTGTCCAGGGTTTCTTTTTGTCGACGACAACTAGCCACTTAGCAATGAATCAATTTTTTTTTTGTCTATCAAGTGAAAAGTTTGCGAGATTATGATTAATGGACGAATCAGTTCGATTTGAAATAACAGATCTTGTATTTTAGTGCTATATTCATTCACTCATCCTTACTTACTTTTCTTCCAGCTCGTCTTGTATTCGCTCAACCGGGTGGTTTAAATTTATTTGCTAGTAAAGAGAGTGAATATGATCTACGTGCTGCTTGTTTGAAAAAATTATCTTATCTAGTTTATGCAAGTGAACCAGATCAATATGCAAAAGCAATGCCTGATTTATTAGGTATGTGTGTAGTTGTTCAAATGATTTGCCAATATTTTTTCATTCATTTCCTTCGGTTGTTATTCCTTGTGTTAGTTAGCTAGTTAATAAGGTAACCTTGATCAATTAACTAGACTTCATCCTTTATGTCAAAATATTTTCTACTTATTCATTCATCATGCATGATGTGTGTCCTTGACCTTTGACCCAGAATTTGCAAGTTGGTCTAGTGTTTAGTTTATATTATTCTACAAGCATGAAAAATTGCGTTTTAGCAAGATTTGTTTCTACGGCATGAGGTTACTGACCCCATACCCAACCCTCCTCCTTTACCCGGGCTTGAGACTGGCAGTAAATCTAGATGAGCTACAGGCGGAGTTATGAAAATTACACTCAATGGATTATTCTCGCTGCCCATATGCATACAGATAAACTAACAAACATTTTCATCACGTTAACTATTTCATATGAATACAACTTTTGGGAAATAAATGAAGATTTTTACCTTTGAAATGTGAACACTATTTGATTAAGTATTCATAATCACTAGTACAATATAAGATATCCATTTCAACTTATTTGAAACTTATAGAATTAATAGACCATCATCTGTTTGTATATTTCTGTTGAACATGACAATTTAGTGATCGGATTGTTATATTTTGATAGTTGAGATCATGAGTCTATTGACGCTTGACCACCATGGAAAACCTGAAAGTACTGGACAGCCGTTATGTCGTACTATGGGACTCCTTATCATTGCGCATCCACGATTCCGCCTCATGACATTCGAACCCAGGATCTACCGGTCTCGCGCGCGAATGCTTAACTTCTAAATCACTGAACCTTCTGGCACCCGATGGTGTCAATGTCTAACTTTAACTAATCCACGAAATTGAGCGACACATCCACCATTGGTAGGTCCTGGGTCCGAATCTCACGAAGCGGGATTGTGGTTGCGCACTGCTGAGGAGTCCCACAGTAGGACGAAACGGCCGTCCAATACTTCCAGCTTTTCCATGATGGTCTACCTTCAATTAACTCATAATCTCAACTATTAAAATTACTATAATATACACAAAACCCCTTCTGATATTGTTATATCTAATGTTACATAATAGTCAGCAATTGTATAGTGTCAATTACTGTATGGAATATGACAAGTTGTTCTATTGTAGATAAAGTTCACATTTCATTGTTTCTGTTTTTTTTTTTAAAAAAAAAAACACCGGAATACAGTTTTGCTAAATAATGATCTGCTTAAAAATCTACTTGGAGTCCCCAATACTTTTGTTTTCCAATACCCCGTAAATATGACTGCTGCATTGTTCATTGTATCAACTAGATTTTTAAATAGTCTATTGTTTGTTTGATTGTTCTATTATTTCCTTCTTTTTCTACAGAACGTCTTGCTGAATGTTTACGTTTAGGTCAAGGTATAATACCAGTGGTTCATACTCAAGTATTTTTATTTGCTCGTGTCTTAATATCTCGTATGTCAGCTATACAATTGAATTCTTTATGGCCTATCGTTGTACCAGAATTGGTTAGTTTAGTAAATTTACTTTTCTGTTGTTCTGTCTAATTTTCTTTTTTCTTTTTCGTTTTCATGAATGAATCTATTTTCTTAAACTTGTTGAATCGACAACTACATCTCTATGCTAATGTGTTATGGCAACTCGAACTGATGTACGTACGTACGAAGTTCTACATTGTTACTAACTGAATGTATATCAGTATACCTGTTGCCTATGATCATCTATCGTTATTGTTATTTTTTCATACTTACGTAAGGTGACAGACTCCTCATAAATATTTTGACTTGTTTTCTTCTTATGTGAAATGTATCTTTGTTTTTTGGTTACTTACTTACGCCTGTTACTCCTAATGAAGCATAGGCCACCGACCAGCATTCTCCAACCCACTCTGTCCTGGGCCTTCTTTTCTAGTTCCATCCATTTCTTGTTCATTTTTCTCACGTCTATCTCTATTTCCCGGTGTAATGTGTTCTTTGCTCTTCTCCTTCGGCCTTGAGGATTCCACGTGAGGGCTTGTCTTGTGACGCAGTTCGGTGCTTTCCTCAATGTGTGTCCTATTCACTGTTTTTTAGCTAGTTGTATCTTTCTCTACGATTAAAAATTTCAGTAGCCAAAATATGACTTGAAAATGTAAAACAAATTAAGAATTGATTACATAGTTTGATCATCACCTATGGTGAAGACGAGATATCCGTCTATCAATTAAAGGACGAATATACTGTGAGGTAGTTCGTTCTGTTTTACTTTACGGCAGCAAAACGTGGCCATTAAGAGTAAAAGATACTCGTAAGTTACTGGTATTTGATCACAGATTTCTTAGAAATATTGCTCGTATCTGCTGGTAAGTATTAGTGAGGTTAGAAGCATGGTATTCTTGAATGATGGTAAATCAATTTCTGAGGTTGTAAATGTTCATCGACAGAGATGGTTGGGCCATGTGTTACATATGCATGAACGTATGCAGACGTAAAAGCGAGGATTGGCAAAGAAAGGGCGACATTTCTTCAATTAAAGAACATATGGAACTCAAAACAACTTTCAACCAATATCAAAGTCACAGTCTTCACTACCAAAGTCAAGGCAGTTCTACTATAAGGAGCTGAAACGTGGAGAACTACAACAACTACCATCAAGAAGGTACAGGTATTTATCAATAGCTGTCTACGCAACATACTCAACATCCATTGGCCGGATACCATCAGCAACAGCCTTTTGTAGGGGAGAACAAACCAGCTTCCAGCTGAAGAGGAAATTACGAAAAGACGATGGAAATGGATAGGACATACATTACGCAAATCGTCAAACTGCACCGCGAGACAAGCGCTAACTTGGAAACCTGAAGGGAAGCAGAAAATTGGAAGGCCAAAGAACATAATACGTTGGGAAATAGAAGCAGATATGAAAAGGATGAATAAGAACTGGAAAGAGCTTGAAACGATTGCCCAGTACAGGGTTGGATGGAGAATGCTGGTGAGCGGCTTATGCTCCTTCGAGTGGAGTAACAGGCGTAAATAATTAACTAAGCTAGTTTAAAATGACTCATGATCTCAACTATTAAAATTATTTATGATGTTAAGTAGATCATCTTATGTTCATACTTTAAGAGGTCCGACACAATAGTTTCGTAAGAATTAGACAGTGATCATTGATTTTTCTCACTTGAATCACTTTTCAATTGTTATAATATTCTCTTTTATATTATAAATTATTTTCTTTAATTTATTGTATAGTTCCTCACATTCAAATCCCTATCTCAAGCAATTCAAGAATGGTGAGTTCTTTTCTTGTGAATTTATTCTCTAGTATGATTTTTATTTTTGTTTATTTATTTTAATACATAGATATTGGTACAAGGAGGCATCAAATACATATGCGCCACACGGATCTCTTTTGATATGTATGAGGGCCGTGATACTGCCTGGGTGCCCAAACCGAATAAGGTGGTTTTTTAGGGGGCCACTCCCTGAGCCTTCGACCTAAAGGTCTGATCCACAAGACAGTGGAGCATCGTAAGAAGATGCAATCGCATGATAGCCGGTGACCAAAGATTGGTTCATACACCATTTGTTTCCTCAGGATACTGGAGCCAGCCCATGTGCCCCATTGGTTTGGGACCCGGTTAAAATGCCAGACATTCGCTTTTTATCCTCTCATTTTCGTAAACAACACCTGTGGTGGAAGAAGGCAGTGAGTAGGACTTCCCTGGTAGAGGCTATATACTCGTGGCCATGTGAGAGCATTTCGAGAGGGAGAGCGGACTGTCTCCACTCTTGGCCGTACCAGGGATTTGGGGGTTCCATTATGAAGTGAACGTATGTGCAGATTTCGTAGCTAATGTTTATTTATTATATCATTCATTGATCGATTCAGGTATACAAAAAAGGTTATCTATTATATATATGGCATTTAACCTCCTACAATTTCCCCATAATTTCCGGCTACAATGTTTTGTTAGAATTCGTCTACTTCCTTTCTAACGTATCGATCTATTCCATTCATCGGTTGATGAATGGTTTAACTTGACCATTTTAATCTTTCAAATGGCATCTCTATTTATGTGTGTGCTATGGAATGCGTAGGTTAATATGACTTGTGTTTTTCAAGTACTCATGCAGTGTATACTTGCCAAAGAGCGATTTATTTCTGTCCCTCTCAAATGTCTTATCCATATCTAGCATCTTTTCCTAATTTCCTCCTCAGCTGGAAGCTGATTTGTTCTCTTGCTGCAGTAGGTTGTTGCTGATGGTGTCCGGTCGACGGACATCGAGCATCGTGCGTAGATAACTATTTATAAATACATGTACATTTTTGATGGTAGTTGTAATAGTTCTCCAACTTTCAACCCCGTACAATCGAACTGTCTTAACGTTTGTACTCAAAGTTTTGACTTTGATGTCATATGACAGTTCTCTCAAGTTCCGTATGTTTTTTAACTGTAGGAATGTTGCCCTTGATTTGCTAGTTTGCATCCTCACATGTCAACCAGAGTAACAATTACCATAGTTACAAGGGACGTATTCATTTTCAGTCTCCTTGTTTCTTATCATCCTGGGCATGTTTTTTTCAATGTTATCGTGATAATTTGAAATTCTCATCCGTTAACAAGTTCTGCTTCTTTTTTCTACACTTTTAGCATTTCTAAAATTCAATTAAGGAAAGTTAAACCTGATTCCTCTACGTCGTCGTCGTCATCATCATCATCATTTCTGTCTACTTCACAAATGAATTTATATATTAGTGCATGTAAATTGTTGGCTACCAGTTTATTATATCCAGAACATAGACTACCACAATTTTCCTAGTAAGCCATAATGTATATCTAATGAATGTGATTCCTGAAATTTCTACAAAAGATAATAATGTTTTAGTGAATTGTGGGATTCAATCCACAACAGAACAGTCCTATTAATGTATAACGATGATGATACCATTAATTAGAGAACAGTGAATTATCGACTGAACCAATGATGCATAGAATGCATACGAGCAGTTTAGAGTCCTTATCGGTCTTGCTTTCCACCTAGCTCTGCCTGTTAAATCCAGAACACCAATCTCAGCTTCCACGATATGAATCATTTATATCAAACATACTCTGTTTATATACCAGTCAAACAGACCACATCTTACCATAAATTAGAAAACAAGATTTGTACAAGATTTAGCCAAATGTGGCTGTGAATGTGGGAGGCAGTCACGAATAGACAGGGTATAATTCAAGAATGGTAAATGGTATAATAATAGTTCATAGGTCAGAACAAAGCTTATAATAAGAGGAATACAGATTTGAATAGTTTGGTTGCATAACAATTATCCAATAAAAGTATACGTATAGTATTGGTCCATAAATAGATCCTAAAAGTAACCATTCATTATTCTTATCGGGATATAACAGTATTCTTTTTACCGGTGATACTGTAATGAACAAGAACACCAATGAGGGACAATCGATTGTATTTCATAACAACAAATTACAGAACTAGTCAGTAAAATCTAACAATCATATCAGTAAATGCTCAATTTGCAAAATATTCATCAATTGTCTCAAAATGACTCAGACTTCCTTTGTTCTTGCATTTTCATACAAATTGCACTCTGTCTTCATTCTTCACTGTTTAATCTTCTTGTCACTCTGCTGCCAGACATTCTGTTCACGACTCACCTCATATACTACTTATGTCTACATAAATAGCACACACCACAATACATGTAATCATCCCTGGGTATAGTACACATCATACTGTGAATTTAATAGCCAATATATTTTAAGTACTATCATATAATGTTGATAATATTATACATCGGAACATTTCAATATGTCTATCTTATTTTGTGAAACACTTATTATTGGCATACATCAATACACATCATCATCATCAATATCTTCATCTTAAAGACCACTATCCATTTACTGAGGAAATTTCTTTAACCTTAAAAATGATTATGGAAGATTATGACTATTTTGATGTGACTAAAATTGCTTCGATAAACATGAGAACAATTTTCCTATAGTAATCAATTCGATTGATCATTGATCAACTCTAAGTCCTTATGGTAACTCTCTGTAGCGACTTCTCTCTCTCTCTCTCTCTCTCTCTATATATATATATATATATATATATATATATATATATATAGATAGATAGATAGATAGATAGATAGATAGATAGATAGATAGATAGATAGATAGATAGATAGATAGATAGATAGATAGATAGATAGATAGATAGATAGATAGATAGATAGATAGATAGATAGATAGATAGATAGATAGATAGATAGATAGATAGATAGATAGATAGATAGATAGATAGATAGATAGATAGATAGATAGATAGATAGATAGATAGATAGATAGATAGATAGATAGATAGATAGATAGATAGATAGATAGATAGATAGATAGATAGATAGATAGATAGATAGATAGATAGATAGATAGATAGATAGATAGATAGATAGATAGATAGATAGATAGATAGATAGATAGATAGATAGATAGATAGATAGATAGATAGATAGATAGATAGATAGATAGATAGATAGATAGATAGATAGATAGATAGATAGATAGATAGATAGATAGATAGATAGATAGATAGATAGAATAGATAGATAGATAGATAGATAGATAGATAGATAGATAGATAGATAGATAGATAGATAGATAGATAGATAGATAGATAGATAGATAGATAGATAGATAGATAGATAGATAGATAGATAGATAGATAGATAGATAGATAGATAGATAGATAGATAGATAGATAGATAGATAGATAGATAGATAGATAGATAGATAGATAGATAGATAGATAGATAGATAGATAGATAGATAGATAGATAGATAGATAGATAGATAGATAGATAGATAGATAGGATAGATAGATAGATAGATAGATAGATAGATAGATAGATAGATAGATAGATAGATAGATAGATAGATAGATAGATAGATAGATAGATAGATAGATAGATAGATAGATAGATAGATAGATAGATAGATAGATATAATGAAATCACTCTTTTAGTGTTCTGTTTACTTAATCTTTATTTTTCCGCTTAAATTTTAGTTATCAATGGGCATTTGTCAAAGATATAACTTTTGATCATTTAACTAACCAAGAAGAAATGACAAATGTCACTACAATGAATAACAATCGAAAAATATCATTTCTTCCATTCCTTTCCGATGTTCTAATACAAATTGAAGTAAGTTTTATTAAAATCACTAGATTATCATTTGTAATTGAAAATGTTGTGGTAAGCGTCAGTTATTTGAAACACAAGTACAATTTATAAGCAAAGATGAATAGTGGCTTTCAGAGAATCCAGCTGAACGTAGATAACGTAATAGTGTTTAAAGCGAATAGTACTGGGTTCGAGTCTCAGAGTGAACATCAACTCTGAGATGCAGGTACATCCGGCTGACAAGTCCGAAATAGGACGAAACCCGCATCCTGGATTCCTTCCTAATCACTATCCATCTTTTCTTATAATCCTTGTGGATTGAAGCAATACACACAGTATGCGCACATGCAAATAACAGATTGATCAATAGGAAGATTCATGTAGAATATACCAAGTGCAAGTATAATTTGTTTGTAAATAAATATGTTTTTATTTATTTAAAGCCTGATATACAAGTTTTTGTAGGTTCGCTGGTTGATAGTATCATCGGTATTATTTATTTATTTATTTTAACACATAGATATTGGTACAAGAGGGCACCAAATACATATATGCCAGACAACCACTTGATTTGTGTGAGGGCTGTGATACTGCCCGGGCGCCCAAACCGAATAAGGTGGTTTTCTTAAGGGGCCACACCCCGAGCCTTCGACCTGAACGTCTGACCCACAAGGCAGTGGAGCATCGTAAGGAGATGCAGTCCCATGGTAGCCGGTGACCAATGATTGGTTCATACACCATTTGTTCCTTCAGGATACTGGAGCCAGCCCATGTGCACGATTGGTTTTGAGATCCGGTTAAAATCGGTGCCGGACATTCGCTTTTCGTCCTCTCATTTTCGTAAACAACACCCATGGTGCGAGAGGGCAGTGAGTACGACTTCCCTGTCAGAGGCTATATACGCGTGGCCATGTGAGAGCATTTCGAGAGGGAGAGCGGACTTTCCCCACTCTCGGTCGTACCAGGGCATTTGGGGGCATCATCGGTACACACTAAGGAGTCTTTATGTACCACGAAACATCCATTCACTGAACTCTCATTCAAATAAAGTCAGTTCATAACAAAAATAAGTGTTCTCAAACTTCGTTTCTTAATACTAATAGTATTGTTAGAGTGGAAGAATCTATACGAGTATAATTTTACTCAAAAGTCAGAGTAATTACATACTACCCCAATGATAAGCGACAAATACAATAGAAGTAGATATGCTATTGTAATTCAGCGTATCAATCACCTAACCAAGGTCACCATCATGTATGATTTATGCACAGAACGATTTGGTTTCAAAATTAAAGCTTCCTAGTCACCTACTGTCACATAAGTGATTAGGTCAAGCGTTATATATGACTGAATCTGACTGTCAAGTCATAATGAATATTTAATTGTATATCCCCATGTAAGCAAGAATGAAAGAGTGTATCCATCTGTACTAATAATCATGATTTTGAAACTTATCAGCATTATCGTGTTTCGATAGTGTAAAAAGATGATGATGACCAAAACTATGTGATCAGAAGGGGTTTTGTGAAGATTTTTACTAATTTCAATTGTTGAGATCATGAGTCAATTAAAGCTAGACCAACATGGAAAACCTGGAAGCACTGAGCGACTGTTTCTTCCTATTGTAGGATTCTTCAACAGTGTGCATCCACGACCCCGCCTCGCTAGATTCAAACCCAGGACCTACTGGTTTCTCACGCGAGCACTTAACTACTAGACCAATGAGGGGAGGTCGTGGATGCACACTACTGAGAAATCCCACAATAGGAAGAAACAGCCATCCTATGCTTCCAGGTTTTCAATGGTGGTCTAACATCAATCGGTTAATGATCGTTTTTATCACTCATCAATATGTTTTCGATGTTAATTTGCATTTTTGTACTTTTTTTGTGTGTGTGTGAAACATTTCATATATCATAGAAATTACAAGAAATTGACATATCGAATGGTATTGATATAACATGTATGGAAAATTCATCTACTTTATATCAAAGTTGTTTCAGTATTTTGGCTTTAGATAAACTTGTAAACATTTATACACTGAAACCATTCTTTGAAAGGTAAACTAAATTTGATATAATTATAGTTTACTTTTTACTATGTCAATGTTAAAAAGGGATGTATAAATGAATATTATTTGCTTTAAATAAGATATTTTTCAAGCCTCAATCTAATATATTACTTCCTTCCTTCCTTCCTTCCTTCCTTCCTTATGCCTATTACATTTCATGGAGGAGCATAGGCTGCTGACTAGCATTCTCTATCCATTCTTGTCCTGGACAATTCTTTCGAGATGCTATTCATCCTTTTCATGTTTGTTTATAATTCTCGACATAGTGTGTTCTTTGGTTTTCCTCTTTCCTATTTCCCTTCGTGATTCCAAGTTAGCGCTTGTTTCGTGATGCAGTTTGATAATTTCCTCAATGTATGCCCTATCCACATCTAGCGTTTTTTTTTCTAATTTCCTCTTTAAATGGAAGTTGGTTTGTTCTTTCCTACAATAGGGTGTTGCTGGTGATATCCGGTCAACGGACATAAATACTTGTACTTTTTTATTATAATTGCAGTTGTTTTCCAAGATTCAGCTGCGTACAGTAGGACTGTTCTGACGTTCGTATTGAAGATTTTGAATTTGATATTAGTTAACATTTGTGTTGAGTTTCATATGTTCTTCAACTCTAGAAATTCTGTCCTTGCTTTTCCGGTTCTGGCCTTTCCGTCTTCATCGGATCCTCCACGTTCTTCGACGATGCTTCCCAGGTATGTGAAGGATTCCACATCTCCCAGAGTCTGTCCATTAAACCTAATTGACGTGGTGTTCTCTGTGTTGTAGTTGAGAATCTTGCCTTTTTCTTTGTGTATGCTGAGGCCTGCTGATACAGAGGCTGTTGCTACACTAGTTGTCGTCACTTGCATTTGTCCGTGTGTATGGGATAGAAGGGTCAGGTCATATGCGTAGTCTAGTTATACAACAATCTCCACAACCGTATTCTAAAAAATAATTCTATCGAAAAAATGTTCGTCGAACTCATCTCTGACACCAAGTATACACCATAAAAAGGCAAGTTCATATAACTTAATCTTTGTATTGAAAACAAACTTTGTATGGGTTTTATACTTTCCATGACTAAAGAAAACCTTGTAGTGTGGTGTCGAGTGGAGGTTGGCTATGAACACCACTACAAGAAAGGCGTGCATCAGACAAATCAGAAGGCGAAGAGTGATCGTAACCAGATTTATTCATTGGACATTTGAATTAAGGACAACCTCACGTACAGCTACGATATGATCCCCGGGTAGTGATTCAAGAGCGAAAGCGTACTTTTGCTTTTGGCTCAAAATGCGGCGAGTCTCGAAATGAGACTCTAATGCAGCAAACCAAACCTCTGGGTCATGGGGGATAAATGGTACAAGTCGGAAATAGATGGCCTGTATGTCTGAGTCGCTATCCATCATGTCGAGTACATTATATATTAAAAATTAATGTGAAAATATACGACAAACGTGGATAGATAAACAAGAGACTCACCGAATTGATTTTTTTGGATGATTTGACCAGAGGTTGAGGCGTATTCCGAAATTCGGCTCACCAATTATAGTGTGGAGTCGAGTGGAGGTTGGCTATGAACACCACTACAAGTTGAGCGCGTACCAAACAAATCAGAAGGCGAGAATCGATTATAACCAAATTTATTCGTTGGCGATCTCGTGGTATCGAACGAAAACCGAGATCGTGCGAAAAGGAATACAAGCGGAATTAGTGGGCAGGAGAACGAGTGTACGAGGTCACAGTCCACGGAAGAGTGATGGAGGAGAGTAATGGCTGTCTTTAGTACAGTTAAACAAACGAGCACAGTAAAACGAACGCTGGTACAATTGGTTATAATAATGATTGTTTCCATTAAAGCAATCGCGTTCGGTTGATAAAAATATGTCACTACAACTTAATACTCAATCTAGTTCTGAGAGATAGTTATTAGTGATTTGGTGCGAAGCCGTAACCAGTGCAGTTCGACGTGTGTGTTATGATGCACTTATGCACTGAAGACAACAACGAAACATGATAGCACAATATCGTGAATTGGTTAAATATTGGAAATGACTCTGTCAAACATCGGCTCAGTGATCTAGGGTTAAGCATTCGGGCGCAAGTCCGAAATGTTTGCTTTTTATTTCCGTGTACGGTATCGTAGATGCACGTTGCTAAGAAATCTCATACTCGGACGGAATGGCCGACCAGCGCTCCCAGGTTTCCAACCGTAGCCTAACATTGACCGGTCGATGATTTCGATTGTTTGACGATAATAATAAAGTAACTATATTATCTGTTAGTTTGTATTTAATATTCTAATCATTTATAAATTTCATAATTTCACTATTCTATGTTAACTTTTTTTCTTTTAGTTTACATAATAGTTCAAATGTTGATTCGTTACAAAATTCATTGAATGATATTCCAGTACTTGATAACTTTCTTCTTGAATTAGCTATAGAAGCATCATTAGCTCAAGAGTTTCCTGAAACTATTACATCTAGATAATAATCATAATCATAATCATTTATATGTTGGTTATTATGATGATCCTAATTATTACTACATAGATTTATCCTACCTCTTAACTAACTAATAGAAAATTAAAGAAACAATTTTAACTCATTTATATAACTTGATCTATTTGTCATTACATAATCGAAATAATCCACCTATTGTCTTTCTAATTATCTCATTTTCTTTTTTGTATATTTGATAATGATGATTCACAATAGATTGTTGTTGTTGTTTGTTTGTTTGTTTGTTTGTTTCTCCTATGGATTCATCTAAAACCATAATTCAGGCTGTGGCTTTCACTATTTCTTATCTTATTTGTCAATTTTTCTCTCTATACTGCTACTAACACTCCTCCTACTGCTCCTCCTCCTCCTCCTTCTCCTCCTCCTCCTCCTACTACTACTACCATTACTACTACTACTACTACCATTACTACTACTACTACTACTACCATTACTCCTACTCCTACTACTACTACCACTACTACTACTACTACTCCTGCTACTACCATCACTACTGCTACTACTAATACTAATACTTTATAATGAATTACCAATATACACTTGTAAGATTGTTTCTTCCTTTTGTTATTATCACTTACCATATGATGAATATTTACTGTAGTATAAATTCAATTATAATTTCAATTGATATTGTATTAAACATCAATTGGTTTGTGTAATCCAATAGAATTAATATGAACATGTCAATCAATCAATCATAATTCCTACATAATCAAACAAACCATTTTTTGTGATACATATAGGGATCGTATTTTAATTCATTTCACATGATTGTTTCATTTCAATGTTTATATTTGTGTTTCTATGTGGTTATATTATGTTTATATATATATTCCTTTAAAAAAAGGGAATCCTTTATGCAATACCATCCATTTATCAGAGATTCAAGTAAATAAAACAACATATATATGGGCATATTGTTATCCCGATTATAAAGAGATCATCAGAGTACATAACAAAACTTCATTAAAAAAAATACAAAAATTCCAACATCAACGATAGACAAAACACAGGTACATAATAGAAAATCTGAATCGATAAAAGCATCACAAAGAAACATTCAACAAGATATCATAATTTCAATGCTATCAATTCAATGAATAGTCATGTATAAATATATAGTTGATGGTTAGGACTGCGATCTGCGAATCCAGTGAGCCGAGTTCGAGTGACGGAGGAGCCTCGTCCTGTCAGGTGTGTTGAAACTACCACTGACCACCATGTGAAACACTTCAACATGCATTCCTCCGACCACATCTCACCACTCACACTCGACCAGTGCACACAGCTACTTCTCAGTCGGCACGTTTGTCGAGCCGTTTCGTCTGACCGGATAGTGGTCGTGGTGTCTGTGAGACGATCGAATGGCACACCACCTAGACACAGTGTGCCGAGTCAGATGTTGATGTTGTCCTGGATAGCTTGTTGTATTGGATGACATAGATGGACGCTTCACCGATGT